AAAAAAAACCAGTATCATTTCCTGTAAAAGAGGCTGGCTTTAAGTATCACAGAAGTGTCCTGAAGGCTCCTCAAGGCATGCTGCAGCCGGTACCACCCACCCTAGCACCAGGGCACCAGGTCCCTGTCAGTGATGGGTCCAGCCTCCTCGCTTCTGTCAGTGTGGCCCCTGCTCAGTCACAACACCAATTTGCCACCCAGGCCTACACTGGGTCTTCGCAAGACTCAACACTTTACCCTGGATACCCACTGAGTCCTACCAAGATCAGCCAGTATTCCTACTTGTGCTTGTGAGCATGAGGGTGAAGGGGTCATGGCTGCCTTTTCCTGGCCCTGAGTTCTTCATAATCGGCTATGATGAGCTTCTTCCTTGCCCTCTCTCAAAACTCCTTAGCCAACAACTTTCTCTGCCAGCGCTCGCTGAAGCAGGTTTTTCTCTGACTGCACTACTGTCTTCTCCCAAAGTCTCCCTATTTTTTAATTCTTTTTGTTTTGTTTTTGTATTCCTCGCCCGAGAATATGTTTTTATTGATTTCAGAGAGAAAGAAAGGGAGAGGGAGAAAGAGAGAGACATTGATGTGAGCGAGCAACATGGATCAGTTGCCTCCCATATGCACCCAACCAGGGATGGAATCCCCAACCTGGGTATGTGCCCTGACCAGGAATAGAACCTACAACCTTTTGGTGTACAGGATAACCCTCCAACCAGTTGAGCCACACTGGCCAGGGCTATTTTTTTAATTCTTTATTTTTGTGAAAGCAATTTTGGTATTTGGAAGAGTTCAGGTGCCCATCTTCTGCAGTCACCAAGAAAGAGAGATCATTCTGAAGTTACTCTTTGAGAAATATGTTCTCTGACTTTATTTCTATAAATGGCTTTAAATAATGAAAAGTATCCTGAAGAAGTGTGTGGTATGCAAATTAGCATACAAAGGCTTTGGGTGCTTTCCTCTTTGTTTTGTTTCTGTGTTTGTTTTTGTAGTCCTAGCTGGAGAAAGCCAGGTTCAGAGTTGGTTTACTATAACCTATACCATTTTTTTAAAAAAATGTTTTTATTATTGATGTCAGAGAGGCAGGGAGAGGGAAAGAGAGATAGAAACATGAATGATGAAAGAGAATCATTAATCAGCTGCCTCCTGCACTCCCCACATTTGGGGATGAAGCCCGCAACCCAGGCATATGCACTGACTAGGAATCAAACTGTAACCCCCTGGTCCATAGGTCGACGCTCAGCCACCGAGTCATGCCAGCTGGGCATAACCTATTCCATCTGTTAACAACAAATATTTACTCTAAGCCCAACTGGTGTTAAGTACTATGCCAGCTCAGGAATAGGGAGTTTTTTAAAAACAACAACAACATAGCTCTGGCCCTCAAAGAACTCACAGACAAGAAGGGAACAAAGGAGACAGGCAAGTGGTCAGTAGCTGCAACATGATGTTTTAAGGAAGAATGGGGTGGAGACTTCTCATTCAAGCAGGGATGTTATGGGAAGCCTCTGAGAGGTAATGACTCCTGAGATGTATCTTGGACCACAAAATGGAGAAAGAAAACGTTATGGACAAAAGAAAGGAAGACTTGAAAAAGATATGGAAGCCTTGCTTGTTTTATTCACAAGATGATCTGCCTTGCTTTCTTACACCTTTTTATAATCTTCCTTAAATTCCCTCCTTAATTCTACATGCAGAAAAGAAGCTGCAACCTGCCATTCTGCAGAGCTTTTGAGATCTGACTTCCCAGAAATTGTCAGTTAAGCTTAAATAAACTCATAAAAATTCTCTACAGGTTTGGACATTTTTTTATATTGACAGCATGGTCTTATATGTACAAAATACCACAGAAACTATTTTTTTATATTTTAAATGATTTTTAGAGAGAGAGAGGAAGGAAAAGGGACAAAGAAGGAGAAACATTGATGTCAGCATGGAACATTGATCTGCTGCCTCCTGCATGCCTCAAACAGGGGATCCAGCCCACATCCCAGGCACATGCCCTGACCAGGAATGGAACTAGTCCCAATCTTTTGGTGTACAGGACAACGCCCAACCAACTGAGCCAAACCAGCCAGGGCCAGAATCTATTTTATTTATTTATTTTTTAATATATTTTTATTGATTTTTTCAGAGAGGAAGGGAGAGGGAGAGATAGAAACATCAGTGAGAGAATCATTGATCGGCTGCCTCTTGCACGCCCCCTACTGGGGATCGAGCCCACAACCTGGGCATGTGCCCTTGACTGGAATCAAACCCAGGACCCCTTAGTCCGCAGGTTGACGCTCTAACCGCTGAGCCAAACCGGCCAGGGCCAGAATCTATTTTAAAACATACAACTGTTAGAGCTGTATGTTTCTAAATTCAGCAAAGATTCTGGATTTAAGAACAAAAATCAGTAGCATTTCTATATGCTAATGATGAAAAATCTAAAAAGGAATTAAGAAAGCAATTCCTATTAACAACAGCATGAAAAAGAATAAAATATTTAGGATCAAGGAGGTATACGACTTGTACACTGACAACTAAAAAATACTGCTGAAAGAAATTAAAGAAGACCTAACTAAATGGAAAGAGACACCCATGTTCATGGATTGAAAAACTTAACGTTGTTAAGATGTCAGTACTCCTTTAATAGATCTATTGATTCAGTGCAGTCCCTATCTGAATCCCAAAGGCCTTGTTCTACAGAAATGGAAGAGCTGATCCTAACTGTAAGGGATCTGGAATTGTTAACAGCAGAGTTAGCCCTCGGTCCTTGAGTTCAGCTAAGAAAGAATTCAGGGCCAAGTTCTCTGGACTAAGAAACTTACTTGGAAAGTTGCAGAGGTAGAAGTGAACCAGCTGGGCTACATGAACTCAGGGACAAGGTACAGGGGCAAAGGAAGAGCCTCTGGAGCTTAGGAGAAAGAAAACACACCTGAAAGCAGAGAGGAAAAGGCTCGGGGGGGGGGGGGGGGGGGAGAGGGAGAGAGAGAGAGAGAGAGAGAGAGAGAGAGAGAGAGAATATGCCCTATGTCATTTAAAGGTTTTATCTGTTTTCCAAAGGCAGGGATTTTAGGGCAACTCTCAGGGGAGCACTTCAATAGAATATTCATCAGCTTCCCCCATGTGTTGGTTCAGGGTTGTGGTCTCTACTGATTGGTCGGCAGTAGGGTAGAGGGTCATTAGTCATTGCAGCTGGTCCTGGTGTCAGCCCTGGCCCTGATGTCAGCCCTGGCATCGCTTCATCTGGTTTTGCTGCTTTTCTGGGCCTGGCGTTGAAACACAACTGAGGTCTGAATGTTATCTCTAGTTTGACCAAAACTCTCTCTGTGGTCAGTAGACCCAAGGCTTTATTCCTAAGATTATTTGATGCAGGCCAGAACCTCATTGTCCTGGAGGCTGGATGCTTAAGGGAGCAGTTGTGCAAGGGCTTGTACAGGAGTCCTATGAGGCCATTCTCCAGCCCCCTTATTCCTCCTCTCAGAGTGTCTAAGCCGCAAGACTAGCAATATGGAAGGTCAGGGGGTCCAAACCGAATGACTATAGACATGCTAGGGGAGGAAAGGTCACCTTGGGAGTAAGGTCCTAGCCTATAATCCTTCTTTTCCCAATTTTGCTCATTGCTAGGCACCTGCAACTTTCCACCCTGGTGACATTCCATACTTGGCCTATCATTCCTGCTCTGCTCATGTCTGTCTTACTGCCTACTCTATTAGAATGACCCAAACAATCTTGAAAAAGAACAAAGTTGGAGGGCTCACACTTTCTGATTTCAAAACCTACTACAAAGCTACAGTAATCAAAACATTATGATACTGGCATAAGGATCGATATTTAAATAAATGGGATAGAATTTTTGAGTCCAGAAATAAACCAATACATCTATGGTCAACTGATTTTTGACAAGGGAAGAATCCTCTCTTTATCAAATGGTGCTGGGGAACATTTGCCGGAAAGGTTCCCCAGGTGCCTTTACCTGGGTGGGAATGGCAGGGGTCTATAGTAAGGCCCAATCTCATTTGCATCCTGGCACTAAAAACTATCAAGTAAAACACAAACCTGGGTTTAGGCAAATGAGATTTCTTTTGAAAAAAATTATTGCAACGGGGAGAAAAGAGACGACTCTATTGCAATATGGTAGAAGGGCAATTACTGTGGGGGAAATGCTCAACTGTCAAAACAAAACAGAAACAACACCCAGCTTTCCGTAAAGAGAGACTTTACTGTAGGATGTTATTCCAAGAAGAAAGGGAATGAGGCAGTGGGGTGTAAGGTGTGCGGAGGTGACTATGGCTGCAGGGGAATCTGCACAAGATCTGCCCCTGTCTCCCAGGTCAGGCGGGCATTTCTTTTCTAGGAACAAAAGCTAGAAAGAACTGGCTGCGGGGAAGGGGGCTGAACCTGTGGAGGTGGTAGTGGATCGCACTGAGCTCAGAGAAGGTTCTACAGGGAAGTCAGCCTGTTTTCAGGAGCGGTGGCTCAGGTTGAGGGTGGGTCAACGTTTCGGGGGCTGGAGGAAGCGGGGGAAGCTTAACAAAAGTTTGGTCAAGTCAGGATAGCTGGTATTTTGTCCACATCGGTCAGTAAGTACAATCAGTTCAGCTAATCACGTACGGGGCCAACAGGGGAATCGGAAGGGTCTGTGGCTGACCTCGTCATGGGCACACAAGGGGCACCCATGAGTCTCATCTGAATCACCTGGGGAAGGAAAGTGGTTCCTCGCTGTAGACCCTTTCAGGAACACAGGGAGGTGGAGAGATGGCCTTAACCGTCGCTTTCCGGAATCTCAGGGTTCGGGTTCAAGTTCAACATGGTCAGCATGCAGGGAATCCTCTCCCCCATTCAACCAAAGGCTGACGAGGGGCAGCGAGGAGGAGATGCGGGGTTCAGGTGAGCCCACGCCTAGCTCGCGAAGAGGCATCTAGCGGCGGGGCCGGCGGCAGGAAGCAGGTGGCCGCCCGGGAGCGGGGAACGCGGAGGCCAGACGCCGCCGCCGCCGGCCCCGCCCCCGCGCGCTCTCGGGGCTGCGCAGAGGCGGCCAGGGCGCGCGCCCGCGGCGGTGGCGGAGGCCGGCGGGCTGGGTCCCAGGGGCGCGGCCGCGAGCCCCGGCGGGTCTGGGAGCTGCGGTGCTCCGGTTCCGAGGGGCTCCGGTCCGGCGGCGGCGCCCGCGGCGCTGAGCGAATTGAGGACGAGGCCGGGAGGGGACAGCGCGGCGGGTCCCTCTCCAGCGGCCACGCCCGGAGGTGAGTTTCCCGGGGCCGCGGCGCGTTCGGCGGGGAGCGGGGCTGGGCGGTGCGCTCGCTGCCGGGCTGCGGCCGACGTTTGCCGGTGGGGGGGTGGGGGTGCGGGGAGGCGGGGGGTCGTTGGGTCCCGCCGTGCCGCCGCGCTCGCCTTTGTCTCGAGGAGCCGGGTTCCCGCTAGGTTTCGGAGCCCGCGTCTGCGATCACGAAAGGGCGCCATCGGGCGGCGGCGGGGCGAGACCCCTGCCCAGCCCAGACCAGCCCAGGTGAGCCCGGCTCTCAGCCGCGGGCTGCTGGCTTCCTGGGTGCCAACTCCGGGAAAGCACATCATCAGCTGGTTTTCTGGTTCCGAAGACGCTCAGAAACTTCGAGTTCTGTGCTGTCAAAATGCCCCTGTTTCCAAAGGCGATCGCGGCAGAAGCACAGCTCAGGAAGCCAAGGCGCGTCTGCTCGGGGTAGACATTTCCTAGTGAACTTCATGCCCAGCCTCCCACAACGCACTTTATTTTGCAGTTTTCCTACTTAATTTCTTTTTTCCTGTGTGTCTGTTTTCCTTTTGACTCGCAGTTCATTGCTTCTCCGTGTGGTGTTCAGTGTTGGTTCCTTCGTAGGTAACGTGAGATCAGTTGAAAATAAAGATGGGAAACTTGTAGTCTGTATTGATGTCAGTGGGGAACTGTCAAGTGTGATTGTAAGGGACATGAACACCAACCTGCTTATTTCATAGTCACGGCTCAAGGATGTTTGGGGAGTATTTATAAGTTTTTAAATTATAGTTTCGTTTTAATGGGACAGACTTTAAAAACTGGTGTTGTGTTTTCTATGTAAATATGCTGAAAGTCTCATTGACTTAAAATGCAGTTTAATTCAATGAATGCTGAGCATCCATGTAAAACAGTAACGTTAATGCTAGGCACTGGTGGAATCCAAAAATGAGTGAGAATTGTGTGCAGGCTGGAGAAAATGATTAAACACAAATAATAATGATACAGGCAGAACACAGTGTGAACAGGCACTGCTACTGACTCCTAGACCTGCACTGTGGTAAATACTTTACATGCATACTTTACTTACTTAATACTTAATGTTTATTACTTAATAATTTGTCATTCAAATTTTTTAGTACCTACTGTGTGCTGAATGCTAATGATTTTGATATAGTAGGCGGTTAGATAGACATGAGCAGAGTAGGAACCATAGGCCAGGTACAGAAGGTCACCAGGTTGGAAAGCCCTGGGTGCCTAGCAACCGGGAAAACAAGTATTGCAGGGTGGGACTTGTCCCCAAGTTGACCTTCCTCCTCTGGCCTGTCTCTAGTCATGTGGTTCTCAACCTTCCTAATGCCACGACCCTTTAATACAGTTCCTCATGTTGTGGTGACCCCCAATTTCATTGTTACAAATTGAACATAATTAAAGCATAGTGATTCATCACAAAAACAATATGTAATTATATATGTGTTTTCCGATGGTCTTAGGCGACCCCTGTGAAAGGTCGTTCAACCCCCAAAGGGGTCGCGACCCACAGGTTGAGAACCGCTGCCTTTAGAGGAAGAACAAGGGAGCTGGAGAATGGCCTCATGACACTCCGGTTCAAGCCCTTGTACTACCACTCTCTTAAGCAGTAGGTCTCCAGGGCAGTGGTTTCTGGCCTGTATCAAATCATCGTAGGAACAAAGACCTGGGTCTGTTGACCACAGAAACAGTGTTTTGGTCAAACTAGAGATAACACTGAGGCCTCAGCTGTGTTTTAGCCCCAGGCCCAGAAAAAAAAAGCAAAACCAGAAGAAGCCATGCCAGGGCTGACATGAGGACCAGCTGCAATGACTGACTAATGACCTCCTACCCTAGTGCCGGCCAATCACAGAGACCCCGACCATGAAAGAACACACCTGGAAAGCTAATGAATATTCTTTTGAGGTGCTCCCCTGAGACTTCTAAAATCCCCAACTTTGGAAAGCAGATAAAATCCCCTAAGATGAAGGACTTCAGTGTGAACTCTCTCACTCTCATTCCCTTACACGCCTGCACCTCCCCCCCGCCCCCCACCTTGCTTGCTTTCTCCTAAGTTTTAAGGGCTCTTCTTTTGCCTCTATAACTTGTTTTACTGAGTCCGTGCAGCCCAGCTGGCTCACTTCGGTTACCTGTGCTGACATTCTAGATGGCAACCATTATAGACTTTGCCTTTAAGGACTTTACATTGCCATTTGGGAAACATTGTCATGGTGTGATGATTTAAGCAAATCATCCCACAAGTAAATGCCAGCAAACTTAGAGGCTAAAAAAAGGAAGAATGTAGGCTGTTGTGAGAGCGAGGAAGGGGTTGCGGGGGCACTTATCTCAGCCAGGAAAAGTAGTTAAGGTTTTCCTGAGAAAGTCATCCTCAAGCTGAGGTATGGGTAAGTAGGAACAGGTGACGGTGACTCCCAAAGGAGAGAAGGAAGGGCCCAGACATAGGAAATAGCTTCCACTGAGGCTTGGGAAGAGTTGGGGAGCTGGAAGGTCGAAGCAGTTGGATTGAATGTAGAAAGCAAGGGGGATGTGGGTAGGGCCAGAGAGATCACGTGGGGCTGCTTAAGCAGTGTTAAGGATTGGCAACCAATTTTTTTTCTCTTCTTGAAAAAACTTTTATGGAGAACTTTTCAAAGCACTCAAATGTAGCGAGAGAACAATACAATGGAACTCCCCTGCAATGTTATTCAGAGGATTTGGACCGTATTCAAAGAGCAGTGGGAAGTCTTTGAAGGGTTTTAAGGAGGGACGTCCCACAATGAAATTTGTATCTTAGTCAGAAAGGTCACCCTGACATTTGTGTCGAAATCAGATGGGATGGGGACATGAGCGGATGTGAGGAAACCAGCTAGCGAGGACGGTTGTGGCTGTGAAGAGAAGGCAGATTACCAACGGGTCTCTCCTTGCCGTGTTAGTAAATCTATATTCATGCCTTTTGGAGAAATCCTGGCAGATTTTCTAAAGGAGATTGTATTTAAGGAGGTAGATAACATTTCAGGAACCCTGGAATGAGAATGCCTAGGTGTCAGAGGGTGGCTGACAAGGCGACCCTGACCGCCTTTCCCTCAGGATTTCCTCATCCAAATTACTTTGGTCACCATCACTCCGGTCCTTAGGGGCATATACCTCATGCATTAACAATTCTTTCTAGAAGACACAACTGTACTTTCTTTTTTTGCACAGATTACAGGCAGTTAAGTGGAAACTTTCCAAAAGGTTTCATTTTTTATTATTTAATAGTAAACTAGAATTCATAAAATATACTGTCTTAAAGTGTCTGATTCTGATGCTACCATAATTTGCCCTCATAGGCCTAATTGTAATTCCATTCCATAGAAGAACTAAGTGAAGGAACTCCACATGGAAATGTGATCCATGGGTTTCTTTTTTTAAAAATATATTTTTATTGATTTCAGAGAGGAAGGGAGAGAGCTAGAGAGATAGAAACATCCATGATGAGAGAGAATCATTGATTGGCTGCCTCCTGCATGTCCCCCACTGGGGGGGGATCGAGCCCGAAACCCGGGCATGTGCCCCTGGCTGAAATCGAACCTGGGACCCTTCAGTCCACAGGCTGACGCTCTATCTATCCACTGAGCCCAGCCAGCTAGGGTGATCCATGGGTTTCTTTTCCCTTGTGTTTAATTCCAGGAATGGCTTTATCCTTAAGGAGAAGCTTCAGCTTTTACATAAAGATAGCATACCCAATGGTATAATATCTTGATACAAATATTTATCTTTCAAAAATATAGCCTGTATTACCTACCTGGTTTGGTTTGATTTTTGTTGTGTGTGTGTTTGCTTTGTTGTTGTTGTTAATTCTCACCCGAGGATATATATTTTTTTTTTCATTGCTTTTCCGAGAGAATGGAAAGGAAGGAGGGAAGAAGGGGGAAAGACAGAAGAGAGAGAAACATTGATCTTCTGAAAGAGACACATCAACTGGTTGCCTCCCACATGCAGCTGACCAGGACTCAAACCCGAGACCCTTCAGTGCTAGGGCCTAACTGCTGAACCACACCAGCCAGGGCACCTGTTTATAAAAATAAATAAAATTGGTAATACCCAAATGTTTTCTATTCGAAGTCTAACGTATACATTGAAAAGACAAAATCTTTTTATTTTTTATTTAATCCTCACCCGAGGATATGTTTTTTGATTTTAGAGAGAGGGGAAGGGAAAGAGAGAGAGAGAAACATCGGTGTCAGAGAGAAACACTGATCAGTTGCCTCCCCTAGGCACCCTAACCAGGGATGGAGCCTGAAACCTAGGTATGTGCCCTGACCGGGAATCAAACCCACAGCCTTTTGGCGTACAGGACAACGCTCCAACCAACTGAGCCACACTGGTCAGAGCACTAACTCTATTTTGACTAGGTTTTCTTTCTGGTGGATATGTTCCAAAAAGCTCCGTGTACTCTGTCTCCTGACTGATTTTATCACTGCAGTTGTTGGGAGTTAAGTGGGATAATATTTGGGAAGGTGTTTGGTAAACTGTGATATACAGTACAAATGTAAGATGGTAGTGGTACTAATTAGAAGTAAACTGAAGCAAGATGAAGAAATTGTTCATCTGTCCATTCTGAGGCCCCTTCATGCTGGAAACTTCGGAACTTGCCAGATGGCTTTTTTATTCTCTGCTGTACAGAACATGCATTAGGTTCACTCGCGTTATATGACTGTGATCATTGCGGCAGCTCACTCAGTGGGTACAAATAAATGTTACATGGTTCAAAAATTATGTAGCCAGTATTCTAGTACAGGTCCGTTAGAAACCAAGGACTCTTCATTCTCTTCGGCTATCATAAAACAAGCAAAAGACTTTATCAGTGGCCTATAACTATGAAATGATTACAGGTAGTAGTGATTTGCTAGAGGACGACACCTTCAGGGCGGCAACTCTCCGCTTTGCACTTGCTGTGCGCCGTGGAAGAAACAGGAACTGTGTAACTCCTGATACCGGACCTCAGGGATCTTGGATCCAGCAGAGAGATTAAAAGACAGAACAGAAACAATAGTAAACAAGATCAGACCAATATGACTTAAATGCCCCAAATCTAAATGTTTTAGGAGAGGAGTGTTAACTGGGTTTATTATTTCACCTTTATGGTAGAAGTGGATCTTGGGTTGGGGCTTGGAAGGACAATTAGGATTTCAATGCCTAAAGCAGGGGTGGGCAAACTTTTTGACTCGAGGGCCACAATGGGTTCTTAAACTGGACAGGAGGGCCGGAACAAAAGCATAGATGGAGAGTTTGTGTGAACTAATATAAATTCAAAGTAAACATCATTACATAAAAGGGTACGGTCTTTTTTTTTTTTTAGTTTTATTCATTTCAAACAGGCCGGATCCTGCGGCCGTAGTTTGCCCATGGCTGGCCTAAAGGATAGTTACAATGTGAGCCAAGAAGTGGAATGACTATGTTATGTTTATGATACAATAAGGATCAGATCTAAACTAAGGGATTATTTTAGAGTAGTTGAAAATAATGTTGGAAAACTGTCAAGTGAAAAAATGGAATGCAGGAAGGTAGCTGATCAATGATTCTTTCTCATCATCGGTGTTTCTATCTTTCTCTCCCTCTCCCTCTCTGAAATCAATAAAAATATATATTTTTTAAAAAAAGACATACCGCCCTAGCTGGTTTGGCTCACTGGATAGAGCGTCAGGCTGGGGACTGAAGGGTTCCAGGTTCGATTCCGGTCAAGGGCATGTACCTTGGTTGTAGGCACATCCCCAGTAGGTGGTGTGCAGGAGGCAGCTGATTGATATTTCTCTCTCATCGATGTTTCTAACTCTCTATCCCTCTCCCTTCCTCTCTGTAAAAAAATCAATAAAATATATATATGAAAAAAAGACATACCATGTAGTAAATATTTTAGTATTAAATATTTTTATTTTAAATATTTTATTTAAATATTGTGCTATTAAATATTTTAAAATATTAAAGAGCATTCAACTTGTGTCTATAATGTTTTATTTCTTAAATAAACACAAAGAGCCCAGCTGGCATGGCTCAGTGGTTGAGCCTCAACCTATGAACGAGGAAGTTATGGTTCGGTTCCCAGGTCCTGAGCATATGATGGGGCTCCATCCCCAGTATGGGGTGTACAGGAGGCAACTGATCAGTGATTCTCTCTCATCATTGATGTTTCCATCTCTCTCTCCCTTCCTCTCTGAAATCAATTTAAAAAAATTTAAATAAACAAAAAGAAGTAAGTCAAAATGTAAATTTTTCTGAATCTGAATGGTAGGGATGGGTGTTTATATTTTTCTCTATTTTATGTATATTTGTAAGGGAAGCAGTTTTTAAAGGGAAGCCATTAAATAGTTTTAGAAATGATGAGATTTGAAGGACAAAGTCTTAGGAGAAAACATTAGTAAGCATGAAGTTCTGGTTTTCTGAATATATTTTTAATTTGTTTTCTGGTTTTTAAAACTTTTTATCAAAGTCATATATCCACCGTTTAAAGGGGTAGTGTGGCTTTAGTGACTCTGCCTTACCCTCTAGCCAAAACCTAGAGTCTGAAATGATTGCTGGGAATGCTGCTGAGGGTCCTGGCCTCACACGTGTTCCTACTCACTCCTCTGCCTCTTAGAATTTCCTCCTTCTTTCTCCCTGTCAGTTTCGCCTAGTGTTTCAGAATTGCTCACAATTTTCTCATAAGAAGGCTAAGCAATACAGTCACTATCAGTTTACATTCAAGTCATAATGAAAACAATAAAGGTATTTAAAACAATTTTCAAGATAGGCTATTTTCCAGAGCAGACTCCACAATTCTACTCTGATTCCTAGCAAAACATAGGCTCCATGGGAATTGGTGCTGCAGCCAAATTGGCTGTGGTTATGGCCCAGCTCCATTAGCAGAGGCAAACTGGAGAACTGGAATGGACGTCAGGACCCCAGATCAGTCAGGCTCTCATTTTCTCTGGTGAAAGGCTGCCCCTGGGTCCCGTGACCAGATTAGCGTCACCTCCAGATCCTTTGGAGACTTTTAAGTGGGGCCAGTAGATTATTCTAGTGCCCATTTTCTTTCTGGTTCTCATGGCTTTGGAATGGATCTGGTGGGCCTTCAGTGGCTATGACTGATGTCTGCTTTCTATTTAAATGTACTTAAAATTGCCCTGGCCTGTGTTTCTCAGTGGTTAGAGATTCAGCCCGTGCACCAAAGGGTTTCGGGTTCGATTCCTGGTCAAGGGCATGTGCTTGGGTTGCAGGTTTGATCCCCAGCCGCAGTTGGGGTGCATTTGGGAGGCAACCAATCTCTCTTTTTTCCTCTCTCTTTTTCTCTTTTCCACCCTCTTCCTCCCCCCTCCATCCCTCCCTTCCAGTCTCTGAAAATCAATGAAAAAAAAAAAATATCCTCCAGTCAGGATTATTTTATAAATAAATATACTTAAAACTTACTTTTAAAAAAAATCCTGCCCTAGACTGTTTTGCTCAGTGGTCAAAGCGTCGACCTTGGGACCAAAGAGTCCTGGGTTCGATTCTGGTCAAGGGCACGTACCTTGGTTGCAGGCTCCTCCCTGGGCTGGGCCCTGGTCAGGGCATGTGCAGGAGGCAAACCAATCTTTTTTTTTTTTTCTTTTTAAATATATTTTATTGATTTTTTACAGAGAGGAAGGGAGAGAAATAGAGAGCTACAAACATCGATGAGAGAGAAACATCGATCAGCTGCCTCCTGCACATCTCCCACTGGGGATATGCCCGCAACCCAGGCACATGCCCTTGACCGGAATCGAACCCGGGACCCTTCAGTCCGCAGGCCGACGCTCTATCCACTGAGCCAAACTGGCTTCGGCACAAACCAATCTTTGTGTTTCTCTCACATTGATGTTTCTCTCTGTCTTTCCCTCTCTTCCACTCTCTCTAAAAATCAATGGAAAAATATCCTCAGGTGAAGATTAACAAAATTTTTTAAAATCCTCACCCAAGGATATTTTCCATCGATTTCTTTCTTTCTTTTTTTTTTTTTTTTTTACAGAGAGAGGAAGGGAGAAGGAGAGAGAAACATCAGTATGAGAGAGAAACATTGATCGGTTGCCTCCCATACACACCCAGACCAGGGATCAAACCCGAAACCTAGGTATGTGCCCTGAAAAGGAATGACACAGGAACCCTTTCGGTGTATGGGACAACACTCCTCCACTCCGAGCTAAGCCACCCGGCCAACACTTAAAACTTACATTTTTTAAATAGCAGTGCTGTACTTGCCTTTTGTATATGTACTCTCCAGAGAGAATTTAAGGAACATATTCTTATTTGACACCGCCTATTTGAGAGTTGAAATATTTTTAATGCATTGTAGAAATCTAACTTGATTATGTCTCCTCTTGGGGTAAAGTGTTTTTCTTTAGTTTTAAATCTGCAGTGTAGTCTCGGGGATCTTGATATCATAAAAAATCTGTCATGACCTAATAATAACATATTCTTAACTGTATTGTTTTTCTTTTAAATGTATTTTTATTGATTTCAAAGAGGAAGGGAGAGGGAGAGATACAGAAACATTAATGATGAGAGAGAATCATTGATGGGCCCTCCCACACACCCGCTCCTGGGATGGAGCACGCAACCCAGGCATGTGCTCTGACCAGGAACCGAACCTTGACCTCCTGGTTCATAGGTCAACACTCAACCACCGAGCCATGCTGGCCAGGCTTAACTATATTGTTTTAAGCACATATAAATAGAAGTTGTAATTTAGTTTTTCCCTAATATGAACTTTTTAAAAGCATAGCATGAATTGAAACTAACTTATATAGGTTTATTAAAGCATTGCACTCCAGTATTTTTTAAAGCTTACTTAATATTAAAACATCAAAAAGTCATTGATTTCTTTTTTCTTTCTATAATCAGTTTGATTGTGTGTGTGGGGGGGTTTTTTTAGTTAAATAACCAGACATTCCAGATTAGATAAAACAGACTTCATTTTCCCTAACTTGAATTTTGATAACTGACGACTTAAATTTTGCAGTAGGCAGGCAGTTCATTACTATTGTCTGTGTTTGACCTCACATAGCTCATTTGTGTGCTATTACTCTATCTAAGAAAGAGATGGACATGAATATAGATATTGGTTTATATTAGGGGGAAAAATAAGGTTACCCATAAGCTGGGAAAGAGAGGACAAGGTGGGAGGGGCAAGGATGAAAGCTGGATTTCTCTGGAACAATATTTATATGGAACCATAAATATTTTACACACTTAAGAAACACATTAACTGAATTGACTATCAAGTAGGTAGCAATATCACACAGGAATTGTTTCAAGTAATTTAAAACATAATAATTTTACTGTGTATCCTAGTGAGAGCTTTGAGTTTGGTCACTTGTTCTTAAGACCCTTTCAGTGTTACTTTGGCACACATAATAACTTATGTGGAGAATATGAGTGCATGCAATTTAAAATGCTATGAATTAATTTATTTAAAATGCTAAACTCGTAACTTTAACTTTTGTTTCCTTTTACCTTTACAGTAAGGCAGAAGAGAATGAAAGAAGTAGATAATCTTGAAAGTATAAAAGAATGGTAAGTTAATTCGATCTGTGAAGTTTCTTTGTTAGTAATGCCTTTGTTAGTGTCTTTTTCTATTTTTACTGCATTTCACTGACTGTGATTGTAAGTGTTCATTATGATTATCTCAGTTAAATATACCTAATAGTAGTATATTTTAAAGTAACTTTTTTTTTTTCACCATCACTGCATTGAATGGATTTTAGTGAAGTCACTAGATCTTCTTTTTACTAATAAAAAAAAAATTGTTAGGACAATTTATGTGACAATTGCCAACAAGTATTTTTAAGAATTTAAGTGAAATAAGCACATTCTTCTTTGGTAGAAAAATAAAAGTTAAAATGTTCTCTTTGCATATTACTTCTGTCATATAAGTGAGAAATGCCAGTAACTTTGCTTCGTTAGCCTCTTGTGACAGAGTCACAGTGGAAACATAATGGCTTTGGAGTCAGGTAAACCCAGGTTTGAATCCATCTCTTTCTTATACTACTTCTCTGGCCTGTGGGCAATGCAGATAGATTATTTGAGCTTCAGTATCTCATCTGTATAGTCCATGGACAGAGACAACAGTGTGGTGAAGGCCTGGGGTGGGGTAGGGGCTGGGTGGAGGAAAGCAGAGTGGGGAGGAATGGGGGACATCTGTAATACTGTCAACAATAAAAAATAAATTTTTACAAAAATATATGAACTGGGACTATACTTAGGTACCTGAAAGATTTTGGGGATAATTAGATAGCTTATATAAAACACTTAGCATAGTATTAGCATATAGAAGGCATGCAATAAATGGTAAATGCAAAATGTGTGGCTGTTAATATAGAATATTTTATTCTCATTTACGGAGGTGAAATATATCTTGTATTATTCTCTTTGTTTTAAATCCTTGAGGTACATTTCTTTCATCCGTAGTTCATTTGAGACAGACAAGTATTTATTTCACACTTACAAATATTTTGAAAATGCTTCTGTATCAAACAAACATTTGTTATTTTTGACTAGAGTGTTTACTGTTTTATTTATATTTGATACTAACTATATAATTTTAAGATTGTGTCAGGGGTCTCTAAGACCACCCCCAGGTTTGTAATCGTACTATGATTTATTACAATGGACGGGTAAAAAGCAAAATCAGCAAAGGGGAGAGAGCACATGGGGCAAAGTCCAGGGGAAACCAGGCACAGGCTTCCAAGAGTCCTCGCCTGTGGGGTCACCTGGGACGAACTTAATTCTCCCCGTGATTAGTTATGACAGCCCATGTGAAATGATATCTACCAAGAAAGGTTATTGGAAATGAGCCTAGGCTTTTTATTGGGGGCTCGTCACCTACTCAAATTTCAGACTCTCCAGCGGAAAGCAAGCAGGCCTTTCGAAGGATAGCAGTCAGGCCCACTGTGTTAACTCTTTTCTATGCAGACATACAATGATTGAACGATTTAAAAGAGTAAGATTAGCTTGGGACTTTTTTTTTTTTTAACACTTTATTGAGACCTAATTCACATACCATATGATTTATGCATTTAAAGTATTCAATTCAGTGATTTTTACTACATTCACAATATTTACTGCATTAGTATTGTGAGAAATCATCTTAGGGTGTGATTATTTTTTAATAGGAAGTATCATATTGTTGCCTTGGAAAGGCATAATTAATACTTTATGATAATATGAAGTGTCTTAAGAGTAGATACAGAGCCCTAGCTGGTTTGGCTCGGTGGATAGAGCGTTGGCCTGCGGACTGAAAGGTCCCACGTTCGATTCTAGTCAAGGGCACGTGCCCGGGTTGCAGGCTCGATCCTCAGTAGGGGGCATCCAGGAGATGGCCGATCAATGATTCTCTCTCATCATTGATGTTTCTATCTCTCCCTCTCCCTTCCTCTCTGAAATCAATAGAAATATATTTAAGAGAGAGAGAGAGGCTTTATAGCATACCATGGTTAGTAGAATAGACTTGGAAGACATTAACATTCTGTTTCTGCCACTTACTAGTTGTGTAACCTCCGACATATAAGTTAACCTCTCTCTGACTCATTTTTCTTATCTATAAAATGGGAGAAAGGTACCTATAGTTCCTGGCACAGTCTAAGAGCTATAAAAAGTGTTGATTACTTACTGAATCTGAGGAGATATATCTCAGAACATTTATGAATCTAATATATGAATTCTAAAAAGATCTGCCAGGAATATATTTTCTATCAAATGAACCTTTGGTAATATTTCCTATATAATATAAATATAGAATGAAATCCAGTATATGGAAGTGAGCAAAATGGGTGAAGGGGTTCAAAAGGTACATATTTCCAGGTATAAAATAAAGAAGTCATAGGGGTGTAATGTACTATAGTGACTATAGTTACTAATTAGTGACGATAGTTACTAATACTGTATTGCATATTTGAAAGCTGGTAAGTTAATGCTCTGCCTGGGTAGGTCAGTTGGTTAGAGCATCATCCTGGTGAAATTTATCCCCCAACTCCCACCCCACAGATGTTTTTGGTTGTCATAACACTTTGGGGGTGGGAAAGTATGCATGCTACTGACATCTAATGGGTCAATGTCACAGATGATGGTAAGCATCCTAGAATACTTAGGACAGCCTGCACAACAAAGAATTATCTCTCCCCAAATGTCAATAGACTCAACTTGAGAAAACCCTGCTCTGGACCCAAAGGGTTAATGACTTCCCAAGGTCAAATGTCTGTTAACTGAGAAGAGGGTCTAGACTGCGGACTTGGAAGTGGCATCTCAGGTCAGGATCCCTTAACTAGAATAATGTATGTGAATTTTTAGAGAACTGGTAGTTAATAATGCTCACTTTTCTTTGTTGTGTATTCAGGGTTTGTGAAACAGGATCTGACAACCAACCTCTTAGTGATAATCGACAATCAACTTGTGAGTATTTTGTCGACAGTCTTTTTGAGGAAGCCCAGAAGGTTGGTGCCAGATGCTTGTCTCCCACTGAACAGAAGAAACAGGTAAATGCCTGTGACTTTTTTTCTCCTCCACTGTTTCTCCAAATATGGACCTTTTAGAGCGGTGGTTCTCAACCTTCTGGCCCTTTAACTACAGTTCCTCCTGTTGTGACCCAACCATAAAATTATTTTCGTTGCTACTTCATAACTGTAATGTTGCTACTGTTCTGAATCGTCATGTAAATATCTGATATGCAGGATGGTCTTAGGCAACCCCTGTGAAAGGGTCATTCGATGGCCAAAGGGGTCGCGACCCACAGGTTGAGAACCGCTGTTTTAGAGAGTCCACGAGATCAAAACTGTTTAATAATAATAGTGAGATGTTATTTACCTGGTCATTGTGTTGACCTTGCACTGATCCTGCAAAATCGATGGTGGGTGATAAAGCGGCTGGCACCTTAGAAGGAGTCAAGGCCGTGGCACCAAACTGTACTGGTAATTACTGTCTTCTTTGCTTGCACTTGCAGGGATAAAATAAACACTAGTTTCGATTAAAAATGTTCTTGATGAAGTAGTGAAAATGATAAATTTTATGAAATCCCAATCCTTCAGTGCACATCTTATTAATATTATAATGCAAAGTACACAGACATTTTACAATATACAGAAGTATATTTTTTAATTAACGTGATGCATTTGTTTCTTACTGCTTTGCAGGTAGATATAAATATAAAATTATGGAAAAATGGATTCACGGTCAATGATGATTTCAGAAGTTATTCAGACGGTGCAAGTCAGCAGTTTCTGAACTCCATCAAAAAGGGGTAAGCAACCTTGGTAAATAGCAGGATAGTTTAGGCATGTTTCATTTGGAAGAATGGTTTTTAATGGCTGTTTACACATCCCTACACATTCACAGGTACTTTTAGAAATTCAGTTTCATAGGATGGGTTTTCTTAAGAGAGCCACAGCTATAATTTTGAAGAAAGTGGAGGCGTTAGAATTTTGACCAGGTGGTCAGTGCACGTCATAGCCAGCAGTCGAGCAGCCTTAGCATATCATTTGCATATTACGCTTTGATTGGTTGAAAGGTCGACCAGATGACCAGACACTTAGCATATTAGGCCTTTATTACCATATAGGATATTTTTCAATTCCTTTTGCATGGAGAGTATATTTTTCAGTAAAAGAAAATGCACATGGTGAGTGTGGGCACTTTGTTTCTTTCCCTTCCCAGGGAATTGCCTTTGGAATTACAGGGAACATTTGATAAGGAGGAGGTGGATGTTAAAGTTGAAGATAAGAAACATGAAGTGTGTGTGGCAACGAAGCCTGTGTTCCAGCCCTTCTCAGGACAGGGTCACCGACTGGGAAGGTGAGTGGGCTCATGATTGTAGCAGAGGCTGGACTAACATTCAGCCCATCATTATTTTACCAGGGAGACCACAGATATGGAGCTTATCATTTCTCCCATTACAAATGGAATTTTTTATTAATCCTCACCCAAGGACATGCAGAGAGGGGGGGGGGGCGGGGGGGAGAGAAAAAGAGAGAGAGAGAAACATCAATGTGAGAAAGAAATATAGAAACATTGATCAACTGCTTCTGTATGCTCCCCGATTGGGCATCAGACCCACAACCCAGGTATCTGCCCTGAATGGGAATCGAACTAGCAACCTTGCGGTGCACAGGACGATGCTCAACCAACTGAGCCACTTCGCCTAGTGCAAATGAAATGTTTAATGTTAGCTTTTGTGAGGACTCCTCTAAGTCATATTTACCTTCGTGTGAATTAGCATATGCTGGCACTACAGTAAAAAAATCTTGGGGGCTTGTTTGGTTTCATCAAATCAAAAGGGCATGGCTTATTGAGGACATTAGGCAAAATTGGATGGATGGGTCGTTTCTTTTCTCCCTTACACTCACCACCTGAGCTTTGCCATTAAAGTTAGCGTGCAGACACTAGCTTTTGAATATAGGGTTCCATTTTACACATACCACTGCTTTTAACATTGTACTGTAATCACTATCTGAATTTTGAGGTAATAAAAATGAAAAATGTCTGATAAAGTTAGCAGTATTAAAACCTTTATTTGTTGTTGTTGTTAATGAAAATAAGCTTTATGTCCTAGCCGGTTTGGCTTAGGGATAGAGCATCGGCCTGCAGACTGAAGGGTCCTGAGTTCGATTCTGGTCAAGGGCACAAGCCCAGTTTCGGGCTCGATCCCCAGTAAGGGGCAGGCAGGAGGCAGCCAATCAATGATTCTCTCTCACCATTGATGTTTCTATCTCTCTCTCCCTCTCCCTTCCTATCTGAAATCAATAAAAATATATTTTAAAAAAATTAAAAAAGAAAATAAGCTTTATTACATCAAGTAATAAATATATAAAAAGAGGCAGTGTTAGTTATTTTCTTCCAGATGTTTATAGTATCAAAACCTTTAATTATGCCCAGTTGGTGTGGCTCAGTGGTTGAGTGTCAACCCATCAACCAGGAGCTCAGGGTTCTTCTATTCCTGGTCAGATCACATGCCCAGATTGCAGGCTCAATCCCCAGTAGGGGGCATGCAAGAGGCAGCCAATCAGCGATTCTCTCTCATCATTGATGTTTCTAACTTTCCCTCTCCCTTCCTCTCTCTGGAATCAATTAAAAAAACACACACCTTTAATTATTTTCAGATTTTGCAGTCTTTTTATTTTATCCTCACCCGAGGATATTTTCCATTGATTTTTTTAGGGAGAGTGGAAGAGAGAGGGAAAGACAGAGAAACATCGATGTGTTTAGAGAAACACATTGATTGGTTGCCTCCTGCACAAACCCCAAATAGGGTCCAGGCTGGTGAGGAGCCTGCAACCAAGGTACGTGCCCTTGACTGGAATTGAACCCTGGACCCTTTGGTCCACAGGCCAACGCTCTATCCACTGGGCAAAACCGGCTAGGGCTGCAGTCTTCTTTATATCTGTGCCTTATAGCAGAATATGCAAAGAGGTTAGATGTGGGATCACTTTTATTTTGATGATTTCTCATATGTTAATTATCAAGATTGGTAAGGTGTATACACATTTATGCATACATATAAAAATATCCAGATATGATTTTCAGAAAATACATTTTTATACCATTGGATCTACTTTTTAACAGAATAATAGTGTGCATTTGGTAAAAATGAATGACATATATATGCATCTGACTTTTTTGTCTGGATTTTTTTAGTGCCACACCAAAAATTATTTCTAAAACAAAAAGTATTGAAGTTGAGAAGAAAAATAATTTGTCTACTGTCCCACTAAACAACCTGGAACCCATCACTAATATACAGATCTGGTTAGCCAGTGGGAAAAGGATTGTTCAGAAATTTAACATGTCTCATAGGTGAGTCTTTCATTTCATTATTTGTCTGATTTTTTTCCTAATTTTAATTTTTATCTCTTCTATTAACTTCAATCAAGAGTTGCATTTCTTTATTATCTTAGTGTGATTATAGAGATCACAGTATACATTTGTTTTTTGTTTTGTTTTTTAATCCTCACCCGAGGATATTTTTCCATTGATTTTTAGAAATTCCATTGACCTTTAGAGAGAGTGGAAGAGAGAGGGGAAGACAGAGAGAAACATCGATGTGAAAAACACATTGATTGGTTGGCTCCTGCATGAGCCCCAACCAGGGAGGAGCCTGCAACCAGGGTACGTCTCTTGACCAGAATTGAACCTGGGACCCTTCGGTCTGCAGGCCGATGCTCCATCCACTGAGCCACACTGGCTAGGGCTATATTTGTTAATTTTACTGCACAGTTTCTTTAATCTTTTTTTTAAAAATATATATGTTTATTGATTTCAGAGAGGAAGGGAGTGGGAAAGAGAGATAGAAACATCAATGATGAGAGAGGAGCATTGATTGGCTGCCTCCTACACACCCCTTACTGGGGATTAAGCCCACAACCTGGGCATGTGCCCTTGACCAAAATCAAACCTGAGACCCTTCAGTCCACACACCAATGCTCTGTCCACTGAGCCAATCAGGCGAGGGCGAGTTCCTTTCATCTTTACTGTTTTTCTTCCTTTTTATAGTTATATTGTTTGCCATAAGCTTTAACCATTAGTTATCTAATATTTGATATCCAAATAAATACAAGGACCACATCCTGGACTTTTTTGGTGACCTGCACAGGTTTAACAGAGTGGCATTTCTGAATTTTAGTGAATTGATTGGGAGAATTTTGTCTTTCGCAATGTGCCATATTTCATTAACTCTGAGTTGCGCATTTTTTTACGCTTAGCGCCTCTGAAATGGGGATGCATCCATCGCTGGCCACATGGCAATCCTGTCACAATTGTCTTTGCCTTAGTATCACCCTCAAAGCGTGCAACACAAGTATCAGACGAACAAGAAGCACCCCAGAGGCAGTAGCAGAGCACTTCTTAAAATACATTCTGTGTCACCAACACACCTGGTGATTCTGAGGGTGGGTATTACGTGGAGAAACATGTCCAGGATCTGGGTGTGACTAGTGTTCATTAGGAATGGCCCTACCATTTCATTGTAATTAATTTCCTACTGTCCCCAAGGGTCCACCTTTAAAAGATGGCCCCAGTGAACAGCTCTAGCATTATAATTTGAGTGTTCTGTGTGTTCACACAGCCAGATATCTTCACATTGGCTCGTTCAAATTTTCATAAAATTGTATTGATAGTTGGTGCCATTTTACAGGATAAGCCACATCAAAGACTTCATTGAAAAGTACCAAGGATCTCAGAGAAGTCCCCCCTTTTCCCTGGCCACGGCTCTCCCGTACCTCAGGCTGCTAGACGAAGCTCTCACACTGGAAGAAGCAGACTTACAGAACGCCGTCGTCATCCAGAGACTCCACAAAGCCACAGAGCCTTTTAGAGGACCTTCATAACATCGACCTTCGACCCACCAAGTGGAAAGTTTGCAGAGAAGCGATGGTTCGTAAGTGAACACGCAAACCGAAATGGGGGAGTCAGGTTTACTGAACTTTTGGTTTGAGACCTATGTAACTCCCTCCAGATGGGAAGACGAGTAAGTACAAGTTAGGAGAGGAAGCTACGACGAAACTGTATTCAGTGCACTGTCTCCCAAAGGCTACTCAGAAAAACATACTTCTTTTCAAATACCAATGATTCAACATAAGATAGATTAAAGGACTATATCATTTAGTATCTTAATGTGGTATAAATTAGCAAACATGTTCACAGCATCACTCATTTAAACATCATTCCAGACAGCAGTGATTTACTCAAATGTTAGCTTGGCTCAGAATTTTTAAATAGCAATACATTAAAAGTTATACATGGCAGGTTAAAAGCATCAGTGTCCTTATTTTATACCTGAGATACAATCAGAATGCTGGAAGGAACTGCTTCCACCACAGCCATGCCTAAACCTCGAAGTGTTCTCAGTCTGCATTCTCTAAGGCAAGGTACACTCAAACATTAAGTTGGCAATAGTATCTAGTATTTTCAGGTAAGAATAAAATTCTGTAGCTTAGTATAATGTCAGTATTAATCTGTCTACTCACATTTCTACATTTTTGAGAAGTATAATTTTTTAAAATATATATTTATTGATTTCAGAGAGTTAGAAACATCAATGATGAGAGAGAATCATTGACTGGCTGCCTCCTGCAGGCTCCCTTCTGGGGATCAAGCCCACAACCTGGGCATGTGCCCTGACCAGGAATCAAACTGTGACCTCCTGGTTCACAGGTCAATGCTCAACCACTAAGCCAGGCCAGCCAGGCGAAAGTATAATTTTTTAAAAAACTATGTTCTCTCCAGGAACCTCAGTTCACCCCCTATTTTATTTTCTTTCAAAAATTAGGGACTTGTTCTTAGCTAACATTCACAGTATGTCATTCATTTGAGACTGCTTACTCAGAATCTAATGTTGTGTTTGTCACACTGCTAATTAACATTTCCTAAATGCCTTATGTCATGTATGGTTTTCTATTCCATACATTAGCGTCAACCTGTGTATACATCCAAGGGTTATTTATTACATTCTGATGTCACCAAGGAAGACTTGCTTTGTTTCTTAGACTTTACAACCAGTTAGACTTCGCTAGTCACTGTCCGATTGCATCCCCTTGTCCAAAAATAAGTTTAGGAAGCCTTTTTGCAAATGATCTGTTGCATCATATTTAAAGTGAGATATACACTGAGTGTGCCAAGGAACTAAGCAGCCATGCCCGTCAGCAGTAATGTTCACCGGGCATTGGATGTCTGCTGGGAGGAGCAGGTCTTAAACTGTTTGGTCTCCAGACCTTTTGTTTATGTGAGTTATAAATCTGTTAAAAATTTAAAAGTTACACATATTTATTCATTTAAAAATAATACACATGTAAATATAAACACTTTTATGAAAAATGTCTATTTTCCAAAACATTAAAAATAAGATTTCGTGAGAAAAGTGGCACTGTATCCCATTTTTTGCAGATGTCTTTCCTGCCCGCCTTAAAGAGACAGATGGCATCTCCTGTCTGCTTCCACGTTCAATCTGTTGTGCTATCGCACATCATGCGGCCTCCAGTAAATGCTACTACACGTTCATGAGAAAGTGAACAAAACAAATAACGTCTCAGTATGATCAGGAAAGTAGTTTTGACCGTGTGGACCTGAAAGCCATTCTGATAAAGCAATGATTTGCCGTGATTCTCAAGCCTTAGTGTAAGAATCACTCGGAAAGCTTTTCAAAAGGCCTATTGCTGCCACTCACCATGCACATCCTGATTCATCGTATCTGGGGTGAGTCCCAGATCTCTGCATTTTTTATCGCATTTGATTCTTAGGTAGGTAATGGCAGGAAATCCTGCACCGAAGCTTCCCCTTAAGAAAATAAAGCCTGGGGGGTGAGGACACATTTGTAATACCTTAACTAATAAAAAAATAAAAAAATAAAAAAATAAAGCCTCGTGTGCACCATGGACAGTGGAAGACCCTCCACTGAAATGGGGGGTCCTCTTAGTTTTATCTCTGTTCCCCACAGTTTGTTCTGAGACTGTTCCCCTTTAACTCTGAACTAACCATGCCATAAACCTATACTTCGTCTTCTATGAGCACAGCTGAGATTAGGCTGGAACATTTAAATGAGGTTTTTATCAAAGGCTCAGGAATAACGAAAGGGAAGTACCCGTATAACTAGATGGCCCGTTTCATAAACTCTATCTTCTGTTGGAGGAACATTTGAAGAATGCTTTCTTTTAGAGACCTGTCTTTTTACTAGGAAGGGAGGGAGGACAAAGGAAAACCTTCTCTTTTTGTTATTTACTCTCAGAAATGAACAGGTATATAATAGAAAATAAATATTGTCAGTCATGTTTACAGCTGTGGCAGAGCCCCCTAGTGAAACAATGGCATTCTTTACAATAATGAGGGGACAGTAAAATCAATGAACTTCTCTTTCACATATAAAATAACATAAGGTGGTTATTAACATTTTCAAGAATATGTAAGGAAATGTTTCATATAGGCCTATCATGAAGCATTTTATAATTTTTACTTGCATAATTATAGTCATTATGTGATTCTCCATATATTTCTATAAAGGGCCTCTTGGAAATATTTGTCTTGTACCTACAGAAAAGCCTCCTTCGTGGATGTTCCCATTTATAATTATTTAACCAGGAGACACACAGGAGGTTTTCTTATGTGTCCATGTAGAATACACCCCAGTGGGAAGTTTCTATAGGGAAAGACCCATCACCAGCAGTAACCTTCGTTTTTGTAACTGTAAAAACTTTCACTAATGTGGATAATATTCTCAGAGGTTTTCTAAAATGAGAATCATCTGATAAAGCTTTTTACCTGAAAGTTTCACGTTCTAAAGTTGTTAATTAAATGTGTAGAATATTCAAAACATGTTGATTTTAGAAAACATAAGCTGAATTTATTAAGGGAAGGCAACCTGGCAATTAAGCATATTAGGTGTGGAATATAATTTGACCTAAAGTCATTTCAAAACTATTGTCAGTTTCTTGAAAATCATTGTTAGAGTTAGTATATAGAAGTGCATTTCTAATTTTGCAGATTCTAATTTACTGGTTAAATTACTATGCATTTTCCAGGTTATAACGGTGATCTTATTTTATATACTTCTCTCCTTCAGAATACTTTTTATTATGTTTCATTGTGTTGAAAATATGGTATGTATGCATCTATTTTAGTGCCTTAAAGTACTTTGAAAGCAATCTTTTGCTAAAGGCTAACAAACTGTTGTCTTAAGGGTGGAATACTATTTGTTAAAAGGATCTGTGAAATAATTCATACTTGTTTATTATAAAGTGGTTACATATAGGTGCATTTGTCATTTTTATTTGGCAAATTCATTCACTTTGAGAATCTACAAATATTTATTAGTTGCCTTCTGTTTGCCAGGTACTTTAACCAATGTTACTTTCACTTAATACTCAGAAATGTTAAAGTGTGATATTTTCTATACTGACTCAGTGTTTGTGTTTGTTTTTTAAACCATCCTTGTGACCTGAGTTGAACTAGCATGAAGACTCCTTGGTAGGATTTACTTCTTTGTTCTTTCTCTAACTACAAACCATTTAATTAAAAATTAGTTCAGCATAGTACATCTTCAAATAGCAGTGGTTTACTCAGTAGACAAATATTTGACTTTTGTTGTTTGCTTTAAATGTATTTTTGCACAGATAATTCATATAAATTATAGAAAATTATAAGATGCAGATATTCTTAAATGATCTTTAAGTCACCTGTGTTACCATAAAAACATTCAAACCTGTAAAGAATCTTTGTGAGTTTATTTGAGCCAAACTGTAGACATATGCCGGGAAGCAGAACCTCAACGAGTTGAGATAATGCTCCGGAGAATGGTGGGTTACATCTGGATTTATACATTACAATCAAAAGAAGGGACGTAGGTGGGTTACATGAAATCCATTGGTGATAGACTAGAGGCAGGAGAAAGCAAAGTGGGGAAACCCCTGGGATTGGATATAAAGTAAAATGATGGACACATACTTAGGTGGGTGCAGGAACAATTAACATGATAATAATGAAGGAATTTATGGTATCTGTCCTGGCACATTAGGTTGTGCCCCCAAGGGTTCCAGAAAAGGGGAAGTTACAAGTTACCCAGACATTTCAAGGGTCTGTTATTATAAATGCAAAAAGACAGGCTCAGTTAAGGTAAAGGTTGACCTTGTCAGTGAAGATACCGGCCTAGGATGTAACTGCCCACCATAACTGCTTTTAATTAAAGTTTAATTTCAGACCATCCTTTGTGGTTACTTTAGGTCTCTGACTTTGCAAGACTGCCATGCAGGCCTTCCCTGAGCTTGTCAGGTTAGCATGTGGCTTCTTTCTTTCACACCTGCTACTCCACAATTCAAAGATAACCATGGATAACATTTAGTGTGCATCCTTTCAAACATTTTTAAGTGTATCAATCTTTAATTTTGTTTTAATTAAAAAGCAAGCTCTTTGGTTATTGTTATCTAACATATTGTTATCTAACATAGCAATTTATTGAAATCTAACATATTTGCCTTTAACTGAAAACTGCATTAGGAATATACCATTAAGTAGAAGAATAGCTGTTAGGAACAAATGCCATATATATATGGCATATATATATATATATATATATATATATTTTTTATTGATTTCAGAACGGAAGGGTGAGGGAGAGAGAGATAGAAACATCAATGATGAGAGAGAATCACTGATCCGCTGCCTCCTGCACACCCCACACTGGGGATCGAGCTCGTAATTTAGGCATGTGACCTGACTGGCAATCAAATTGTGACCTCCTGGTTCATAGGTTAACAACCACTGAGCCATGCCAGCCGGGCCAAATGCCTTTTATATTAATTATATTTTTGTGCAAAAAAGAAAAAGAAGAAGGAAGTTTGTTTTTATCCACTTCAAAGTTGAGGTGTAGAAAATGTAATGAATGACTTGCTTTATTTTTTTTAATAAATTTTATTGATTTTTTAAAAATATATTTTATTGATTTTTTTTACAGAGAGGAAGGGAAAGGGATAGAGAGTTAGAAACATCGATGAGAGAGAAACATCGATCAGCTGCCTCCTGCATAGCCCCTACTGGGGATGTGCCCACAACCAAGGTACATGCCCTTGACCAGAATCGAACCTGGGACCCTTCAGTCCTCAGGCCAACGCTCTATCCACTGAGCCAAACCGGTTAGGGCCAAATGACTTGCTTTGGACTAAGTAGTGTATACTTTAGAATCATAGGATAGACTCCTTAATCTGCCAGTCTCGGAATGTAACACATCTGCATTTCATCCAGTAGGAAGAAGCACACTCCTACCCTTTCAAAAGAACAAAGCCAGCTTTATTGGGATGTAATTCACATACCTTACAATTCACCCAATCCAAGTGTTTCGTATGTTCACAGGACTGTGCAGCCATCCCCTCAGTCTAACTGTAGAACGTTTCTGTCCCTTCTAAAAGAAACTCCATACCCATTAGCATTCATTCTCCACCCTCAGTTCTAGGCAACACAAATCTACAATCTATGTATACATTGGCCTATTCTGGACATTCAGGTCAATGGGAATCATACAACATGTGATCTTCTGCATCTTTTTGTTTAATGTTTTCAAGTTTTATCCATGTCTTTTTTATTGGAAATACCTACCATGTTTACTTATCTGTCAACTGATGGCCATTTGGGTTGTTCCCACTTTTTGGCCCTCATAAATAATGTTGCTATCAACATTTTTGTTCAAGTATTTGTGTGAACATGTTTTCATTTCTCTAGGATATATACACTGAGTGGCCAGATTATTATGACCACCTGATGTTTGTAGGCAAATTAGCCATACACTGCATCGTATGGGATATGGAAGCCGAAGGCCTGTTCGAACACCTTTGCTGTCTGCAGTTACCAAGATAAAACGTCTCCAATTCACACAAGAACACAAGCATTGGACAGTCGAGCATTGGAAAAAAAGTCATGTGGTCCGATGAATCACCTTTCCAGTTGCATCATGCAGACAGCAGAGTGAGAATTTGGCGGAAACAGCCTGAAAGCATGCACCCCACATTCATGAGTACAACCCTTCAAGCTGGTGGGGTCAGTGTTATGGTTTGAGGCATGTTTTTCTGGCATGATTTGGGCCCTTTAATTCATGTGGAACAACGTCTGAATAGCACAACATACCTAAGTATCGTTGCTGATCAAGTTCATCCTATCCTGTTGATGGCGTATCCCAATGGAGATGGCTTCTTCTAACAAGACAATGCGCCATGCCACGGTGCTTGTATTGTGCAGGAGTGATTTCGGGAACATGAGGGAGACTTTACTTTACTTAGGTGACCCCCACAATCACCAGATCTCAATCCAGTTGAGCATTTGTGGGACGAAGTTAAAAGAGTCATCAGGCAGCTGGTTCCACAACCATCAAATCTCACAGAACTGGACAGTGCTATTCATCAGGCATGGTGTCAGATTCCTCGCATCACCTTTCAACATCCCGTGGAGTCAATGCCAAGAAGAATCGCCGCAGTATTGAAGGCAAAAGGTGGCCCAACGAAGTACTGATTGGGTGGTCATAATAATCTGGCAACTCATAATAATATATATCCCACGTTCAAAGGCTGTTAAATTGCGTTGTTTACCCATATCTTCAGAAAAAAAAATCACTTCTGTTGTCGTGGTAAACAACCTGCTTCCCTATTTATAATGGTCTGGCCCTCTAGCAACTTCAGCGTGAAATTATAGCTAATTTGCCTACAAACGTCAGGTGGTCATAATAATCTGGCCACTCAGTGTATATACGTAGGAGCGGAATGGCTCGGTCATATGCTAATTCCACATTTAACTTTTTTTATATACTTTTTTTCTTTATTTTTTAAAATATATTTTATTGATTTTTTACAGAGAGGAAGAGAGAGAGATAGTTAGAAACATCGATGAGAGAGAAACATCGATCAGCTGCCTCCTGCACATCCCCCACTAGGGAAGTGCCCGCAACCCAGGTACATGCCCTTGACCGGAATCGAACCTGGGACCTTTCAGTCCGCAGGCCGATGCTCTATCCACTGAGCCAAACTGGTTTTGGCTTTTCTTTATTGATTAAGGTATTACATATATGTCCTTATCCCCCATCCCCCCCACTCATGCCCTCACCCCCCTTGTGTCTGTGTCCATTGGTTAGGCTTATATGCATGCATACAAGTCCTTTGGTTGATCTCTCCCTCGTACCCCAAATCTCCCTCTGAGGTTTGACTGTCTGATCGATGCTTCTCTGTCTCTGGATCTATTTTTGTTCATCAGTTTATGTTGTTCATTATATTCCACAAATGAGTGAAATCATGTGATATTTATCTTTCTCTGACTGGCTTATTTCGCTTAGCATGGTGCTCTCCAGCTCTATCCATGCTGTTGCAAATAGTAGGAGTTCCTTTTTTACCACAGTGTAGTATTCCATTGTGTAGATCTACCACAGGTTTTTTTTATATATATATATATATATATATATATATATATATATATATATATATATATATATATATATATTTTATTGATTTTTTACAGAGAGGAAGGGAGAGAGATAGAGAGTCAGAAACATCGATGAGAGAGAAACATCAATCAGCCGCCTTCTGCACATCCCCCACTGGGGATGTGCCCGCAACCCAGGCACACGCCCCCGACCGGAATGGAACCCAGGACCCCTCAGTCCGCAGGCCGACGCTCTATCCACTGATCCAAACTGGTTTTGGCACTACCACAGTTTTTTAATCTACTCATCTGCCCACGGTTAACTTTTTGAAGAAGTGCCAGTTTTCCAAAGTGCCGGCCCTCCTCTACATGCCCACCAGCAACAATGTATGATTTCTCCACATGCTCCCCAACACTTTTTATTGTCTGTCTTTTTAAGCACAACTATCCACGTGGAGTAGTATCTTGAAGTTTTGTATTTCCCTTATGACACGAGCATCTTTTCATGTCTATCTTTGGAGAAATATCTATTGAAATCCTTTGCCCATTTCTAAATTGTGTTATTTGTCTTGTTATTGTTGAGTTGTAAGAGCTTTTTATATATTCCTGTATAAGTCCTTATAATTTGCAAATATCCTATTCTGTAGGTTGTCTTTTCACTTACTTGCTGGATGGCTTACAACCCAAGGTTTTTCATAACAATATAGAGCAATTTGTGGTTGTGGTGTCCTATCTAAAAAACAATTGTGGTGGAGAAAAAACAGCGACCGGCAGGAAGGTAGGGAGGGAGAGAGTGTGAGAGCGCAAGGAAGTGATAGAGGAGTGTGTGGACGTGTGTGGCGTGTGTGTATGAGCTAGGGACAGTTAGATTCTGCAGGTCTTCTAAGGGGCTGCTAAACCGGGCAGTCTTAGACGGCGGGGCCCCGCTCCCTGCGCGGACACTCCTGGGCGGCCAGCATGGGCACAGCGACCACGCCATCTTGGGAAACAGAGCTGCTTGAGACTAGGATCCTGGCCTCAGCACTACCCAGTCTGATCTCAGACACATACCAGGACCCTGCAGCCACTGGGGACAGAGACCGGTGACCACAGCTACAGACCTGCGGACACCAAAAGTTCAGAAATCCCCGTGGCAGATCCATGAGTAACAGAGCCCATCCCCCTCCCTGCAGGTTCCCGGGCAGCGCCTTAGTAACTGGTAGACCCACCCCTTGCCCGGACCTCAGTGCTGCTACAGGAACTTTAGCCTGGAAGTGCGCAAGCACCTTGGAACTGATCCTGCGTGCACTGCCAGCTTCAGGAGTCCTGGGCTGGGAACTCAATACCAGATATCAAGCTGTATTACAAAGCCAGTGTTCTTAAAACAGCTTGGTACTGGCACAAGAACAAACATATAGATCAATGGAATAGAATAGAGACCCCAGAAATCAACCCAAACCACTATGCCCAATTAATATTCGACAAAGGAGGCAAGAGCATACAATGGAGTCAAGACAGTCTCTTCAATAAATGGTGTTGGGAAAATTGGACAGATACATGCAAAAAGATGAAACTAGACCACCAACTCACACCATACACAAAAATAAACTCAAAATGGATAAAAGACTTAAACATAAGACGGGAGACCATAAAAATACTAGAGGAATCCATAGGCAGTGAAATAGCAAACATATGTCAAAGGAAATTCTTCTCTGATAATGCTCCTAGGGCAATGGAAACTAAAGAGAAAATAAACAAATGGGACTACATTAAAATAAAAAGCTTTTGCACAGCAAAGGAAACAATCAACAAAACAACAAGAAGATCCACTGCATGGGAGAACATATTTGCCAATGATATCACCGATAAGGGTTTAATCTCCAACATTTACAAGGAACTCATGAAACTTAATAATAGGAAGATAAACAATCCAATCAAAAAATGGGCAATGGACCTAGATAGACACTTTTTGAAAGAGGACATACAGAGGGCCGAAAGACATATGAAAACATGCTCAAAGTCACTAATTATACGAGAGATTCAAATCAAAACGACAATGCGGTATCACCTCACACCTGTCAGAATGGCTATCATCAACAAATCAACAAACAACAAGTGTTGGAGAGGATGTGGAGAAAAAGGAACCCTTCTGCACTGCTGGTGGGAATGCAGACTGGTGCAGCCACTGTGGAGAACAGTATGGAGCTTCCTCAAAAAACTAAAAATGGAACTCCCATTTGACCCAGTGATCCCACTTCTAGGAATATATCCCAAGAAACTAGAAACACCAATCAGAAAGGATATATGCACCCCTATGTTCATAGCAGCACAATTCACCATAGCTAAGATCTGGAAACAGCCTAAGTGCCCATCAGCAGATGAGTGGATTAAAAAACTGTGGTACATCTACACAATGGAATACTACGCTGTGGTAAAAAAGAAGGAACTCTTGCCTTGGATGGAACTGGAGAGCATTATGCTAAGTGAAATAAGCCAGTCAGAGAAAGATAAATACCACATGATCTTACTCATTTGTGGAATATAGAGAACAACACAGACTGATGAACAGGGACAGCTCCAAAGACAGAGAAACAGCAATCAGACTATTAATCCCCAGAGGGAAAGTAGGAGAGGGTGGGAGGGAGGGGAAAAGATCAACCGAAGGACTTGTATGCATGCACATAAGCCAAACCAATGGACATGGACAACGGGGGGATGAGAGCATGAGTGGGGTGGGGGGGTGGAGGTTAATGGAGGGGAATGAGGACACATTTGTAATTCCTTAACTAATAAAGAATGTAAAGATTAAAATAAAACCAAACAGCTGTCTCTTATAGAACATGAAGTATGTTTCTCTTTTAAAAATGAGAGAAGTCAACAGAAAATGATTTATGAAAAATTGTGGATTTAATTGCTAGGTCTCTGATTTAATTCCAAAATGCAGAGTTGGTTAATAGGAAATAATTTTCATACCGTTAAACTAAATAGCTCAAACTCCATCAATAATAATAAAGAAAAATATCATAGTTACGAAAAAAAAAGTGCTGAGTCTTGCTATCATCAACCCCCTCCTCATTATCCTGCCATCAAAACACCTTCCAGGAGAACCAAGATGGCGGCATAGGTTAACGCCGGAGTTTGCTGCTTTGAACAACTACTTCAAAAGTGAAACCAAAAAACGGAAGGGACATCACCCAGAACCACAGGAACGCTGGCTGAGTGGAAGTCCTACAACTAGGAGGAAAGAGAAACGCATACGGACACTCAGAGGAGGCACAGTGCTGAAGTCAAATTCTGAGGTGCGGAGTGCGCAGAGCGGGCTGGCGGCGGAGGGCGCGGTTGGCGTTTTCAATCGGGAGGGAGTTGCAGACTCTGAGCTCCAGATCCGGGCGAGTCTTTAGGGACCCAGACTCAAACGGGAGAAGCGGGACTGTCTGGCTTCGGTCAGAGCGAGTGCAGCTTTCTCTCCGAGCTTTCCAGCGGGTGCTGGGACTCAGAGAGGCAGAGCCCCTGGGGACAGGACTGAGAGCCGCCATAACTGCTCTCTCCGGCCCACCCAGTTGATCCTGTTCGACCCGCCCCGCCCAAGCCCTGCACAGAGGCATTTGTCGGCTAGCCTCAGGCAAAGGCTAGATTAGCACCTCCCTAGAGGACAGAAGTTCTCTCACTGCTGACACAGCTGATTCTCATAGCCACTTGGCCTGGAGGTCAAACCCTCCCTGGAATTAGCTACAACAATCAAGATTCAACTATAAGACTGCGCACAAAGACCACTAGGGGGTGCACCAAGGAAGCATAACAAAATGCGGAGACAAAGAAACAGGACAAGATTGTCAATGGAAGATATAGAGTTCAGAACCACACTTTTAAGGTCTCTCAAGAACTGTTTAGAAGCCGCCGATAAACTTAATGAGATCTACAAGAAAACTAATGAGACCCTCGATCTTATATTGGGGAACCAACTAGAAATTAAGCATACACGGACTGAAATAACGAATATTATACAGACTCCCGACAGCAGACCAGAGGAGCGCAAGTATCAAGTCAATGATTTGAAATGCGAGGAAGCAAAAAACACCCAACCGGAAAAGCGAAATGAAAAAAGAATCCAAAAATGCGAGGATAGTGTAAGGAGCCTCTGGGACAGCTTCAAGCGTACCAACATCAGAATTATAGGGGTGCCAGAAGATGAGAGAGAGCAAGATATTGAAAACCTATTTGAAGAAATAATGACAGAAAACTTCCCCCACCTGGTGAAAGAAATGGACTTACAGGTCCAAGAAGCGCGGAGAACCCCAAACAAAAGGAATCCAAAGAGGACCACACCAAGACACATCATAATTAAAATGCCAAGAGCAAAAGATAAAGAGAGAATCTTAAAAACAGCAAGAGAAAGAAACTCAGTTACCTACAAGGGAATACCCATACGACTGTCAGCTGATTTCTCAACAGAAACTTTGCAGGCCAGAAGGGAGTGGCAAGAAATATTCAAAGTGATGAATACCAAGAACCTACAACCAAGATTACTTTACCCAGCAAAGCTATCATTCAGAATTGAAGGTCAGATAAAGAGCTTCACAGATAAGGAAAAGCTAAAGGAGTTCATCACCACCAAACCAGGATTATATGAAATGCTGAAAGGTATCCTTTAAGAAGAGGAAGAGGAAGAAAAAGGTAAAGATACAAATTATGAACAACAAATATGCATCTATCAACAAGTGAATCTAAGAATCAAGTGAATAAATAATCTGATGAACAGAATGAACTGTTGATTATAATAGAATCAGGGACATAGAAAGGGAATGGACTGACTATTCCTGGGGGGGAAAGGGGTGTGGGAGATGCGGGAAGAGACTGGACAAAAATCGTGCACCTATGGATGAGGACAGTGGGTGGGGAGTGAGGGCGGAGGGTGGGGCGGGAACTGGGAGGAGGGGAGTTATGGGGGGAAAAAAAAGAGGAACAAATGTAATAATCTGAACAATAAAGATTTAATTTAAAAAAAAAACAAAAAAAAAACACCTTCCAGCTCTCTTTTGATGAAGGTGTCTTTCCCTCTGCTTCTAATGTTTGGACTTTCCCCATCTTTAAAGCAAAACAGACCTTCACTTGTCCTTGCTAAATGGAAAGTTGAATGATGGCGAGGATTCAGACCATTCCCAGGTATTTCAGCACATCTAAGGATCCTAATGCTATCTGAACATGGAAATTTCTGGGTCTTCTGAAGTGGTACAATCCAAAGGACATCATTTATCATCCTGGACAAGGCCCACTGAGCTCCAATATTCTGTGAGCTCAAAAGCTGGCAAAGGGCAGCTGGGCCCAGCCTCATTGTCCCTGGGTTCTTTTTTGCTGATCTGTTTGTTCCAGGTTCCATTCTGCTACCTAGGCTGGAAATTCCACACCTGCTCAGCTCAAAGGAATGCAGCTCTTGCTGGCCAAAACGCTAGCCAGGAAATGAGGAGCAACTTTGCATTTGTGGCTTCTTTTCACTTGTGGCTCCCTCTCTCACAGCTGTGAGGCTGACTGTGCTACCGCCTGAGCTGTTCACCAACCTTATCCAACTGGAGAGCAACCACTTTCAGGTCACCTCGTCCAGCGAGCCTCTGCTGACTTCTACAAGCAGCCTGCTTCCTGACCTTTAAAGGCCCAGAGACCTTTCACTTGACATGGTATTTAATTCCTTCCTAGTATTTCCATTATTTGTTTAACCCCTTCATTTATTTATGTATGTATTCATTCACTCATCATTAATGTAAAGCACCTACTGTATGCCAGGCCCTATGATAGGAGTTAAGGGTTAGTAAATCAAACATAAGCCCTACCATTACAGAATTTACTGTATGGTAAGACGGTAGCTAGGAGCAGTCACATAAGTATACATACAATTATAGCCCATTGAAAATCCTTGCAAGTAGGAATGGTGTTGGGCATACAGCCTCTATCACACAAATGTTTGAATGATGTTTGTAAAATGTGAAATGTCTCCATTAGTTCTTAATTTTCCACATTAACAGGTGAATGTACAAACCATGGACTATCTAAAATGTTCCTCAGCCGGATGGTGTGGTTCAGTGGTTGAGCACGGAGCTATGAACTGGGAGGTAATGGTTCTATTCCTGGTCAGGACATATGCCCAGGTTGAGGGCTCGATCCCCAGTAGGGGGCGTGCAGTAGGCAGCCAATCAATGATTGATGTTTCTATATCTCTCCTCTTCCTTCCTCTCTGAAATCAATAATATATATATATATATATATATATATATATATATATATATATATATATAATATATTATATATATATATATATTTATAAATAAAAGTGGCCCTAGCCAGTTTGGTTCAAAAAAAAACAAACAAAAAACCAACTGTGGCCCTGGCAGGGTGGGTCAGTTGGTTGGAGCATGTTCCCATACCTCAAAAGGTTGTGGGTTCGATTCCTGGTCAGGACACAAACCTAGGTTGCAGGTTCAATGCCCAGTTGCGGTCTGCTTTCATTCACCGGCCAGAACTGAGTGTGGGGTCAGACCCGTGTTCTCTAGGAGACTGGAAAATGTATATTGCGGCCCCCGGTATCACACTGAGCAGCTTGTAAACCTGTTCGGCCATAACCTTACTCCAAACAAGTCAACACTAGCGCTTCGTTTTCCCGGTAGATGTGTCTGCTGACTTTCGCCCATGAGGACTTGGGAGAGGGTCTAGCGGAACCGCCTCTGGTTCTCACCCCCTTGCGGACGCGTCCCCAGGAGAAGGGTTCCCAGGGCTGCCCGGCCGTTCCCCCAGCGAATTTGAGCTCTAGATACTTTCCCTTCGGGAAAAGGGGACCTTCCCAGCTCCCCGGTTTCTCGCGGGTCAGAGGCCGGCTGGCCCCTCGCCGCGCCCACTCCCGGAGCCGCCCTCCCCGCGGACGATAACAACCCAGGGCCCCGGGCGCGGGCGCAGCAGCTGCGCGATGGAGGCGGCCCCTGGAGGGTCCCCGGCCCCAGCGGTGGAGGCGCCCGCGCCCCAGCCGGAGGCGCAGACCCTGGAGCCCCGCTCGGTGAGCGCAAAGCGAGGGGAAGCCAGAGGGGAGCTGTGGGCAGCCCCGCGGAGAGAGGGGGCGCGGGGCAGAGGGGCGCCGGGGACCCTGAGTGCGTCTGATGGCAGCCTTTATCCAGCCAGAGGGAGCCCCGCAGGGTCCTCGCCTGAACCGCCCCAGTGGGGGTGGCCCTTGAGAGCCCAGTGGCTGAGGCTATTCGGGAGCCCCAAAGAGAACAGCACGCGAAACAGCCTTAGACAAGTTCAACTGCTCACGCAGGACCGGGCCGGGCTGGCCTCCTGATCCCCGTCTAGGCTCTCGCCCCCCACGTTCCGGTCCGGGTCTTCCCAGAGATCCCCTGGACCCTGGGCCTGAGGCAGCAGCCTTCCTTCCCCGACCCCAGGCAGGTGGTGTGGGCTGGGCCACCTTCTCCAACCCTGGCCTTGCCCTGGCACCAGGCTCTGCTTCGGGAGATGGCCCCCAGCCATGTCCTTCCTGGCTACCAGGCCCCAGAGTGAGGGCAGAGGGCAGGTGGGGACCCAGGGGCGGCGGGGCTGGCTGGGGCTCATGCCACAAGGCTGGGTGTATTGCAGTTGGTGTCTGCTGAATGCAAAATCCCCTGCGGCTCCAAATGAAGCCCCCCCCCCCCCCCCCCCCCGCCTGCCTGTGGCTTCACCTCACCACCAGCTCAACTCCACACCCTCCTCCCAGGCACCTCAGAGCAAAGGATTGTGGCCCCCCCAGAAAGGAAGTCCCATAAGGAGGCTCCCTGAGGACTCATTTTCCAGCGAAAGTGAGAAATTCAGGGTGAGATGGATGGCAAGAGGGAAGCCAACACTGCCAATGCAGTGGCAGCATTTCATTCTCAGAACAACCGTGTGCGGTTGTACTACCTCCAGCTAAAATGTGAGGAAACCGAAACAGCCCCGGAAAGTAACTGGCCCTGGGTAACACAGCTAGAAACGGCAGGCGCGGAACGGGACTCCCCGTGTGTCTAACGCCAAGACTTGTGCTCCGCCAACTGTGAAGGGTTTATGATTTAAGTGCATAAAACTGTCAAGATTCCAAAACCATATCATGTACCTAGTTTCAGCTGGAATTTTTTTCCCTTTTCAAATGCCATGTGCCAGAAACTTGCCAGACATATTTAGGGGGAAACAAAATTCCCATTTTGGAGAGGAGGGGGCAGGAGGGCTGTGACGGTGGATTCTGCCTATTGTTAACAGTTTTCTGGAAGTTGAAATAATGTTCATGTCAGAAAAGGAGGCCACATCCTGCTTCGTGTATGGTTTTCTTCTGTGGGCAGAAAGAGTGTGCAAAGGATATGATAAACTCTTATCTGGGAAGACCTTCCCTTCCAAAGGGCCCATCTGGGTGTCCTGCAAGATACCAAAATGGGTGAAGTCACAGTCTTCTCCACTCCCCCACCCATCCCCAAGCAAAAGACGAGGAAGAAGAATCCCAGCACCTTTCAGAGAAATGGTAGAGAAATGGCACTTTACACAGTGTTCTTGTGGCATTGATTCCTTCAACAAATACTAGTATATACCAAGCATCTGCCACATGTCAAGCATTGCTTTGGGTACTGGAGACATGGTGGTGAATAGGTCATCTCTCAGAGAACTTATAAGTGCAGTTGGAAAACAGACTTTGGTGGCCAGGAAAGGCCTCTCTGAGGAGATGACCTTTAGGCTTAGGCTTGAATGGAAGTGCAAAGGCCCTGGGGCAGCAACAGGCATGGTCACTTTTGAGGAATAGGACTGAGAGAAGAAGCAGGGGAGCCACTGAGGAGGCTCTCACTGATGGATTAGACAGGGGAAGCAGGAAAGGGGAATTAAGGTGACTCCTGGGTCTGCGGCCTGAGCTGCTGAATGGACATTGGGGTCATTTAATGCAATGGGGACAACAGGATTCAGAGTGGGTTGAAACAATGGGATGGAAGCCAGAAACTGTGTGTTTGGCCATACTAATTTGCAATGCCTGTTAGACAACCACATAGGGTTGTGAGTAGTCAGTCGAATATTTGAGTCTGGAGTGTGCTGGATAGCTTAGGGCTTGCTAATGTTATATACACACACACATTGGACTTATAAACATTACTTCATTTCAGTGGTGGATTGGTAAACAGTTTCTCCAGAAAAAAAAAAAGCTCTGATTTGTAATGTTTGCTGATTACAGTGGTGTAAATACCCTCACCATGAATGATTTCAGGCTACTAGTCATTCAACAACTGGCTGCAGGAGTCCCGGACATTTAACAATCAGCTCCCAGAGCCATGACCACATCTGCTTATCAAAACAGCCCTGTGACGTTGGCAGGACTTTTCCATTTGACGGATAAGGTTTAGAGAGGGAAAGTGGTTTATTCAAGGTCACACAGGGAGATGGTGTGGAAGTTGGGGGTCTCCTGACCCCCAGTTCACTCAGGCTTGTTGACTCAGAAAATAAAACAACCAGGAAGCACTAAGGGGGAAATATAAGGAAGAACTTCCCCCTGGAAAAGTTTAGAGATAGGGACCTCAGGATGCTTATGAAAGTCATGGGGTGTGGGGAGCTGTTGTGTGTCTATGAAGGTGGGGCTTAGCTCCTGTGTCTCCCCCAGGACAGAAGAGCTGGTCGCCTCTCATTCTGTACGAAGGTTTGCTATGGCATTGGCGGCGTCCCCAATCAGGTGGCCTCCAGCGCCATGGCCTTTTACCTGCAGCTCTTCCTGCTAGATGTGGCACAGGTGAGTGTGGGCAGCAGCCCGGGGCCCCCTATTTCCATCTTCCTTAGTGTCTGGTCCTTCCACCCCCACCTGATCCATAACAGATAACACCTTTGACCTAAGCCTGACAAAAAGCCAAGGATATTTATTATGGGTTGTTTGTACTGGAAAATGGGAAACAATGTGAATGCCCACCAATATAGAAGCAGTTGAGTAATAACTTGTACTATCTCCATATAATGGACTATCATGTGGCCATTTAAAGAATGGGTTAGAATCAGCGGTTCTCAACCTGTGGGTCGAGACCCCTTTGGGGGTCAAACGACCCTTTCACAGGGGTCGCCTAAGACCATCCTGCATGTCAGATATTTACATTATGATTCATAACAGTAGCAACATTACAGTTATGAAGTAGCAACGAAAATAATTTTATGGTTGGGTCACAACATAAGGAACTGTATTTAAAGGGCCAGAAGGTTGAGAACCACTGGGTTAGATCAATACCAGTTGACGTGGAGGGATTTCCATGATGCACTATCAAGTGAGAAAAGTTAGTTTTAGAGAAGAATATACAAAATGATCCTATTTTAGCAAAACAAAGACACACCCCATATATGTATGTTCATGAGTATATGTGTGTATGTGTCAGTACATGATCTATAATAATAAAAGTGTAATATGCTAATTAGACCGCACAGCCAAACAACCTTCCGGACATCCTTCCAGACAACCTTCTGGACGAAGCCGGGGCTGCGAGGGCTGAGCCCCCTTGCACGAATTTCGTGCATCAGGCCTCTAGTTAAAAATAAGCATGGAGAAAATGTATAGAAAATTACACCAGACTATTAATGTTGGCTATAGGAGGGAATGTTGGAGGATAGAGAGCAGGCAAAAAATGTTTTTTAAAATAGGTATTCATTATTTTTAAAAAATATTTTTTATTGATTTCAGAGAGGAAGGAGGGGGAGAGAAAAATTGAAACATCAATGATGAAAGAAAATCATTAATTGGCTGCCTCCTACACACCCCTTACTGGGGATTGAGCCCCAACCCGGGCATGTGCCCTGACCTGGAGTGGAACTGTGACCTCCTGGTTCATAGGTCGACACTCAACCACTGAGCACGCCAGCTGGGTGGTATTCATGGTTTTTTAAGTGACACTGATATGGTTGCATTTATATAAGATTATATAAATTGCAAATGTATATCAATGCATGAAAGGATGATCATTAAAATGCTTCTGGCGTTGTCTCAGGATGGTGGGATTTCAGATGAGCTTTGCTCAATATTTTTCTGTACTGTTTGAATGTCTTTATAGTGAGTGTATCATTTATGTAATCAGAAAAATTTTAAAAAAATTATTATGAGACAAAAAGTCTACCTGTGACTGTCAGCCTGGGCGCATCCTTCTTGCACTGAGCACCTCAGGTGAGGGTCCCTCGTGTCTTCTCCAGAAGTGAGTGGGCATGAGTAACAATGGAGACGTGCCGGTATGTGGCTGTCGGCTCCCTCGCGCGCTCCTTTATGCACATGCACAGATGTGCCCTGAGCGCCTTCTGGATTAGTGTTCTGGGGAGCAGGCTGAATGGACCTTACACTCTGGCCCCAGCCAGGTTCCCAGATCCCCCTCCTGGTGGGTGGGCAGGCCTGGACACCCGCTCTGACTCTGCCAGTCCTTGGCTATCCCCTCCCCTGTCATTGCAGATCCCTGCTGCCCAGGTGTCACTTGTCCTGTTTGGAGGGAGGGTGTCCGGGGCAGCTGCTGACCCCGTGGCTGGATTCTTCATCAGCAGAAGCAGGAGGACAGGGTCTGGACAACTCATGCCCTGGTGAGCAGCCCCATGGTCCTTGAAGTCCCTGTGATTGTCATAGCCCTGCTTCTTAGTAGAAAATCTTGTGGATGGTTAGAGGACAAGACGGGACAGCCGGTGATAGGACTGGACAGTAGGTGACAGTACCGGGCTGGGCCAGACCATCATGCAGGAGTCAGAGACATTCCTGGGGATGTTCCCTCACCAGATGGCGCAGGTAGACAAAGCCTCCAAGACTCCCAGGCCAGGCCCAGGGTCTCAGTGAGGCCAGGGAAGGTCTTGCAGAGTAGGTCCGACTCCTGTGCTCCAGGGTCCTTGACAGGTGGAATGGCACCACCAAGCACCCGTGTCCTAGCCTGAGTCACAGCCCCCGTCCTGATACCTCAGGTCCCCCCCCCCTCCCCTAACACGGCTCCCACCCTGAGAGGCCCACCCAGGGCTGAGGTCCAGGGGGGTGAGGTGGCCCCAGGCCCGGTTTGGTGGGCATCCCACCCCCGTGTGCTCCCACAGGGTGCTGGGCTGCATGCCCTTCACCGCCTTGGCTTACTTCTTCCTGTGGTACCTGCCCCCCTTCACCAACCTCCGAGGCCTTTGGTACATGACCTTCTACTGCCTCTTCCAGGCTCTGTCCACGGTAAGCCGGGGCGCCCTCCCGGGCCTGGGCCCCTGGAACCCCACTGCTGGCACGCGGTCACTGTGAAGCGAGAGTGTCCTGGGGCGGGTGTCAGGAGGACCTCGCCCCCCATCCCCCATCCCCCACCCCGCCCTGCACCTGCTCCCGCCCCGGCCATCTCCTGGAGCTCCTCCGCCCACTGGGCTCTGGGCTGGTGCTCCGGCCTGAAGGGATCCGTGGCTGGGACAGGGCGTCCACGGGGTGGTCTGGGCGGAGGGGGGCGTCCCCTAAGCTCCGGGCGCCCCAGTTCTTCCAGGTGCCCTACACGGCGCTCACCATGCTGCTGACGCCCAGCCCCCGGGAGCGGGACTCGGCCACCGCCTACCGTGAGTGCGCGGCGGGGTGGAGGGTGGCGCCGGCCCCGGCCCCGGGCTGCGAGCTCGGTCCCCTGAGCGCTCCTCGCTGTGTCCCAGGGATGACCATGGAGATGGCGGGGACGCTGCTGGGAGCCGCGGCCCACGGACTCATCGTGTCCGGGGCCCACGGTCCCCACAGTTGTGAGGACGCCGAGTTCCCGGGGCCGGGCGCCGTCTCCCCCCACGCGGTGAGTGCTCCCCCCGACCCGTGCGTCCTCCCACCAGACCCTCCGCCCCAGCCCTGTCACCGTGAACACCCTCAGCGCATCCGGAGGGGAGGAGGCAGGCCCCAGGCAGGGGCAGGGACAGGGCAGGGGGCGTGGGGTCCCTAAGGAGCTCTGGGCAGAGCCTCCTGGGGGGCCTCCCATCCCCAGGGTGAAAGGAGAAGGGAATCCTCCCGGGGGGTGGGGTATGGGGGGGGGGGGGACTGTGTCTCCTTCAGCCATCAAGTTCTCCATTGGCCCCATTAAGCAAATGACACCCCGACCCCCAGGACCGTAGGAATCATCCTCTAGTCCTCCCTCTCCCTCAGTCCAGCCCATTGCCAAATCCTGCCATGTTTCAGGACAAAACTCTTCTGATGCTGCCTCACAGCCCCTGCCCTTCACCTGGGGGTGAGGGAGGGCGGGGAGAGAGGGCCAAGAACCCACCCCCAAAGGCACATTCAGGCGCCTTTGGCGGCTCCAGCTCTGTTATCCTATCGACTCCACGTACAAAACAAATGAATTCATAGATAAAAGCATCCAGAAGTTCCAGACAGCGACCGCAGAGCAGGTCCCCGAGTGCGGGTCCTTCTGAGTGTGGGGCCCTGTGCAGCCGTGCTGACCCGCACCGGAAGCCCTCCCTCCCCTCCCCTCTCCTCCCCCCCCCCCCCCCGCCTCGCACCCCCCCCCCCCCCAGGCAGCCTCTGTCTCTTTTCTGACATTTATCTGGGTCAGCCCCCATCGCACTGTAACTTGTGCTCATGCATCTGTCTTCCTCCCACACTCCAAGCCCCTCACTGTGGATGCTCAGGGGTCACTTATCAGGGTCTGGCATACAGAATCAGCAACAATGAATGCTTGTTTTAAAACGGGAGGGAGGGAGGAGGGAGGGAGAGAGGTGAGCGGGGGGGGGGGGGGGGGAGGTGAGAGAGAGGTGAGAAAGAGATAGAGGAGAGAGCGAGAGAGAGAGGTGTGTGTGAGAGTGAGAGGTGTGTGTGAGAGTGAGAGGTGTGTGTGAGGGGTGGAGAGAGAGAGAAAGAGAGGGAGAGAGAGAGAGAGAGAGAGAACTCAGATCCTCAGACCCTGGTGCATGGCTTCATGCAGGAGGCACAGGGTCAGCAGAAGGTCCATCCTGGCCCTTAGCTCTCCCCCTCCCGGGCTCAGTGGGAGGAGTACCCAGTATTCTTGGACTTGGGCTGAGGGTCCCCCTGCTCCCATTGGGTGGCGCCCTGCCCCTGGGTGTCCTCCCCTCCATGGGTGGGAGACATCACCCACCCCAGCTCTGTCCTGTTCCACAGACTTGTCTCTACTCCGTTGCAGCCGCCGCGGTCGCTGTGACTTACCCCGTGTGCGGTGGTTTGCTCTGCTTGGGGGTGAAGGAGCGGCCAGGTACAGAGGTGCAGGCAGAAGCTGGGGGCAGGGCTGCTCGTGGGCCTGGGTTTTGGTTTGGAACTCTGCCAAGTCGAGATGTCACCTTCCTGTGTTGCAGACCCCTCTGCCCCAGCCTCCAGCCAGGGCATGAGCTTCCTGGCTGGGCTGGGCCTCACTATCCGGCACCCGCCCTACCTGAAGCTGGTGATCTCCTTCCTGTTCATCTCAGCAGCCGTCCAGGTACCTCTGGCCAGGCGCATCCCCCTGGCTTGGTTCCAGCCACACTGAGCTTGTTTGGGTTCAGGTTCAGCCTCTCATCCACTGCATCACAGTTAGGCTTGAGTGGTAATAGGGAGAGAGCAGCAGCTGGCGTGTGGTCCAGAGAAGGTGGTGCTGGGAGGAGAGAGATCTAGATAGAGCTCCTGGGAATGAGGAGGGTCAGGGCCCAGACACCAGGAACACTGTCTGGATGGTGAAGTGCACCCAATCTTAGCTGTGCGAGGGGGCGGTAGACTAGGAATGGTGTTTATGCCTGTGTCAGGGATAAGCAACCTTTGTAGGGGCGGGGACTGCACGATGGCAGCACCAACCAGGGTTCAAGGTCCCAAAAGGGAGGCCAGGCCTTGCTCTTGCCTTCTGAAGTCCTGCCGTTCCTGCACGCACCCACCTCCTATCACCCTCCTCAGGTGGAACAGAGCTACCTGGTCCTGTTCTGTACACACGCCTCCCAGCTACATGACCACGTCCAGAGCCTGGTGCTAACCATCCTGGTGAGGAGACCTGGGTGACACGTGTGGTCCCTGACATGACATGTGTGGCCAGAGTTCTGGGGGGCAACATTCTGGACCTACATTCTGGCAGAGGAATTGGGGCCAGGGTCATACAGTTCATAGCCGCTGGTTCCAACCAGGAGGCAACATGGAGGCCGGGCATCCCACCTACAAGCCAGGGCTGTGAGAACCTGGGCAGAGGCACCGGCCGCTTGGCCGGCTGGGCCGTGGGCCGGGCTGTGATGGTTCTGTCTGTTCACAGGTCTCAGCTGTACTGAGCACCCCGCTGTGGGAGTGGGTTCTGCAGCGATTTGGGAAGAGGATGTCGGCCTTCGGGATCTGTGTGAGTGAGGCAGGGAGCGAGGCTTGGAGTTGGGTTGGGGGAGGCTGACCTTGGAGCCGGAGCCTCCTGGGGGCCAGCCGGTCGATCTGTGTCTGTCTCCCCAGGTGATGGTGCCTTTTGTAATCCTGTTGGCTGCTGTGCCCACAGCCCCCGTGGCATACGTCGTGGCCTTTGTGTCTGGCGTGAGCATTGCTCTGTCCTTGCTGCTACCCTGGTAGGCTGCGCGAGGGGAAGGGAACGTGGGAGGTTCATGTCCTTCCTGATGCGTCTGCCCTCCTTCATGTCAACCTGGTGCCCCGGGCCCCTCGTGCCGAGCCTGTGCTGGGGAGCTGCTCTCCCACTGGCAGGGATGGAGGCCACCCGCTCCGTCCTGGGAGCCCTCCTAAAAGAGCACCAGCAGCAGGCATGGTGGGCAGCCCGGGGTGGGGATGTAGAGGTGCGGGTGGAATACAAACACACAGTGCCTGACTCTCTGTGGGCCAGTCCTGGCCCTGGGTAGTGAGGACTCAGGGATGACCCTGACTTGGTCTCTGCCCCCAGAGAGATTGCAGGCTGGTGGCTGTCCAGGGGGGTCAGGGGATAACTCTGCAGCCCCCTCCCCCAGGTCCATGCTCCCAGACATGGTGGATGACTTCCAGCTTCAGCACCAGCACGGCCCCGGCATAGAGACCATCTTCTACTCGTCCTACGTCTTCTTCACTAAGCTCTCGGGCGCAGGGGCCCTGGGCATCTCCACGCTCAGTCTTGAGTGAGTCCCAGAGCTGGGCTGTGGCGGGGGCACAAAAGACCAGCTGGGTGGGAGGAGGGCAGAGTCCCCCACCCCAGCCCGGGGACTGGGACCGAGCTCTGCTCTTTGGAGAGTGAGGGGCAGACACCTCCTCAGCTGGCTCTGGGGATGTGACTGAAAGGGGCCTTTCTTGAGGGCCATAGCCTTCCTGAAGCCTCAGCCCCCCACATTCTCAGTTCTCTCTGAACTCCTCCCTGACCAGCCCATTCCCTCGACACTCCCTTCCAGCCTGGCTAGGCTGATCTGGCCAGGAAATGAATCCAAGTTTCAGGAGAGTGTGGAGGTGGGGGATCTGGGACCCCTCCCCCAGGGAGCCAGGCTCGAGAGGGTCTGGGCTGGATGATGGGATGGTGTTTCTCCAGGTTTGCGGGGTATGAGGCAGGAGCCTGCAAGCAGGCAGAGCAGGTGGTGGTGACCCTCAAGGTCCTCATCGGTGCTGTGCCCACCTGCATGATCCTCACCGGTCTTTGCATCCTCATGGTCGGCCCCGGTCCAAAGGTGCCAAGCCAGGACTCCTCTCACCAGCTGAGCCTTCGAAGGTGGGCACCCCATGCACACGGGTACACACAGACAGCTACCAGCACCCCCGGAGGCACATAGAAGTGTGCCGATGTGAGACCAACCAGTCCACAGGTCCCCTGGTGGTGCTTACACCACTGAACAATCCTGCCGTTGGAGACTCTGCCTTAGCTTCAGTGACGCCATCTAAATTTTCTTCAGCTGCTCAGTCTCCCTTGATAACCAGTAGTATGGTGGTATGGGAGGGCTCCCTTGTTCACCCCTATTCCTTTTGCTCTCCATAATCCCAGGCACCACTTCCACTCGCTTGACCCCGAGCACCTCTTGTGCTTGCTGACTCCTATAGCTGTCCTCCTGCCAACCCTACCACCCCACTCCCATACTGCCTTCAAGTTCCAGATCCACACTTCTGGCTCTCATTTGGATAGCTCCACCTGACGTCCCACAACCACGGCAGTCAGTCTTAATGATCCCCCAAAGGAATTCATGGTCTTGTCCCAGTCAGCTCCACCACCCTCCCGTCTGGGAGCCGAAACCTGGGGATGGATGGATGGATCATCTTCCACACCTACTCCCCCCCCCCCCCCGCCCCCCCAGGCTGTGCTGAGAGCTCTCTGAGCCTTGCCCTTCCCCCTCCCAGAGCACTGGTTCCACTGCAGGGTTGGATCTGCTCACTGTCCGGCTTTCCCCGTAGACTGTGGGGACCTTGAGGCCATATCTTTGTGTTTATTCATTTTTATGTCCTAAGAGCCTAGCACAGTGCCCGAGACCAAGCAGGTGCTGCAGTATCAACATGGTCCCGCACACTTTCATGAGCACATGTCCACATCTTTGTAGATGCTCATGCACTCACATGTACACACAGAGGATCACACAGGGGAGACAGGAAGTGACATCATCATCCACCCCTCATCCTTCAGCATGGCTGGTCTCAAGACTCCAGCCAAGTAATGCTGACCTCACGTGCTACACTCAGGAAGTGACACACAGCTGCTTGATGGGACTTGGGGAAACAGATTGTGGCTTTGTTCACGCAGGGTTGGGGGTGTGTGTGAAGGGGAGGAGTTGCTAGAAGACAAGGAACAGCCACTGACACCTCCACGGGGCCTGGCAGGGCAGAGACCACCCTCCCTCATCCTCTTGGGCTTCTTCCCTTCCCGCAGGAGGACCAGCTACAGCCTCGCTGCAAGTTAAAGCTTCGTGAGCCCAACAGCAGGAGCCGCACTGTCTGGGCTCGAAGTCCCCATCTCTTCTCAGCCGTTTAGAACCCCCACTTCGCAGCGTGCACGTGACCTTTTCCCTGGGCTATGGAGCCTTCAGTGACCTCTCCAGAAGGGACTGGCCTGGGTTCCACCTGTCTTTTCTTACCTGTTGACCACAGACCATTTCAGATAAACCTGTGCCCCTGACTACCCGGCTCCAGGTGACGTTTGACCTGGAAAGCATCCCAATAGCAGCTTGTCCTGAAAAAAAGGAAGCCTCAGCCAGCCTGGCCTGCAGACTCCCCAACAACCTGCTGACCTGACAGGACAGACACACAGACAGGCCCTTTGTTCTTCCTGATGCCCCAGTGGACATCTGAGAGAGAGACTGACAGGCGTCACATGAATGGGCAGAGTGGGGACAGATGGGCAGGCTGGGGATGTTGTTAGGACAGACAGATGCAGGGAGGCCAGCAGACCCCAGGGGAGAGAAGGGGACAGCAGTGGGGATGAGAAGGTGGAGCAGGGCACGGGGTGTTCTCAAGCCTTTCTGTTGGGCTGATGACTGTTCCCAGAGGTGGGCACAGACTGTCCAGCCACCAGAGATGGATCATTTTCATGAACAGTCATTATTTTTGTGGGAATATTTTTTTCTGAACTTTTATAAAAAGTACAGGAACCACCATTTTCTAGAAGCCGTATCTTTGGAAAAGATCCACTGAGGTTTATTTTTTTCAAAAAACAAAAAACCGCATTAAAGGGTTTGTCTTCTACTGAGTCAGTAAAGTGTGATGGTGGGCAGCCCTCCATCATCCCTCGGCCCAGGGCTAGGCTCCCTTCCACTTCCTCTTCGGGCCTTTGGCGGCCTCTTAGGTGAGAGACCCCTTAGGCTGCCAGAACTCAGACTCATGCACAGAGATGCTCGTCAGAGCTCGGTTTAAGCCTCTGGCTTCCTCCACAGACAGGGAGCTGACCTCCCAGTGAGAGTGCAGAATGTTCAAAGTATTACATATGTCCTTATTTTTCCCCATCGACCCCCTCCAGCCCATCCCCGTGCCCTCCCCGCCCCCTTACCACCCCTGTCTGCATCCATGGGTTATGCATATATGCATACAAGGTCTTTGGTTGATTACCTCCCACCCACCCACCCTCCCCTACCTTCCCTCCAAGATTCCGTACTCTGTTCCATGCTTCCATGTCTCTGGATCCATTCGGTTCATCAGTTTATTTTGTTAATTAGATTCCATATATGAATGAGATCATGTGATACTTGTCTTTCTCTGACTTATTTCACTTAGCATAATACTCTCCAGGTCCCTCCATACTGTCTCACAGGGTAAGAGATTCTTCTTTTTTTACTGCTGCATAGAATTCAACATGGTATAAATGAACCTCAACTTTTTTATCCACTCATCTACTAATGATGTGCTACATTTTATATCACCTACATTTCCCAGGGTGCAGTCTCAAGGAGCAGCTATACAGCAGCAGGGAACAGCCTTGGGGATCAGGGGTTAGATCTCAGAGATAGGGCCATCATGGGCTGGCCAAAAGGTATCCTACCATTTCTCCCTCACAGCCACACTATGAAGCGGGAACTAGTGTTCTCTTATTCAGATGAGGAAACAGGCTTAGAGAGCTTAAGCCACTTGTCTATGGCGGTGGTAGAGATGGTCTTGAACCTAATATAGTTCTTAAATTAGGTGGTTGGTGGTTCATTTTATTATTAAGCCTTCCTATACTTTGTATCTATCACATGTATCAAATATCCATACGAATTTTAGAAAAATTTGGGCACAAAATGGGATTTGTAAATGACTTTCCTTATGTAAAATATTCTCAATATAACATTAAACAATTATTTTTTAAAATAGATTTTTATTGATTTTAGAGAGGGAGATAGAAACATCAATGATGAGAGAGAATCATTGATTGGCTACCTCTTGCATGATCAGAGATCAAGCCGGCAACCTGAGCATGTGCCCTGACCAGGAATCGAATGGGACCTCCTGGTTCATAGATTGATGCCCAACCACTGAGCCACTGCGGTCAGGCTAAATGATTTTTTTTAAAAATATTTTTATTGATTTCAGAGAGGAAGGGACAGAGAGATGGAAACATCAATGATGAGAAAGAATCATGGATTGGCTGCCTCCTGCACACCCCATACTGGGGATCAAGCCCAAAACCTGGGCATGTGCCCTTGACTGGAATCGAACCTGGGACCCTTCAGTCCGTAGGCTGACACTCTATCCACTGAGCCAAACCGGCTAGGGCCAGGCTAAATAATTTAAAGAAATTAGTTCTTCTCTCCCTGTCTCCAAAAGCAGCAAATGCTGGATTATCTTCTATTGTTCCAATGACTACAATAATAGCAGAGGCAAAGGATATATATTTTGTCTGAGAGTTGTCATGGAATCAGATTTGTTGTGAAGAACTAAAGAATTTATATTCGGAACTGTCTGAGTTAGAAATATTCCGTGGCAAGTATAATGGGGAAACAGACAGAAAGCTGATCAAACTGGTCCCAGCAAGATAATAAATCACAAGGTCTTATTTTCCCTAACCAGGGACACTTAGGAGCAAATGGTTTAAACATTCCAGACCACTTAGGGGCAGACCCCATGCTGTCCGGGTCCCTCTTTGGTGACATTCTTTGAAGGTGAAACTGACAAGAGAATGACTGATTGATCAGCATATTAAAGGACACACCTGCAAAGCTGACTATTCTATTGAGATCCTCCCGAGACCTCTGCCAAAATCCCCTTTAGAAACAGGTTAAGAACCCCTAAGACAAGCCAGTGTGGGCTCTCTCTGGAGCACGCACTTGCCTTTCTTCCCTCTCAGGTGTGCATCTTTACTCTTCTCTCCCAAACTCTAACGGTCTCCACGAGCCTTGCAACCAGGGGGGCAGCAGGCAGTGGCAGCTTGTCCCAGGCTAACCCCCTGAACCTGTGTCCAAGGCCCCTTTACGCTGATCGCATCCCCATCTCAGCTCACTTCTGCCATTGTGGCTTTTACTTCTCAGTGAGTCCGCACAGCCCAGCGTGGCCCACTTCTTTCCCATAATGTTTCTAAGGAGCCAAAGCAGAGCACTGCCTAGGCTCCCTTCTGCTGCTGCTTCTATCTTAGGCCTGCTCCAGGCCAGGTTCCTTTCTGGTGACATGTCCACCAGAGGAAGAAATACAGACAACATACACAAATATAAAATCAAGAATATTTCTGTATAACAGCAATGATCACAAAGAAAATACCATCAAAACAGTCACAACAGCTGCATCAACCATGAGTGATTTTATTGAAGACTGACCAATGAAACGCTGACTGTAACATACACCTTGAGGCACCCACCTTGAACTTACCAGCCCCCTTGTTAGGCTTCACAGTATGTGCTTTCATCCCACCCGGAAAATGGAGCCAGGCCTCAGACTATCCTCAGACATTGCTCTCAGGCAACTGAGTTCAGACAAGTGGTCTCCTCTTCCATTATCCCACCAGCTCTCTAATGCATCTGAACCACAAAATGGGCCCTTGCTTCTTTCCTATCCCAGCTCCATCTTCATAAACTGTAACAGACAGGAGTCCCCAAGGGTGCAAAATATTTCTTTCCAGATAATTTTAAAGGCAATGGAAAAAAATGACCATGTGCTAATGAAGCTTCTATGGCTGAAACAAGGGTCTGCAGATGTGATGACTAGCCACACAGACCGATTGGTTATGCTGCAATAAATGAAATTTATAATGTGTCTGAAGGCAGTAAGGAGTGCTGTGTTTGTCTAGAGTTGGGATCGGGGCTCTTTCCACTATACTAAGCTGGCCCTTTAGCCCTTATTTATAATAACTGGTACTTTTTAGGGCTATCCCAGATTCAGTGAAATTTCCACCTTTCTGAAATATTTTCTCTCACAAACTCTATGCTAGTCTCTAAAACTTGACTAAAGGAAAAGAAAAATACCAAAATTAAAGCTACAATTTAAGAGTTGAGGCCGGCAGCAGGAGAGGATTTTCCTGGAAGGCTTACTGCTAGAATCCCTAGCGGTTCCAGGCGACCTGCAGCTTCCCCCGAGTCAGAGGGCCCAGTTCGCCTTCAGAGAGCAAAGAAAACAAAAACTCAAGGAGCATCTGTTAAAAAGAAAAACTCTTTTTGCATACAAACAGGAAAATCAGAAATTCTCCAGTAGAAACGAGGGAATGATGGCATCTGAGGGTCTGGTCCAAGAAGAGACAAAAGTTCTGAAACTTAAGACAAAAATGGCTGATAAAGAAAATGTCCATAGACCTGCAAGGAGCAAAAATAATGTAACAATGGGAAAAAATTGTATTCCATTAAAACCTTCTAATGAATTAACCAATTCAACTATAGCCACTGATATATATAACTTGGAGAATAATCAAACTCTGCAGTTGTTACCAATTACAAATGATCGCCAAGGTCAACGTATGACATTAAGCCAAGCGTTTCACATTAAAAACAATAATAAAAAGAAACAAGTGACTACAGAAAAACCAAAGCAAGATGCTAACGTGCTCAAGAAACCTGTGCTTGGATCTTATCGTGGCCAAATTGTTCAATCTAAGGTTCATTCAGTTAGAAAACCTGTACAAGTCAAAGATGAGCATTCTGCAATAACAAAGAAACTTTCAACTCCTATCTCTAAGGCCACAAAACCTCAGCCTATCAACACCAGCAGTGTAACAGCAAAAAGTCACTGAGCCTCAAATATGATGACTACGACTAAATTTGTGAGGGCTACATCTCAGAATGAACAACTTTTTTTTTTTTAAATATATTTTACTGATTTTTTACAGAGAGGAAGGGAGAGGGATAGAGAGTTAGAAACATCGACGAGAGAGAAACATCAATCAGCCGCCTCCTGCACACCCCCTACTGGGGATGTGCCCGCAACCCAGGTACATGCCCTTGACCGGAATCAAACCTGGGACCTTTCAGTCCGCAGGCCGACGCTCTATCCACTGAGCCAAACCGGTTTCGGCAGAATGAACAACTTTTATGTCCTCCTATTAGAAGTCACCACAGTAATACTCATAATACCCAGGACTCCCTGAAACAAGACACTGCCAATGTTACATTCGGAAAGGGTCTCATGAGAAAGAGTTACTACAATTAAATACAGTTTTATCTAATGTCAAAACCATTTCTTCTCAGGAAGTAAAAAGAAATAAGACAGTATCAGGAAGCATCGCATCTGAAATGATAGCCAGGCCTGCTTCATCTTCTAATATCAAACAGATAGAAACGTCAAAAACCATTGAGCAGTGCAGGCAAAAGCAACTATCAACAGAAGGGCTCAGCCCAAAGAAACCGTAGAAGAAAGAAAAGCTCGTCTGAGTGAGTGGAGAGCCAGCAAAGGAAAAATGCTGAAAAGGCCTCCTAGCTCAGTAATAGCCCAGCCTGAAGCTGAAGGACAGAATGAAAAACCAGTTGGGTCATTTTGGACTACCCTGGCAGAAGAAAAATAACAAAGATTATTTACTGAAAAAGTAAACAAGACATTTTCTGAATGCCTAAACCTGATTAATGAGGGATGCCCCAAAGAAGAAGTATTAAACACACCGAATGACCTGATTAAAAATATTCCAGATGCCAAAAAACGTGTTAAGTATTGGATATGCCTTGCACGTGTTGAACCACTCATAAGTTCTATTGAAAATATTATCTCAATCTTTGAGAAGGCCATTCTGGCAGGAGCTCAGCCTATTGAAGAAATGCGACATGCAATTGCAGATATTCTAACAATGAAGAGTCAAGAAAACGTTAAATTTGGAGAAAATCTTGAGGAGGCTTGTGCAACCAAGGAAAAAATCCAAGAAGTCAACATTGAAGATACTGGTGTTAATCTAGAGTCAGGAAAACCTGAAATGGAAAATAAACATCATAGAAATGTGGTATTTCAAGATTGTAAAAAAGGGCAAGTACACAAAACAAAAGATCCAACCAATGATGTTAAAACCCCCAACACAGAAACTAGGGAGGGTTGCTTAATTAAATATAATGTGTCTACTACACCATGCCTTAGACTTCGCCTGTTCTTGGCATTGTACTAGTAACATCAGCACACACCCAAGAGGGGCCTAGAAGGGTCAAAGCACTGAAATGTCCTTTGAAATCTGTCCAGGGCCAGTTTTTAGGAGTATCCGGACCTTAGTCAGCCAGAATTTTCTAGGGAAGCAACAGAGTTAGGTTTACATTCTGGGAGGTCCATCCTGTTCTAGGGAGCAGAGCGGGGGAGGGAGGTTGCAGTCAGTGGCTTTTTTCTTCCTTTGAGCTCTGTAGATTTCTGCTGGTTTGGGCTAAGAAGAATATGCTGGAGGATATGCACTCCTTATCCTCATCTTTAAGCCAAGAGAAAGATCTATCACAGTGCTGAGGTACCTTTTAAGTGCTTCTAAGACAGCTTTAACACAGCTCTGGGCTGGGACAGAAAGCCTCAGAGAAACCATAAAACACAATCCAGAGGGCACCATTACATTGTCTTGTTCTGGGAATTCTGCCTTCAGACAAAACCACACCTCATGAATGCATAAGCAAGCACTTTCTGAGCCATCTGACAAAGGCTGCGCCAGACGGAGAAGTGGCCGAGCCAACCAGGCAAGTGCTTACCTCTGTGTGACAGTGTCAGAGGGGAGAGCCCACAGTGAAAAACAGATCTTGTTTGTAATGGTCTCATCTGAAAAGCTATGCAGCAAATACTCTATAAACAAGTATCAGCCTAGATGGTTGGAACAGCTGGTGGCATCTAAACGCTGGGCTGTACGTTCTCCAAAGACTTCAAGACAAGTACCAGAATCAAGACTCTGAGACAAAGAGTCTCTGAAGATATTTGTCCTGGAGCTGCCATCTCTTATGAGTATTTCCTGTGTGGCTGTAAAAGTTAATGGGATGAAGCCTTCACTATCAGCAGAGAGAAGGATCCAGCGGGAGTCTGCAAAGTAAAATGAACACATAGGCAATTTAGGATATTTCATCTTATTCCACTAGGAAAAACAACAAATATGACTTTTTTTGGGGAAGAATTTAGTAGTTGATAATATTAAACCTGATCACCTCGAGACTTTAGAGAATGGGGAGACGGAAGGACTGTTACGGAGGGTCTGGTAATATGGCAGGAAGAGGATGCTGAGGACTTAGGCAGAGCTAAAGGACATACACTTTTCACTCCGGCTGGGCATGTAGTACTCAGTGGTATGCATCTGGGCTTCTGCCTGCACGCACGGTAGGGGTTGTGTGCGGAGTGTCCCTACCTTACCTACATGCTCTTAATCAGTTTCTCCAGAAAATATGTGAGGTTGGGAACAGCCACTCTTATGGAGGAACCTTCTCTACTCTTTAGATCCATACCAACCTCTGGACACCCAAGGAGGCAAAAATGACTAGAGCTAGACTAGAATGGCCCAGAAAATCCTGAATGGCTAGTTCCAGGAGAGCGAGGGCCATCAGCATGCCTGGACCTTCTCTGGCTCTTTCAAGTCTATGGTGTCTTAGCCTTCTGACCTTGTAATTTCACTTCTGAAAAATCTATACTTTCCAAAAACAACACGTAAAATAGAGAGGTTTTCATTAATGTTATTTATAACGGGCCACCGCTGGAACCCACCAAAATGTCAAAGAAAATATAGCAGCCCAGCTAGTGTTGCTCAGTGGTTGAGTGTTGACCTATGAGCCTGGAGGTCACAGTTCAATTCCCGGTCAGGGCACATGCCCAGGTTGCAGGCTCGATCCCCAGTGTGGGGCCATGCAGGAAGCAGCCGATCAATGATTCTCTCTCATCACTGATGTTTCTCTCTCTCTCTCTCTCTGTTTCCCTTCCTCTCTGAAATCAATAAAAACATATTAAAAAAAGAAAAAAATATATAGTCCTAGCTGGTTTGGCTTAGTGGATAGAGCGTCAGCCTGCGGACCGAAGGCTCCCGGGTTCGATTCCAGTCAAGTGCCTAAGAAAACCAAAACCTGATGGAACGTGGACATGACTCAGTCCCTCACCATCCAGAAGTGTCCCTCGTGCCCGTATGTTTGCTGCACATTAAAACAACCCCTTTCAGAAATATTCTGCAATGTTGCTATGATCTTCATGTTCTAGTGCAACAGGTATACATGAGGTTTTTATGTCATTTCCTTGCAGTTGTTATACAGGGTGGGGCAAAAGTAGGTTTACAGCTATGATTACTCAACACAGTTCATTCTTGTATTATTACTTACTCATTATTGCATTATTTTCAATACGACCAACTGAAAACCTACTTTTGCCCCACCCTGTATATGGCTTTGTAACTTTTTTCTAGTTTTTCATGTATACAGTTAGGTTTTTCAGCTAGGCGATAAGTTCCTTAAGGGCAGAACACATATTTTCCATGTGTCTGGTGTTAACAGGCCTGGGTATGCGGCAGGCAATTAATAGTAGTTGTTAACTATCTAGAGAATCACGGAATGATCAGTACACATCATTTTCATTACCAGTGAAAGTAACAAAACAGACGGTGGAAGGAGGGTGCTGGGCAGGGTTGATTTCTGGATTTTACCTACCATGCAGCATTTCAACAAGAGCGAGGCCGAAAGTCTGCTGCACTGTACTGAGCCTCAGCTTGCCATTGCAGAGAAGCACGTCTCTTTTTTCAACAACAGATTCTACAGAATAACGTTTCTTCAAATACAAAAAAAAAGTTGTTAAGCCAATTGCAGAAGCAATGGAGTTAACATTTCTTTAGAAAGTGTAAATATTTTTTTAAAACCCTTATCTAGTACCACTATCACTTAGACTTCAGTTTTATATCAGGAGCTTTTTGCTCTATTATTTAACACAACTAAAGGGTCAGACCAGAACACAACCCCTAATTTACTTTTCCTAGAACTTTGTCACTAGGAACTGGCTGTCCTAGGATCTGACTAATAACACTACAGATGATGGACGGCAGCCTAAGAGACACAATCTGATGGTGAGGAACAGGTGCCTGGCTATTTTAGGTATAACTCACAAAACTTAATGCTCTCTTTATTGGGGGGAAAAATGCCAAGAAAGACTGCCCTAAGGATTTGCACAAGTAAACAAACTGGTCAAAATTCACTTCGTTTAGAAAAAGTACAAATAAAAATGATTATTAAAGTCTTATTAAACATTAACTCTTTAAAATTGGTTTCAAATATCCCTAGATAAAGAAAATATAAAATAATTACAGCTCTAATTTAAGATAATATTAAGAGTCCAAAGGTATAATCATAGAATAAAAAATATAACTTCTAATTATATGTTATTTGCAACAATAACTTCCTGTAAGCATTTGAAGAAGAGTTTTATAATTTCAACGACAGAAGATAAACTGTACTACACTGGTGGAAGAATAAACAACTAAAAGAGCATGTCTACTATTAACATTTTAAATATTAATAAATTATAAAGGCCAGAAACAACTAATCATTTATTTGAATTCTATGAAAAATGTCACTTTGGAAATTACAGGAGAAACTCTTCCTTGCTATTGATTATTTTGCCTTTTTTCTCATTACAAAAGGGATATATCCTCAATATAGAGTAAAACATAAATTTATAATGTGGAAAGTAAAGTCCCCTCCAGAGGTAATTATTGATAACAGCTTGGTTCAATCAGTTCATTATAAACTGAGAAACTGAAGAACTGAAAAGGCAAAATACCCCATATTTCTTTTACTCAAAATATATAGAATTTCACATTTACAAATGTTTACAAAAGAAAAAATATGTTATTATTTGGTAGAAGAAATATAGACTTACTTAAAACTAACTCTGTGATTTTCTCTAAGGGTTCAATTATGCAGAATTTTTACTTTCAACATTAATTATTCCTATATTGGTTACATTCCCTTCCTCCCCTCAGTGAGCGAATATTACTTTCGTAATTAGGGAAAAAAAATACTGTGCAGATGTAGAAAAAGAAAAAAGCTCTATATGCTGATATGGAGAATTCTATTTAAAAAAAAATATTTTTATTGATTTCAGAGAGGAAGGGAGAGGGAGAGAGAGATAGAAACATCAATGATGAGAGAGAATCATTGATCAGCTGCCTCCTGCATGCCTCCTACTGGGGATCGAGCCCACAACCCAAGCATATGCCCTTGACCAGAATTGAACCCAGGACCCTTCAGTCCACAGGCTGACACTCTATCCACTGAGCCAAACCGGCTAGGGCGATATGGAGAATTCTTGAGGATATATTATTAAATGGAAAAAGAAAGATGCAAAACACTGGATATAATGCCTTACACTTTGTGTAAAAGAGGAAATAAAAATATATAGTGTCCTGGCCAGTTTGGCTCAGTGGATAGAGAGCATCGGCCCACAGACTGAAAAAGGGTTCCAGGTTCGATTCTGGTCAGGGGCGTGTACCTTGGTTGTGGGCTTGATCCTCAGTGGGGGCATGCAGGAGGCAGCTGATAGATGTTTCTCTCTCATCCATGTTTCTAACTCTCTATCCCTCTTCCCTTCCTCTCTGTAAAAATCAATCAAATATATTTTAAAACATATATATATATATATATATATATATATATATATATATATATATTAAGATCTACTAGTATCTGCATAAAGAAATAAAAATAAAAATGTTAATTATAGGAGGTCAGGGGAACAGATTGCACAGAGATGGGTTGAGAGTAAGACTTCCCAGTATATATCTATCTTTTTATTAAATTGTTTCCCTTTTTAAACAGGTAAATGAATTAACTATTCAAAAAGAGGAAAAAAGGGGGGGATAAAAAAAAGAAAAAGAAAGGAGGGGGATTTTTAAAAAGCGGAATCTAAATTTCACATCTATAAATACTATTTAAAAACTAAAAAACTTTTTTACAGAAAACTTCAGGTATTTATATAAAACCATTTAAATAACTGCTTTAGCTAAAGACAATGTAACAAAAATCCTCTCAAAAATCTGGAACTGAGATGTCAAATGTTTATAAACATGTGTCTCAATTAGCTTTGGTACATGATATAACTAAGATTCTTAATGAGGTTGTGAAATTAATTTGAAAAAAAATTAAATCAGTGATTTACATTATTTTCAGCTGGTTTGTGATTTATCTGGTTTTAGGGAGAATTGGGGAAATCTGAATAAGGACTAGGTGTTAAATGATAATAGTAACTATTGTTAATGTTATCACATGTGATTATGGGATTGTAGTTATTGAAGCAAATGTGTTTGTATTTTTCAGCATCCTGAAATACCTGGGTGAAAGACATATATTTACTTAAACTATTTTAGAAAACAACATAAAAGCAATATGGCAAAATGTTAACTGTTATATCCAGGAACTACAGGATTTCATTATGTAGTCTCCCTATGTGTTTACACTTTTTAAAATAAAAGATGTGTTTTAAAATTTTTCATTAAAAAATGGAATTGTTTTAAATTATTCTTTGGTTCTTTTAAAAACCTACATCCCTGAGTTGGCCAAACAGTACTAGTTTTAAGAAAGAAAAAAAATTAAAATATTACTTCTTGACCATTATTTAAATAGTAATTTTACATATTATTGATCATTGATTTCAATACCGACTTTCTGCAAGTATCTTTTAAAACGAAGATATATAAATCTACAGTAATCAAATCAGCATGATATGGATAAAGTTCTAGGTAAAGAGATCCACCCTCCAACAGCTGCAGTACGGAGAATCTAGAATTAGATACCAGTACAGATAAGTTTATATATGATAAATATGGTAGACTCAGTTCAGTGGGATAAAGGTGAATTTTTAGTAATGTTGCTGACACAACTGGCTATCTAACTCTCAGAAAATAGAAGTGGCCCACACACAAAAATTTAATTAAAGATTGAAAATGTACCCTGGCCAGGTAGCTCTGTTGGTTTGATACCGGGTCAGGGCACATACAAGAAGCAACCAATTAATGCGTAAATAAGTGGAACAACAAATCAATGTTCCTCTCTCTCTCAAATCAATTAAAAAACACAAATGTAAAAAGCAAAATAATAAAATATTGCAAGCGCCCTGGCCGGTTTTTCTCAGTGGATAGAGCCTCAGCCTTTGGACTGAAGGGTCCTGGGTTCGATTCCATTCAAGGGCATGTACCTCGATGCAGGCTTGATCCCCAGCTTTGGTCAGGATTCATGTGGGAGGCAACCAATAGGTGTCTCTCTCTCACACAGATATTTCTCATTCTCTGTCTCTCCCTGTCCCTTCCATGCTCTCTAAAAACCAATGGAAAAATATCTTCAAGCGAGGATTAAATAAATAAATAAATAGGTAAATAAATAAATAAAATATATTGCAAGAAAATCTAGACATTACATGCATATTAATCTGTATAATATACAAAAACTTCTTGTAAACTGATAACTCAATAGGGAAAAAATGAGCCATAGGTTACTCATTCATTGGCCCCAGAACATGACGACCTATGTACTCAAATTCACTAGCAGTAAAGGGGAAAGAAATTAATAAAAGTGAAATACTATTTCACAGTTATCACATTCATGAGGATGTGAGGAGAAGGTTGCTGGTGAGCATGTAATGACACATTGTTAAGTAAAAATCTTTGAAAGGCAATCTGGCAAGTTTTTTTAAAAGTAGAAACATATATTCAAATTGCATTCCTGCTTCTGGGAACCAACCCAATAGAAACAAAAGTAGGAAAACAAATGGATACATACAAGAATACTATTGCAGCACTAAGCAACTGAAAACAAAGTGAATGTCCATCAACAGGGAACGCCTGGATAAACAGCATACTCTCAGCATGAAGTAAAGAGTACACCATATACCCTATTTCTATAAAACAATAACCACCCCTGAACCTATATATCGCTTGTACCTATGTATCTATTTATGCAAAGAACTGTGTAAGATTATGAGTGTGAATTACACCATGGAAGGATCCACATTAAGCTGCTAGTTAAGTGGGGAAGAGCAGAGGTCAGTTCCATAGGGAATGAAAGTGTTCGTGATAAAGCAGTGGTTCTCAACCTTCTGGCCCTTTAAATATAGTTCTTCATGTTGTGGCCCAACCATAAAATTATTTTTGATGCTACTTCATAACGGTAATGTTGCTACTGTTATGAATCGTAATGTAAATATCTGATATGCAGCCGAAACCGGTTTGGCTCAGTGGATAGAGCGTCAGCCTGCGGACTGAAAGGTCCCAGGTTCGATTCCGGTCAGGGGCGTGTGCCTGGGTTGCGGGCACATCCCCAGTAGGAGATGTGCAGGAGGCGGCTGATCGATGTTTCTCTCTCATCGATGTTTCTAACTCTCTATCTCTCTCCCTTCCTCTCTGTAAAAAATCAATAAAATATATATATATAAAAAAAAAATCTGATATGCAGAATGGTCTTAGGCGACCCCTGTGAAAGGGTCGTTTGACCGCCAAAGGGGTCGGGGCCCACAGGTTGAGAACTGCTGTGATAAAGTAACAGGATGCTATTTATGTAATACTACGTTTGCATATGCATGCATAAATAGATGCATTGACATTTCTTATAAATGGAAGAGGGTCTGCACTGCATAAGAAAAAAGTTTCACAATGAAATAGCACAACTAAAAAAATTTTTTTTCTAAATATGAATTGATAGAATAAGTGCAATCATTCATGTTTTCACACCATGCACATGATAAAAATCAGTGTATCCTGGTATGCGTGTCCATGTGGTTGGCAGGCAACCAACCTGTAAAGGTGTAACAGCTTGCCTGTAACATAATATGCCCAGTTCAATTTAAACACTATCTTTCGCAACCATTTTTCTGGCAGTGACTACTGGCTGTGGGAGCTTATGTATAGTGGTAGCTCCTGAAGGAGGAATTACCTGGTAAGAGATGTGGACGTAAGGCAGATCCTGAGAGAGCGGATACACTGGAGAGGACTTCTTTCCATTGTGTAGGAAGTCTGTGAGTTCAGAGAGACTTCGCTGTACTTCCATCAGTTTCCTAGATAAAATTTCCAGTTCCTTAGAGAGCTGACAAGTTTCCTTTTCCCGCTGTAAGTTCTTTCTGGGAGGGAGATTAAGAGGGCCCAGGGTGCTGGTGTAGTCTGGTGTGCTGCTGGGTTTGGGCAGTGTCGCTGACCCGTCAACAGGCTCGGCCTCTCGAGTTTCCAGGGCTATGGAGTCATCACGCACACTGGATGGAGGGCGTTGGATTTCTTTAATAAAAGTACTTCCAGGCCTTCCACCTTGACTACTGCTATTAGCTGTTAACGAGAGTCCTGTGTTTTGGTGACAAATATCTGGGGAAAGACTCTCAATTGGCTTTTTCCTCTCTGCTTTATTTAACAGAGCACTGAGGGTAGTATAGCCACGCTGGTTTTCGCTCACTGTTACTGGAAACTCCTCTTTCAACGTTACTTCTCTAACAGTCAAGCGAATGACATACTCCTCAGACTTTGAAGAAGGAAGAAATGTCGAATCAGTGGATTTTTGTTTTCCTATCAAAATTAATAATAATTTATCTGTCAAGAAACATATGCCTTTTGGTCTCTCATTACTCTCTAATTGAATCTGCTGGATATTGGGCATAACCGCTGGAATGACAGAATAGATAAAAATTGTATTACAAGTATTGGAAGCCACGGCTACAACCTTTGCTTTCAGATTAAATGCTATTAGATCAGGAACCAGAATGCCTGGAATGGTGACTTTTTTGACCTGGGTCACCACTTGCGCAAAGGTCACAAGAATCAAATGTGAAGAATCCAGATCGGTTCCTGCCAAGTAATTCTTTTTTCTTAGACAAATGAGGGCATTGCTCTCAGACTCAGATCGATTGAAACGTATATGAGTTAGATCCAGAGGATCTGAACCGGAAGAAGAAAAGGGAGACACTGATGTGTCGGAATTGGTTCCACAAGAGGCTGCCCCTTTATCCACAGAGGGCATCGCATCAGTAACTGGTGACGTATACAGACAAGTGTCTTCACTGCTGGGTGGAACGCCAAATGTTTCAGATGCATTTAAGCCACAAACCTTACCTATTGGAAGTTCAGTGGCTAGGACGACCTGTGAGTCCTCCGCGGCCCCAATGGAGCGCACGTCGCTGCGCACATCCAATACCGGGCAGCAGGAGCACCGCTGAAGCGTCTTCTGAGCACTGTCCCAAATGTAAGAGTGCAGGCTGCTGCCTACGGCCACCAGCAGCCGCTGGCCATCCTGGGTCCAGCACGCACAGTGAATGAGGCCCTGGGCGCTGCCGTCCGCTTTTACTCGGGAACCGTCACAGTGCACGTTATGGACAATGGAGACATCCCGTGCAGTCAGCACCGTCAGAACAGCACTTTGTGGGTGCCACACACAGCCTTGGGGAAGGACAGGGCGCGATTCTCTAATCTCACAGGTCTGAGACACCAGCGGCTTGCTTGTTCCCGTGGTACTGGGACACAGCTGCCACACAGTGACATGCTGCTTGTGCTGGACAGCGAGCAGAGGGGGCGTGTCAGCTATCCCAGGTGGGGCCCACGACACCCCATACACATGCTCGAATTGCCCAATGACCTTCGAGTCCCCAAACTTGGCCTCTCCACGCTGAAGCTGTACATCAGTCAGGACTACCTGCTCCCCATCGGTCCAGACAAGGCCGTGAATTGGGTGTATTGCTTGATACAATGCATTCAGCCCACTCCTGAGAAGTTTTCCTTTTCCCAACTCCATCTTTCCTGATAAAGGTCATCTGAAATAATTAAAAAGAAAAGCTACATCCTGAGACTGTAATCAGAGAAATCCAGAATATAGGACATATTTCAAGATAACTGGTTTAGATGTTTCACGGGTCAGTATTGTGAGAGGATAAAAGGATAGGAGGAGTGTGGCAGGTTCACAGAGACTACTGAGCCAAAACAAACAAACGCAACATATAATCTTTGGATCTTAAATTGAGGAAATAAAATTTTCTACAAAAAAAAAAAATATATATATATATATATTTGTAGAACTGGGGAAATTAGAATATGGAATGGATATTAGATAATATTGTAGAGTTAATAATTTTCCTAAGTGTGACCATGGTACTGTGGTTATGTAGGAAAATGTCTTTATTGTTAAGCTAATGTATGTTGAAGTATTTGGGATAAAGTGTCATAATGCCTACAACTTGCTTTCAAATGCTTTAGAAAACAAACAAAACCCTCCCCCAAAAATATGTATCAAAAAACATATGTATGTATATCCTTGGTGTATATATAGAGAGAGAGCGCTAAAGCAAATGTAGCAAAATGTTAGTAATTGCTGAATTCAGATTGAGACTATGTCAGTATTCATGGGATTTTGAACTTTTAAGCTAGAAAAGTTTCAAATTAAAAAGTTGAGAAAAGTCTCCATCATCACCTAATTTCTATTCTCCTTCCACTGCCAATTCAATAAATAAATGATATTCACGACTCAATGGCCTTTACCTCTATACTGAAATGACACTCCAAAGTCACCATTGCTATTTCTACTTCATCATTTTCAAATAGCACTTAACTTTCAGAATAGTTTCACGCTCCCGATTGCATTTGCTCCTTGCAACAATCCTTCACAATAACGTAAACCAGGCTAGGCAAGTATTGCTTTCAAATTTTTCGTTCTTAAGGCTTTCCGCCCCCCGGACGTTCAGGTGACTAAAGTTCATGCCCACTGCCATGAAATTCAAACAAACCAGAGGCGCCTAAAGTAAAACAAAACGTTCCCTCCAACTCCTCTTGGCCACCGCCACCGCCCTGCGCCCCAAACCTTAAGTCCTCGAGAAAAAGCACTGTTAACAATTTGGTGTACAGCCTTTGAATCTCGTAAAGAAATGTATGTGTATTTCTTTATACATATATATGATTTCATATGTGCTACATTTTTAAAATCCTCACTGGAGAATACGATTATTAATTTTTTAGAGAGAGGGGAAGGAACAGGGAGCGGAGGAGAGAGGGAGAGAGAAACATCTATGCGAGAGGAACATCCATTGCTTGCCTTCTGTACCCGCAACCTAGGTATGTGCAACCTTTTGGTGCATGAGTCCAGTCCAACCAAATGAGCCACACCGTCCAGGACTAAATTTTTTCTTTTGGACAAAAGTGGGGTATAAGTCAGAGTTCCCAGATATTAACAACAGAAACCACTCTGGTTAACTTAAGCAAAATAAAATAATAATAATAATAATCTCAAGAACCAGGCTCAGAAAACAGGCTGCTAGGCACGATAAACCACCGCTGCCCCTCTCTCTAGTCAGCTGAGACTCTAACTTCTCAGAAGCTGAGAATCAACTTCACTGCCCCTTCACCGGATGGCAATCGCTTAACATTCAGAACTCCTGTAGGCTGAGCTCAGTTCACAGACCCTTTGCTCTAGCAACCAGGGGGGAGAGAGTCTCCCCACAAAAAGCCAAGAGGCCAAAAGCTGAAATGACCTTCAGGAGGCCTCCAATTATTTGGTATTTTGTAAAGTATTTTCACTTTCCTCCACCCTTCCCGCCCCGCCCCCCTCCCCTCCAGGTGCGTGCTCTTGGCCTTTCTCTCTCCTACCCTCCAAGGGCCCTTCCTTTTTTCCTCTATAACTTGTCTCCTGAGCCCAGGCAGCCCAGCTGGCTCACCTTTTATACCTGTTACTTTCTAAACAAACTTTCGCTTGTGTTTGGGGGAAAAAGAATTAACACACAGGAAAGGTATATTCACACACAAAGAAAATTCTGATTACACACCTCCAGACCTTCCCATGCAGTTTTGGTTAAACTTTTTCAATCACACCGTACAATGTTGTATCGCATCGTTGTTGTTTTTTTCACTTAACATTATATATTAGCATCTTCCCATATTATTTAAAAGTTTTGTAAATTATCTTTATAGGCCACTTAATATTCACTCGGTGAAGGTGCATAATTTCCCTCACTGCGGAGACACCCGGTTGCAGCCCCCTTGAGCCTATTATAAATGACGCTTTATAAAGATCTTTATGCATAAAGCATTTTCTTCTTTTGGATGGTCACTTTAGGATATATTCCCTGAAATGTCACTCACAGGTCACGGGGAATATATTCACTCCTTTGAACGCACCCGCGGCTCCTCCGCATCCACTAACCCCCGCACGCCGGCCGCCACCGTTCTGCCCATCCTGCCCGCACGCCTGAGTGTCTTTCACCGTCTCCCACGGGCCAAGCCCCTCCACCATCCACCCCGCCCACCCACAGGCTCCCCACACCCGCCAGGCTGGGCAACAGCGGACACAAAGCACCTTTGGACTCACTGCCCCGCAGTCAACCAGCTTGCCCGGAGCCGCCCCAACTCACCCAACGCGGTTCCAAAGTCCGCAGCGGGTACCGGAAGCATCGACTCCAAGGCCTCTGATAGGTGAGATGGTCGAGGAAAGCTCGGGAACGCCGCCAGCCTATTGGTTTTTATGTGTGTCGCGTTAGGAGAGGGTCTTTTCCGCTGACCAATGAGCTCTGGCTTTTCCGCAGAGATCTCTGGGAGTTGTAGTCCATGTGAAAATCACGCAATTTCTCTTAAGAGGTTTATCGCCTTTCCTCACTTTTTATCGGTTTTCTTAGTCTAAGAAGGAGTCCAGGGGCCCTAACGTCAAGACGGTTTCTTAAGTATTTTGGGGGGAGATGGGGAGTCAGGGATGGGAAGGGGTTGAGGATCTATTTAAACTACAAAATTTTCTCAGAAAAATGTTGCGGGGTTTGTTTTTCTTGAAAAATGTTCTTATCTGTACACAAAATATTGTGCATCCCATTGAAGCCACCCCACTGACCTGTTCCAGTTACACATCCCTGTTCTATACGCACCCCAAAGTGTCTGCCCATGGCCGTAGCCCATGGACTAGTGACTTGTCACTAGGCTTCTTTAGACCGAGTTACACCCTTGGGAGAATGTGGGCCACACCTTGGAGCAGCCCGTGGGGGGTTTCAGATCCTGAGCCTCACAGAACAGTTGATCATCATCTTTCTTGGATAACACAGCCAACCCTCTTTCAACGACGCCGATAGCCTGCTGTCTCCTCCGTAACCCCGGGGAGGATGGGGAAGAACACCGCCAGGGCCTCTCCGCACACCCTTGCTCAGGCTCTTCTCCCCAGGCCGACCTTGCAGCGCCACGTGTTAGAATCATACCTTCACATCATTGTTGGAACAATGTAGCCAAGAGTTAGAAACAAAAAATTTAAAGTCCCATTCCTTCTTTGAGCAAATGCTACTTTTCCAAACGTCTCTCTAGACTCCTGGACCTCCTTTGGGTGGAGGAGGAACACAGGGTCGAACTCATTCATTCATCCCCAGCGCGGATCGCTCGGCGCTGTACGCGTCCCTGCCCATCCCAGTTTTAGCTCCTCCAGGGCAGCGATTGTCTTCATGCAAATGGTGTCCCGGGATGCAGTTCTTTGGCTTGAAAGGTGGGAATCCACCTGTGCGTGGGGCAAAGCTGCCTGGGATAGTGAGTAGGAACTTAGAGTGGGGGAGAAGGGTGGGCAATGAGCCTCCCTCCCTCCCCACCCCACCCCACACTCGAGCTTGCGCGTGCAGAGCCAGGCAGCCCAGCTGGGGCAGGTCCCTCTCTGGTGCTTCCACACGTTCCGAACCCCACTGAGTGAGCCCCACTAGTTAGACTTGGTTTCGTTGCTGGCCTTCCCCTAGTGTGTGGGAGCAAGTAGATTCCCAAGAGATAAATCTGGGTTGAAGGGATGGATGAAGGGATGGATATGCAGGTGAGCGGGTGGATGCGGGAAAGCCTGCATGCCTCCCGCAGCATCCTCCCGGTCTGCGGGTCCGTGCTCCTTAGCCTGGCTGGGCTCCAGAGCCGCGGGTCAGGGTCGCTTGCCCCGGGCCCCGCCCCGGCCCACCCCACCTTTCCTCGCCGCCCCCTTCCCGTGGCCCCTCCCCGCGCAGGTCCCGACTCCGCCGCACCTCCTCCGGCTCTGCAGTGGCGGCGGGGAGGCGAGTCGGAGCGCCAGCGGGATCGGGAGCCGGAGCCGAGCCGGGGTCGGGGCAGCAGCGGGGACCCTCGGAGGCGGGGCCAGTGGGACCGCGATGGGCGTGGAGATCGAGACCATCTCCCCGGGAGACGGTACCGGGCGGCGGAGCAGGGGGAGAGGACGGGTCCCGGGCGGAGCCGGGCGGGCGGGGGTCTGATTCGGAGGCGGGTGGAGGGCGCCGGAACGGGGGGAGGGCCTAGGATGGGGGCCACCCGAGGAGACCGCGGGCGGGGTCGTGGGAGGCTTAAGAGCCGGTCCTTGCGGTCCTCTGCGCCGGCTCGCCCGGGGGAGCGCAGGCGGCGGCGGGAGGCGGGAGGCGGGAGGCGGGAGGCGGGAGGCGGGAGACGGGAGGCGGGAGGCGGGGGTCTGCAGCCGCCACCGCCCGGAGGCCGCAACCCCCGCGCCGCGGCGGGAACGCTCGGTTATCCGCTGCCGCCGACTTCCCAGGGCCAGGTGTCAGCCCCGCTGCTCCTGCCCTGCGGGGCGAGCTCTGGAAACGGGGAAGGACAGGCTGTGGGGTCTCTGCCGGGGCAACTCCCCTCTAACGCGCCCCTTGCCCGGCCTGCGGTCGGTCGGCCGGCGGCCCCCTGCGGGCTGGGCGGCGCGACGCGGTGGGGACCCGGCCGGGCTGGAAAGGGAGCTGCCCTCCCCGCCCCTGCATCTCGCGGCGTCCTCCCCGCCCCACTCCGCCTCTCGCCAGCCTGTCCGCTCCCGTGACTCTCAGTCGCGGCTGCAGACCGATGGCCTTCAGATGGAAGGCTCCAGCCCGGACCCCGACCCGAGTCCCCGGGAGTCCATGGACCCAGCTGCGGCCAAGCCTCTCCCTGGAGGCCCCACCGGCACCTCTCAGTCCGCCGGTCCAAAACAGAACTCGCTCTCCTCCGTGTTCCTTGTTGTCCGCCTCTGGGATTGGCGCTGCCGGGCGTCACCCTCGCACAACGGGGTCTGCATGTGCCAGGAACAGCTGGCTATCCCTTTATTTTTTCACCAAAACTTAATTCAGACCGGAGCCCCCATTTCCGCAGGATTTGACAGGCAAGCTGCATGTCAGGCATTGCTGACACCCACCCCAGAAACGGGAGCGCCCTATGGAAGGCGGTGGTCCCTAAAGTCCCAGCTCTACCCAGGATCACGGGTGGGGACAGCTCCCCCACAAGGGAACCTGGGTGCTGCCTCCAGGAAGCATGTCCCTGAGGCCTGGTGGCCTCCAGGCAGCCACACAGCTCTGCTGGGGACCGGAGACCTCTCCTCCCTTCCCAGGCTCCGGGAGTCTCCTCTCCTTACCCGCCCTCTCTGGCCAGTGACAGGAGCATTTTCTCTTGAGTTGGGTGAGAGTTTAGGAAAGCCGGGAGACCTGGCTTCCTGCTTTCAGCCTGTTTTAAACCCTGAGTCGACCTAGCCGATCTGACTCAGTGGATGGAGCATCGGCCTGCGGACGGAAGGAAGGGTCCTGGGTTCGACTCCGGTCAAGGGCATGTACCTGGGTTGCAGTCTCGATCCCCAGCCCTGGTCAGGGTGCGTGCAGGAGGCAACCACGTCTCTCTCTCTCTCTCTCTCTCTCTCTCTCTCTCTCTCGCTCGCTCTCGCTCTCGCTCTCGCTCTCTCTCTTTCCCTTCCTCCCACCCCATCTAAACATCAATTGCGGGGAAAGGGGAGGGAATCAAATAAATGGGGAAAACCTCTGGTGAGGATTAACAACAAAACATAAATAAAACCCTGGGTCAAGGAAGCACAAAAGGGCTCGACAACCACGCTGTGTGTAACCCAGCAGGGGAACATGCAACTTCATATTTCAACACGTATGCCCACACAGTGCTGGGATGCCTGTCTTGATGAAGCCTCACACCAAGTTCTCTCAGGTCCTTCTGCTGAATATCTCCAGGCTCTGGTCCCCCTCTTGGTTCAGGCCTCCATCATCGCTCACCTGGATTTCTGCACAGCCTCCAAGTTGCAGCTCCTCCCACCTCCAGGCCCACTTCCCTGCCTTCCATCTGGCCTCCCGCCTCACTCCGACTCCTTTTCTACAACACAGCCTTTTTGACCATGTCCCTCCCCAGGCATAAAATATTTATTTTATTTATTTTTTTAAAATATATTTTATTGATTTTTTACAGAGAGGAAGGGAGAGGGATAGAGAGTCAGAAACATCAATGAGAGAGAAACATTGATCAGCTGCCTCCTGCACACCCCCTACTGGGGATGTGCCCACAACCAAGGTACATGCCCTTGACTGGAATCAAACCTGGGACCCTTCAGTCCCCAGGCCAACGCTCTATCCAGTGAGCCAAACCAGCCAGGGCAGGCATAAAATATTTTAGTGAAACTTCCATCTCCTTCTCCAGGCAGATGGTGAGATAACCTATTCTTTTTCTTTCTTTTTTTAAAAACAATTCCTTTTTCTTTTTTAAACCTTCATTGGGGATATGTTTATTGATTTCGAGAGAGAGAGGAAGGGAGAGAGGGAGAGAGAAACATCAATGTGAGAGAGAAACATTGAGCGGTTGCCTCTCATACGTGCATGGATGGGAGATCGAACCCGCAACCTTTTGGTGCACAAGGCGACGCTCCAACCAACTGAGCCATCGGCCAGGGCGAGATAACCTATTCTTACCGTCCATAGTAGAGTACAGTCTCTCATTACCAGTCCCTACCCCCACTACCAAGTTTTTCTCCAGTTTTAGCAAGCTGCCTGGAAGCTGTTAAACACACACCAGTTATTCAGCAAATAGTTGTTGAATATGGACTGTGTGCTGGGCCCTAGGGTTACAGCAGTGAACCAGACAGGACTCCCACGATGCTGACTCTAGGCCTTTGAGCGTGTGGTTCACTCTTCCCAGATGATCTCTCTTTATTTCCTCTGGTAAACTACCCATCTCTTAAGATCCCAGTTTAACCATTATCTTCTCCCTGATGCTTTCCCTGACACCCAGTCAGTTGCTCCCCCCCGGGGGTTCCCATAGAGTCCTCCAGGTGTTGGCTCAGTCCTTAGTCCCCCCAAGGCATTGTTATCCGGCCTCCTGGCTTTAAATTCCACCCAAATTGATACCTCCAGTGCACACTCTCCATCTGCCTACTTGCGATTTAAACTAAGATGTCTAATAGGCATCTCAAGATTGCCACCCGCATACCTGGGTTGTGGGCTTGGTCCCCGGTAGGAAAGCAGCTGATCAATGATTCTCTCTCATCACTGATGTTTCTATTTCTCTCTCCCTCTCCCTTTCTCTCTGAAATCAATTAAAAATCTTACAAAAAAGATTGATTTTTTTTAGCTAATCTCAGCTAGCATTGTGCTTGACTTCTCCTTCTCCCTCATCCTAGACCCCATCTCCACCCTTTAAGCTCCGCTTCCAGAATATATCTCCTATCTCTTTGGCTCTCTTCTGTGCTGCCACCACATTAATTCAAGCCATCATTGATTTCCTGTCTGGATTACTGCAACAGGCGCCTGACCGTCTATCCTACACACAGCAGCCAGAGTGATCTTATAAAATCTTAATTCAGATTATGTCATTCTTGCTTACAACCCTCCAGTGGCTTTCTGTTGGACTTAGAATTAAACCCAGCTCTGCAAGCCCTGGCATGGCCCGGCTCCTTCCCACTCATCTCGTCCTCCCGCCCTTCTTTCCAGTTCCTGGCCTCCTTTCTATTCTGCAAATGCACTGATCCTTTCCTGCCTCTGGCTTGTGCACTTACTGATCCTTCTCCCGCCATGGTTTTCCAGCATTTGCTCATCCTCAAGTCTCAGCTCTGAGAAGCCATCCTGGACCACCCTTTCTAAAATGGCCTGCCCACTGTCTCTCTCTTTAATTCATCTTTAGAGAACTTATCACAATCTGTAATTATCTTGTTTATTTGAGGATTATTAGTCCCCCTCCAAAAAGAGTGGGGATCTTGCCTATGTGGTTTACTGCTGTATCCCCCAAATCAGGTCCTGGCGTTTGGTAAATATTTGTGAATGATTGTGTTTATTCATCTTTTTTTTTTTAATATATTTTATTGATTTTTTACAGAGAGGAAGGGAGATAGTTAGAAACATCGATGAGAGACAAACATCGATCAGCTGCCTCCTGCACATCTCCTACTGGGGATATGCCCGCAACCCAGGTACATGCCCTTGACCGGAATCGAACCTGGGACCCTTCAGTCCGCAGGCCGACGCTCTATCCACTGAGCCAAACCGGTCTCGGCGTGTTTATTCATCTTTGATCACAGTCATCACCCTGCCTCAGAATCTACTTATTTATGTGTGTTTCCCTAACTTCATCATAAGTTCATACATTGCTCTGTTTCTGGCATCTAATCCAGGCCTGGCACATATAGTAGGCGGTCAGTGAAGGCCTGTGGAATAGATGAGGGAACGTAAAAGGAGCCATCAGAGTGAGGAAAAGAACCAGGAGAGAGTGGAGTTGAGGAACCCACGGAAATCAAGTTCCAATCAAGGCCAGAGAGGTGGTGTGGTTAATCTGGCTTACACCAGGCACAGAGCCAGAACGAGGGCCAGGGTCATCTTCCTGGGATGGACATTCACACCCAAATGTCCCAGGTGACGTTTTCTACCTTATTTGTTCATCTGCCCTCATGTCTTCTTGCAGGAAGGACATTCCCCAAGAAGGGCCAGACGTGTGTGGTGCACTACACAGGTAGGCCTTGCTCCCCTAGCCCTCATCAGACTGCCCTTCCCAAGGTAGGTCTCTCCTCTAACACTCCTCTCCAGAAACATCTGCTCCCCTGAATCAGGCCCAAAGCCAGCTGTTCCCCACTTCTCCCAGCCAGCCTTGTGGGAATGAGGAAGGGGGCTTGCAAGGTTAACCCCTCCCCACTTATACCAGCAAGTCATCCATGGTTCCTCGCCTCTGTGAGGGCAGAGTGGAGCCCTGGCCCTCCTGGTTCTGTTTGGTGTCTGGAAATCCCTTTGTACAGCTCCGGGAGCCCTGACCGTCCCTGTAGACTCCCTTGGCATCGTATGGTGTTATTAGAGGAGGGAGGCTTCCTCAAGACTCTCCCCCCCCCCCCCCGAAAGTCTATTCAATTCAGCCTGCTGTTATTGAGCACCTACTGTGTGCAAAATGCTGTGTTGGGCACTGGGGCTGTGGGGGGTGGGGGGTGGGAGAGGGCAGACAAGTCATGCAAGGCCCTGGTGCAGTGTAAGGGGTGGGATGACAGCATTGCTGTGGGAGCCAGGGGAGGGGCTGCGTCCCTGCTGACCCCTCTGGGATGGTCTGTATTGGAAGGGCAGGTGGGCTGTGAACATTCTAGATGGAGTTCCTGAAGACCGCTGGCAGGAAGAGCACAAGCAGGTGTTTGTTCCAAGGCAGGGGGGAGGGGGAGTGCTCTGCTATGCGACCTGCTTCTCAATGGGGCAAACCTGATGACAGCCACTTAGCAGACAACAAGGCCAGTTTAGTTCCTACGATGTATGGAAATGGGGCCATTTTTTAGCAGTTCTCTGGGCCAGTGTGAAGTGCAGGTTAATTCTAGACAGATACTGGGGATATTTTTCTCAACTGCTGTGTGGCTGGTCGCTGACGTCAGTGGCTGGAGCTGTGTTTTATCTCCCAGTGATGTGGCCTAATTACCGTGAGTCTTCTGGGGCCTCTGACCTGTGTAATCGATTTATCTGTCCTACATGTTGCAGACAGATCTGTACTTATCAAATTACTGAAACCACAACATCTTTCTGCAAAGACTTTTCACAATACATACAGAGAGCAGGCAGCATGCATTAAACACTAACCTCAGCTCGGAGTGGCTCTGGCTTGAGGAGGGACTATCTCATCACGGTAGATGATGTGGGACTTTTTGGTAAATATTTTTTATTAAATATAAATACAGTAGAGAACATAAATTTAAAATGTACAGCTCCATGAAATTTTCCAAAGTGATCACACTCAGGTAACCACCACACAGATCAACATATGCATTTCCTGCACCCCCAGGAGTCTCCCCTCTGTCTCCTCCCAGTTAGCACACCTCCCTGAAGACAGTGTCCTGACTTTGGTTCGCATGGATTGGTTTTGCCTGTTTTTGAATGTCATATAAATGGAATCAGAGTTTATTCTTGTGATAATCCTCACCCAAGGATATGTTTATTTTTAGAGAGAGAAACATTGATAGGTAGCTTCCCATCTGCGGCCCACGAGGGATGGTATCTGCAATCTATGGTGTATGGGACCACACTCCAACAAACGGAGCTACCTGGCCAGGGCTAGAGTGTGCACTCTTTTATGTTTGGCTTATTTACTCAATATTATGCCTGTGAGATTTGTGCAGAATGGTTGTTCTTTTCTATTTTTGTACCATTCCTTGCCTGTGTTCATTATATGAATACTAGAGGCCGGGTGCACTGCTGTGCAGGCGGGAGAGGCTCCTGCCACCGCTGTGCTCGCCAGCTCCACAGGGGAAGCGCACTGACCACCAGGGTACAGCTCCTGCATTGAGCGTCTGCCCCCTGGTGGTCAGTGCACATCACAGCGATTGGTGGTTCCACCATTTTGTTGATTTGCATATTAGCCTTTTATTCTATAGGATTATATAGGCTACTACACATTATCCTTTCTATAGTTGATGGCCATTTGGGTTGTTTATAGTTTTGGGTTATCATGAACAGTTTTGCTTTGAACAGCCTTGTAAGATTTCTCTTGATCCACATCTGTACCCATTTTGGCTGGCTATATACCCAGAAGTGGAATCGCTAGGGCATAGGGTTATGCCTGCTCAGATACTGCAAATAGCTTTCCAAAGTAGTTGTGCCAATTTCCACTTCCACCTGCAATGTTTGAGAGTGCCAGTTCTCCTGCATCCTCATCAACACTTGATTTTATCAAGTTTTGTTTTGTTTCTGGACCACTCTGGGTGCCCAGTGGTATCTCATTGTGAGTTTGAGTTGCATTTCCTAAAGTCTCATGAAGTTGTGCCCTAACCGGTTTGGCTCAGTGGATAGAGCGTCAGCCTGTGGACTGAAGGGTCCCAGGTTCGATTCTGGTCAAGGGTATATACCTTTGTTGTGGGCACATCCCCAGTAGGGGGTGTGCAGGAGGCAGCTGATCAATGTTTCTCTCTAATCGATGTTTCTAACTCTCTATCTCTTTCCCTTCCACTCTGTAAAAAATCAAAATATATTAAAAAAAAAAAAAGACTCATGGAGTACCTTTTCATGTACTTATTGGCCATTTGTATATCCTCTTGCCTGCTTAAATTCTGACCATTAAAAAACATTAGATTGTCTTTTGATTTATGAAGTTCTTTATTCTAGATGAGTCTGTTGTTGGTTATACCATTTCAAACATCTCCCATACTATGGCATGCCTTCTTATTGTTGTCATATTTTTAACAGAAGGTTTACGTGCAGAGGTATTTGAGAAAGGTGTGACCTGAATAGGACATGGCGGGGAAAGGGAAGGAAGTGGAGAGCAGAAAGAGGGTTATCAGGCAGGTGACAGCCAAATCCTGAAGTACGAATGGAGCAAAGACCCGTTGGAGGTTATTCCTATACATAAGTGAGACAGGATGGCGACTCGGTGAGGCCCCAGGATGGTAATAGAAATGGAGAAAATAGGTGATTCCAAAGATAGGAAGGACTTGTTGATAGGCTGTGTATGGGATAAGGCAGAGGAAAGAGTCCATGTTTCTTGTTTGGGCAACAGGACCCATGGGGAAGATTGGAAGAGGTTAGTGCAGAATAGGAATTCCATTTTAGATGCGTTGAGCCTGAATTGGCAACTGACTCATGACCACAGCTCTTTTCCACCTTATTCTTGTTTTCACAGGAATGCTCCAAAATGGAAAGAAATTTGATTCATCCAGAGACAGAAACAAACCTTTCAAGTTCAGAATCGGCAAACAAGAAGTCATCAAGGGTTTTGAAGAGGGTGCAGCCCAGGTAGGATGAAGATCCTTCTTATGGGGGATTTGAGGAGTTGGGATCTGAGCTCAACACTAACCCCACCTTATCACAGACCACTACTGCACACCATCTGGTTTCAGTCCTGGCTTTGTCCCCACCCTTTTTGTTGCCAGCATGATTCTTTTGTGTCACTGGGGGCTCTTATATCTCAAGCTCATCCCCTGGGTTTGATCAGAATTAAACTAACTGGGGGGCTTGTGAGCTACCAGCTGTCCCTGACCAAGGCAGCAGAAGAGTTGGGGTAGGGTAGGCCAAGGTGGACTTTAAAATAAAAAGAAATGCACAATTTCAGACTTGCAAAAACATTGCAGGAATAGTAGAGTTCCCATATGTTCCTTACCCAGCTTCCCCAAATGGCAACATTTTACATAATCATAGTACAACTAGAGGCCCAATACATGAAATTTGTGCAAGAGTAGCCTTCTTTCCCCCCGGCTGCCGGCACTGGCTTCCCTCTGGCACCCGGAACCCAGGCTTCCCTCCGGTCGCCGGCAGGAACCTGGGACCTGGGCTTCCCTTATAGCCCCGGCTTCGTCCAGTCTAATTAGCATTTATGCTTTTATTATTATAGATGATAAAAATCAGGACATTAACATTGTTACAATACTATTAACTAATCCATTAAAATTTTTGAGTCAGATATTTAGTATTTAAAAATCAGTTTATTCACATTTCACCAAGTCTCACTAATGCCAGGCCGGTCTTTTATTTATTTATTTATTTTTTTTATTGATTTCAGAAAAGAGGGAGACGGAGAGAGAGGGAAACACCGATGAGAGAGAATCATTGGTCGGCTGCCTCCTGCACACCCCACACTGGGGATGGAGCCCACAACCTGGGCGTGTGCCCTGACTGGGAATTGAACCATGACCTCCTGGTTCATAGATTGATGCTCAACCACTGAGCACACTGGCTGGGCACCAGATGGGTCTTGATGACTGCTGTGATGACCCCTGTTCAAGCTCTGCTTCCTGGGTCTGCGAAGCCATCTGGTGCTCCACTGTAGTTTTCAGCCCTCCCCACCTTGCTGTGCTCTAAGCTCAAGTTCTCTAATGAACTGCTTGCCACCTACTTGTGTGTGTGCTTTAGACGCCCTCTTTAGGAAGAGGGTGGGAACAATGATGAACAACGGAAGTGTTTGGGCCACACACTAATCGATAACCAGCAGTTTATTGGATGAATGAATTTGAGACTGCTTGGTGGAAGTTACTGTCCCACAGTCAAGTTTCTGCTCTTCTGAGGCAGAATCTGTATGTGTTACAACATATTTTAACATAAAACATATATGTGTGCCATGCATAAAATTCATCTCAGATTTTCAGAGTTACCACGAGGATGGTTTGGGAAAATGCCATAGTTACCTTACTTTTTTCTTTTAAATCAAGCTGGGTCCTCTTTCTCCTCTCCCCATCTGCCCCCATCCCTGCTAGATGAGCTTGGGGCAGAGGGCGAAGCTGACCTGCACCCCTGATGTGGCGTATGGAGCCACTGGCCACCCTGGTGTCATCCCTCCCAATGCCACCCTCATCTTTGACGTGGAGCTGCTCAACTTAGAGTGAAGGCAGGAACTTAAGGTGGCTGGAGATGGCTGCTGCTCACCCTCCTAGCCTGCTCTGCCACTGGGACGGCTCCTCCTGCTTGGGGCTCTTGATCAGTGTGCTAACCTCGCTGCCCCGCAACATTATCCATTCTCTCTGCCCAAGTTGCTCTGTATGTGTTGGTCATTGTTCACGCGCATCTTTGCTTGAGGAAACTTCGGTTGCAGATCAAAACATTTCAGGTAGTACATTTTGCGTGATGCATGTAATAGCCATTCTTGAGAACAGAACACAGATTTCTTGTTTGCACAATCTACACTGCCTTACCTTCACTTAAGCCAGACACATAAGGTGCTCAGACACGAAATGTACATGGCGTACACAGAGGGACTTGAGCCAGTTACCTTTGCTGTCACTTTCTCTCTTAAAAATTGTTGGCTGCTGACTTACAAACTGTCCTCTTTGGAAATGACATGTAAAATAAAGGCTCTGTGCTTGACAAATTCCTGTCCATCCTTATTGTAGATAGGAAGTACTTGAAGGACCACATAAGCCAGTCGCCCTTGGGAAAAATAGTGGAAAGGAGCCTTCCAAGTAGCCAGGAGAGAGAATAAATATAATAATTACAATGTGAGTACTGTACATGCTGAGCCTTGTTCTGTATATTTTAAAGTAAATTGGTCACCAATCCTCTAAGCAGCCCTACAAAGTAGGTATTATTTGCCACTCATCTCACAGGCTCAAGTCTCCTCTGAATAACTAAAAGAATATATTGTGTTCAAATCCCACAGCCTAGCAATCAAATGTGGGATTCCAGCACTTTGGGATCTTGTGACCTGTAGTTGTTCGGACTTAAAGGGATGAGCTCCCTTCACCCAGATGGAAAAAGAACATTGTGTGTCTGAACAAATGAAGGTGTGGCAGGCCTTAGAGCCACACTCTAACTCACATTAAGTTACTTTTGATAAGACTGCGATTCTGAGATTGTTTTCACATTAACTGCTTAGTTGCATCTAGATTTGTTCTAACTTACATTGGGAATTACTTAAGAGAAGAAACTATGTTTCTGCATCGTTTCCACATATGCTGTTTAATTTAATCAACATTAGCTGTAACTCACGGGAGTTCTCAGGTAGGTTTTAAATCAGCTGCTTATTGGTGTGCTCACCAAAGGAGCCTGGGCAATATGGCTAGGAGCTTTCTCTTTTCGTTGGCATAGTTTTTAAACGGAGTATTCTGTCAGCAATCTCTTAACTTGAGATTGTTAAGACTGAGAAGGGGCTGGGGACAGGTACTATTAGTTTCCTTCACAGACTCACGTCATATACATGAGGGGCGGGGGGTCTCATCATCTTGGATATTACTTCATCTACCCTTTTGTCTCCAGGAAGTCCTGGCTGTAGTCCTTGCGGAGGACTGAGGTGTTAAAAAGAAGCAGTCTTTAAGACGGGGAGAATGAAATGAGAAAGGGGCTGCATTGCTTTTAATCACCCAGTCCCTGGGTTCACTTCTACTGTAGAACTAGGCAAGCTAGAAGGGCTGCATTCACTCCTTTCTGGAGCTTTCCGTGATAACACAAATGTCTATGATAATTTCTGAGAACTCAGCCTGTTTTCTCATGTGACACCAATAGGATAACTAAAAACCACCGGAGGTGACCATTAGGAGTCATATAAAACAGCAGTCGCCAACCGGTAGTCTGCGGACTACTGGTGGTCCGTGAGGTCCGAAAGGTTGGCGACCGCTGATATAAAAGATCTCGGTCTAGATCAGGGGTGGGCAAACTTTTTGACTCGAGGGCCACAATGGGTTCTTAAACTGGACCGGAGGTCCGGAACAAAAGCATGGATGGAGTGTTTGTGTGAACTAATATAAATTCAAAGTAAACATCATTACATAAAAGGGTACGGTCTTTTTTTTTTTTTTTAGTTTTATTCATTTCAAACGGGCCGGATTCGGCCTGCGGGCCGTAGTTTGCCCACGGCTGGTCTAGATTATGTATAGCACAGGTGTTAAAAGGAGACACTCACTAAGAACCAACACAAACATAAAAAACTGCAAATACCTACTGGCTAGCACCTGGAAAGGACATGCCAGGTTTCGCAGGCCCCGCTCTATTGACGCTCTTAAAAGATGATGCAGAGAATCATGATACAGTATGCTCACAAGTCTGGACATTGTACCGAGAGAGCCACTGAAAGTTGTTAAACAGGAGAGTGACAATGAGCTGTCATATCAGTCATTTTCAAACTTCTGGTTAACACACCCTCGAGTCATACAACATCCTTCTTAGAAACTAGAAATTTAACCTCGAAGAATGTAAAGCAGCTCTGGCAGATGTGTGTGTACATACATATGCACGGACACAATCATTCCTTGCATCCTTAAAAGCAGTTTGAAAAACTGAGCCTTCGACGTCTGGTACAGAGGGTGAATTGTAACTGTATCCTCAGCATCTTAGCATGCACAGACCTGGCCCTGAGCAGGTCCTCAATATTTGTCCACTAAATTAAAGTTCTTATATCTTAACTAGAACAGGCCACAAAATTGCCAAACAGTTACAGAGAATTTTAAAAAATCTTCAGATCATGAAATTCAGCCAAAAGATATATGAAACCAAATGATGGACTGGCCATAATTGTCAATAGGAATTTCCCCTTGTTAATTTAAAACTACACTATTGGCAAGCCAGTCTGCCACTTAGACACATCATACTGTAAGTCTAATTTGTTTTCCCTGTACAAAAATGTCTTTTAGAAAATTATTTTTACACTTGTAAATACCTAAAGGCACACCGTGCATTACAATAATTGATATGGAATTCACAAAAGGACTCATAAGAAAATTACAGCTGTGGCTCCTTTGTCATGCCTGTCCTTAGAAATGACTCTTACAGTGCTTTCAAAAAGCACTCAGACATAATAAGAAGACAATTATTTCTTCATTTTCAATAGTAGGCTTTGAGAAGATAGTACAAAAGATATAATAGCCTGTTTTCTTAAAGTAATGATAGATTTCAAAGCTAAGTGCATTTAAAAGTAGAATAGCTGCTCTTTGTCCAGTTAAATGATTTAGTCCTTGTACCCTTCAAGTTGGTTTTGGGTTATAGTTTTATATTTATATATATACAATTAGCCCATGTTTTTCCATTTGGCTCATGCCTAAACTATCAAAAGAAAATTATAGCTAACTCCTCCAGGCTGCCAGACTATGATGAATGTGGTAATAACTATACTATTTCCATGCCACGAGAACTCATGATTATAAGGATAAGCATCACATATTTTTATATAGCAAAGATATTCTATAAACTAAAGTCCAAAATATACACAGACACTTATTAACTAAACAGAAAGACTACATTAATAAAATCTAACACATGAAACAACCAACACTACTTAAGCTGCTTGCTCTCAAATTTCTAACAATGTGCTGTTGTTTGGCCATTTCTAGAATAGAACTCTGTTCTAAACACAGGGTACCCATATCAACAAAGGTCTTTTGGTTAACTGTAAAGTATTATTCACATGTACTGGCATGGTTAATAACTGGTTGATGTTACAGCAACTTCTTAATGTCAGCTTTTTATTCATTCAACCAACATGATGAGCTTTGATTTTCTTATCTGCAAAATGGAGATACTACCTTCACTGAGTTATTATGAAGATTTCATTAATAGCCATTCAATAAATGACGACCCTCTTGCAAGTTCCCTGATGGCTAAGCTCTGGACTGCACACTGGAGGAATTAAGAACACAAAAAGCTCTCTGCTCAAGAAGCTCAGTCCCTAGGACCACGCACCCCCATAGAATTCTTGAGATGGTTCAACTGCTATTCCCCTAACCCCCACCCCCAGTATCAAACAGGATGGGAAAACTCAAGAGAAAACACTGACATGTTTTACAAAAAGCTGAAACTTTACTAACAATATATTCTAACATGTATCAAGGTTTCAGGAACGAAATTCTGAACCTCAAGAGACTGCAATACTCAGTATTAATTAAAAATCGAAAAAGGGTAGGGTGGTGATTCATGGGTTTTCAGTCCAAAATAAAAATGCAGAAAAAGTTTACTTGGGTGGATCTGTATTGATGCCATATTTCTCCTTGAGAAGTTTCAACTGTTCTTCCTTCTTCTTTGTGTCCATCTTCTGAAATGCCTGAAAATGCGGTAAGTGCCAAAGTTAAGTTACCAATCTATAGTCAAATGAATCCCACTAATAGCACCAGCCAGAAAGGAGCTCAGAGTACCCATCTCCCCTAAGGGTGCAGTTCTGCAGGAATTCCTATGTGGGCTCCCCCCATGACGAGAACTGTGCTATACTTACCCTGTTGGCATTATAGTACAAAACCACGAGGTATCTGTTACAAACATTGAATCCAGACAGGTGATCACATGCATTCTTGGCATCAAAGATGTCCTCATAGACCACATAAGCTGTTCCTCTAGTTTCAGGTGTGTTCCCCCTGCAGAGTTGAATCAGACTTAATTAAACACATATTTACCTGAAAACCATTAGAGGAAATAAACCTTATGGAAGGGTATGCTGGATAATCCTGTAATTTCTTGAATTAGGTAATTTTTGTTTTTAAGTGAAATAGCTATAGGTTAAACTTACTGTTATGTCAAGAATACTTTAAAAAAAAAGAATACTAATATAGCTGCTAAACCAATAACAGCAAAAAACTAGTTTGAAACTTTGTCATAATATTCATGTTCTAGTCTTTCCTACTTCTCACACTAAGAACCAATTTTCAGTCTTACACTGGAAAGTACAGTATTGAGGAATGATGGCTCCTATTAGTCAGTTATGTCTGAATGGAGTTTTTCTTTAAAAAAAAAAAGTTATTTAAAAAAAATATTTATTTTAATTTAAAGAGCAGATCAAGGAAAGGGTTCCCTATACTTTTAAATCTTCCACAGGAAGCTGTAGTTGAAAAAAAAAATCATTTTTCTCAGTTACTTTTATATCCCTTTACTCAGTTTATTCAGAAATTCTGCAGTCAGTAAAAGAGACAGTGAAGATTGTTGAAAAAATTAGAGTTAATGCATATAACAGCATAGTTTTTGACTTTATAAATAGCAGGTGTACAATAACTGTTAGTTCTTCCTTCCCTTCCAGGCCCCTCAAACTATTCATGCTCTCAGTAACTTCACAATTAGTTGGCTCTCATTGAGCTGGATCATAAGGGCCTCGGCAGGTATTTCCCCCTTGCAAACAACAAACAAACAAAAAAAGGAAAAAAATCTCATCTCCCTGACTTCAATTAGCCTCGGAGGCTCTCAGGCCCCCTTGTCAGCTATAATTCCAAGGTTATAGATTATGCAATCATTTTATTTAAACAACATTTCGAAAGTTTCAGTAAACTCACACTCTGATTTGACGAATAGGTCCATATTTCCCAAATATATCATACATTTCTTCAGCTGTGATTTTGTAAGGCAAATTTCTTATATACAAAATCCGATTTACTTCAGGTGGAAGTCGAATCTGAAATGAGAAACATGTATTGTCATTATAATTAGGAGAATGCTACCATTTAAAAAAACTCATAGTGAACAAGAAATTCTCATAATAAAAAATAAACAAAAAAAGCCAAGACTAAAAATTATAATCTGCTATAATGAAAATGGCATACTCTTTGGAAAAGCAACTAAGCACTGATTATAGGGAAGTCTATTAGTAGGAATAAGGGGCTACTACAAAACCCAGGCTTTCAGTCAATGCCTTTATCATTTATTTAGATTTGATTGCCAATACGACTGGTTTCTTTTATTCCTCAGGTGAGCAGTTTGCTTATGTACTGCCATCATGACAGAAAACAAAATACTTATTTGGCTTCCTTTTCATTCATTCAAAAATATTTACTAAGCACCTTTTTTTTAAAATAAGTTTTTTATTGATTTCAGAGAGGAAGGTAGAGGGAGAGAGAGACACACATCAATGATGAGAGAGAATCATTGAGTGGCTGCCTCCTGCATGGACCCCCCTGGAGACCCAGCCTGCAACCCAGGCATGTGCCCTTGACCAGAGTCGAACCCAGGACCCTTAAGTCCGCAGGCCAACACTCTATCCACTGAGCCAAACCGGCTAGGGCCACTGAGCACCTTCTTTACATATACACCAGGCTAGTAGTATTAAGGTTACACAGTGAAGGAAGGAAGACAAGGTTTCTGCATTCCCCAGACTTAGTAGCTCTCTATTATTCTATCTTGCTCTCTTTTTCTTCTTCAGTCAAGCATCTGGAAAGAGGAAGTCTACAGTTACTGCCTCATACTCTACTTCACTGATACTCACCGGTGTACCACCATGTAGCTTCCAACCCAAAACGCTGATGGGAGTGCTTTTACTCACTAACACTTTTTACTTGCAGCGTCCAATTCACATACTTAACTTCTCTGAGCCTCTGGCACTATTGACTATGACCTGCTTGATACTATTTCCTTGGCTTTCTCCTAACTCTCTGGCTAGTTAGTTCTTCTCAGTCTTTTTTGCCATTAAAATATGCTCTTCCACAGAGTTTTATCTTTAGACTTCTTGTCTTGACCCTTCATGTACCCCCCCCCCCCGCCCCGCCCCAAACTCTACACAGTCTCTTCACCACACACAGGATCTCCACACTGAGTAGATGACTCTCAAATGTGTAGACCCCACCAGATTCTGTGCTCCTTATGAACAGTTACGTAATAGTCATTAATTTGCTCACTACTTATTAAATTGGCAACTATGTCAGGCACTAAGCTGTGCTGTATAAATCCAAGAATAATATACCTATTCCCTGCCCTCAATCTAGTAGCGGTGACGAATGGTAAACAAATAAGTACAATAACGTTTAGATTTTAAGATTCAAGGATAAGTTCAAACAGATGATCAACACTGTCCATCACATAGACTCCCCTAGTAAATCTGCTTCCTCCAACTGCAAGCCACTAAATCACACTCTTCTCTCCTCCCACTCACCACCACCACCCCGTCTAGTGTCTGAGCTGGGCTGGGCATTCTCCTCCCTGCCCGTCCTGAGAGGACCGGGGCTCTTGCTTACTGGGGAAAAATAGGTATGACCAAATGGTAAACACTTTATATTCACCTTACCAAACCTGCCGACCTACATTCATCCATACGCACCCACTTTCCCTCTCAGTGCCATGCCAACCCCTCATCCACTCCAAACCGCCTGAACCTAACCCATCTTCCTCCTACACCATCCGTTTCTCCCACTTACTGGAGCATCGTCCCCACTGGCGTACAATGACACCGTATGCACACATCTCAAAGAGGGAAAGCCAGCCACCACCTAACTCACCTTCGCCCTGTCCACATGCAAACCTGTGGAAGGGACTGCCTCCACTTTCTTAACCTCCATCCTCGATGACATCCCTCCACTAGTGTTTTCACCCACGGGAGTGAAAATCATCCACGTCGCCCAAAGTCTCCATTATCTGCCCTCATCTTACTATACCTTTCAGCACCTTAGAGTTGAACACTTTTTTGAGATTCTTTTTTTTTTTTAGGGTTCCATAACGCCCCCCTCTCTCACGTAAGGATGCAAGCAGCCAGGCTTTTTGTTTTTTTCACTGCTGCATCGCCAATACCTAGACTTGTGTCTCGCACCTGGTAGCTTTTCAGTTACTACAACTGATGAACTGTCTCCTATCTCGCAAGTCTGGTACATTGTAGCTGCTTAAAAATGTTGTTGAATTAAAACGGGAAGGATCCGCCCAGCCGGGTAGCTTAGCTGGTTACAGCGTCATCCCAAAACCCCGAGGTAAGATCGCGGGTTCTGCCTCCGGTCGGGGCACATACAAGTTTCAAACAGGACAGCATAGGTAAGTGGAACAACAAGCCCATGTTTCTTTCTCTCCCCCGCTCCTCCCCCTCCCCAAAATCAATGAAATACGTAAAAAATTAAATTAAAAAACCCATGAAGGGTCCAAAGAGCTCCGTGATGAGAAGACTCTCAGGCTCTCGTCGCCTGCTGGCCATTAGGTTAATTATTGGGGACTTGTCTGTGCTATTGGCCTTTAAGCCGGGAAGATGCAGACGCCAGGCTGAAGGCGAAGCTACCAAGGCGGTCGGGCTAACGCTATCGCTGACACTAGGAAGGGACGGAAGGAAAACGCCCCACAGGGGTGGGGGCGGAGATGCGGCTCGAGGAGCAGGCCAGGCTGAACTCCCCTCCGACAGCACGGTAACGTCTGGCTTCCCCGCCCTGGGGACGGACAAGGGCCGGGAACGCCCTGATCCACGCCGCCGCGAGTCCACAGCGAGTCGTTCCCTCCTCGGCAGACATCCCCGTTACTTACGTTCGCTCTCTTGGCCGCTTGCATCGCCATCTTGGCGGGCTGATGAGGTTACCGCGGCAAATACTAGAATTCCCCTTATTCCTCTGCAGCTCGCTCAGCTTCCAGCTCAACACGGCCTCAGACGCGGGACATCAACACTCAGGCTCCGCCGGAAGCGGCTATGACGCGCAGGAACACCGCCGTCTCACGCGCAGACGTGCTGACGCAGTGTCCCCTTTCGAAAAGACTCCGGGCTAAACAAGCCCGAGTTGGCAAGGAGGCCGGAAGGTTGAAAGGCGAGGGCCCGAGGCGCTTCCGGGAACCGCACTGAAGGGGGCGGGGCCTGGCTTCAGAAGGGCCGGTGTTCCTGTCAGGGCGGCCCTGAGCGGAGGAAGTTAGCGGAGGGGGCGGGACCTGAGGAGAGTGACTACAGCTGGGGCTGTTCGCAGGCACGTTCTGGAAGGTGGCTGTTGGGGTCCAGCCCCAGCAGGTCCAGGGGTTCCCAAAGGTGTGGACGGAGTCGGCGAAGAAGGAATGACACGGAGGCAGCGTTCAGTTGATCAACAGCCTAGCCAGGTCCCCTCGCCAGGGTCTCCAGCCAGGTTCTGTGTTTTATTGTCTTGTTACATCTGTATTTATACCAGTTGATTTTAATCCTGTCAATTTCTATTCCAAAGGTTAGGGCCTTTCTTATCTCCATTCCCGGGAGTAAAGATTATGTAACTTAAGCGTGATTGTTCCTAGTTAAAGTGATTAATTACCCGCCTGGCAGTTAAGGGGTTTTATTCCCTCCCCAACTTCAGGGAAAAATCCCTACCTGGGGAAACAACCTTTCTTGGAGAGGTGACCTTGGTTAAAACACATAGTGCCAAGAAGGGGAGCAAACATATTAAGAACAGTATGCCATATACGCCAGGTCCCTTGAAACATATGCTGTGCAGATGTTTCTTCCCTGCAGTGACTGTGTCAAGCAGCAAGGATGGACCAGCTTCCGGCAGGGGGTGTGCCGGACTGAATTACCCGGCTGCAGGGCTTGGGGTGTTCAGGGGTGTGTCCGGGTCCCAGGCCCCTGGCAGTGCTACAGGGTTCTGTCTCCGCATTCGGAACCCTGGCGCAGCTCCTGGAGCTGAGCGTCTGCTGACCTGGCCTCTCCTCTAATCCCCGCCGCAAGTGATGCTTGCCCTGTCTCCCACCTCCTCCCTGCCCCGCCTCCCCCTTCTTCCACCTCCTCCCCGTCCGCCCACCCCTTCTCCCACCTCGTCTCCGCCCCGTTGGCCTCCATCCGCACTCACGACCACGCACAGTGAGCCAGCCTCCCTTTACTCTTTATTTCCTTAGACCAGCTTTACACAGATCAGTTGCCGAGGCCGGGAAGGCCCAGTGGGCTACAGGTGGGCGTGGAGTAGCCGCTGGTCTCTTGCCTGCGTTCAGAGAATTCTCACCCAGTTTGCTCTGGGAAGGGCTGAGGTACCCTTTTCCTCTAGTGCCCCCTCCTCCTTCACTGCGGCAGCTCCAGGACGATTTTGCCCATGTGCTTATTGCTCTCCATGTACTTGTGGGCCTCTTGGATTTCAGCCACAGGGTAGACGCTGTCCAGAACCGGCAGTAGACGTTGGGGGCCCTCCATGGAGAAATGGGGTACAATTTGCTCCGTAAAAGCCTTCACCAGCATTTGCTTGTACTAAGTAAGATACGGAAAAGGAGACCATCAGCCTGGACAGCCTGACCTTGCTACCCCCCATCTTGCTTAGCCTTTGTGGTCTCTCTGAAAAGCGGACCCATTTGCAAAAGCACACAGGGGTACCTAACCCCTCCGTTACCAGCATGTATGTGCATGCCCCCAAATGGGTGACCAGGTAAGGGCTGCAGCCTGGAGTAAAATATAAGTGTCACTGACCCCCTGAGGACTTTTAAAATACAGATTTCAAGTGGGAAGCAGCCACAGACAGGTCTTACATAGGCTCAGCTCAAAAGGGATGTTTTAGCTCTGCTGTCCCCCAGTGATGTGAAACCTTATGCTGGGAGACATTCCCAAAGCTGGCACGTAGAGATTTCAGGCTGAGGTGGAGGGTTACTTATCTAAGAGGCTTTCTCGGCAAACAGAACAGTTCTGCCTTGCAAAACAGTCTTGGAACTGTTTTTAAAAGTATTTCCTAATATGGTCAAGGCTTTGTTCATTGCTAGAAAGACTCCCCAGGTCTCATATATGAAGTGTTTTCTACCCTCTTTCTAAGATGTTGAGGCTTCTATGGACCAATTTTAATTATTTCTGTGAAACTGGGTTAACTGTTTATCCACAGAGGGGCAGGTTTCTGCACAGGCTCCCTAACTTGAGAGGTGCCAAATCTTCCCTTCGCTGGGGTTATGAAAATGAATCACATTTCTCTGGGTAACAGTTTTCGCTCATCACTCACCTTTTTGTCCCTAGATCTCAGCAGACTGGTGACCAGATTTCCTCGTTTAAAAAGCAGTTTTGAAAACAGAGGCCCGCTGACGTCAGCTCCCCCCATCAGACCATAGAGAACCCAGCGACCATCCAGAGCCAGGCAGTTGACATTTTTCTCCCAGTAGGATCCTCCTATGCAGTCTAGAATAAGGTTGACTCCAGCACCTTCCATAGGAAACACAATTTATGCTAGTCAGACACAGAAAGCTCGATGCAGAATAATATTCCCAGAGTATATTTGTGGATGTATGGCTATAAATAAATACAGGCGCAAGTGGTAAATCGATAAACTGGAACAGGAAACACTGCTTATAGAAACGTTGTTGTAAGTGGAGTTTAGGTAGCTAAACTCTGCCATCTGTGCTTGAAATCGTTCATCTCTTAGGATCTCTAGCCACAGCAAGAGGGACATGGGGCAACACCATGCTCTGGCATCTTCCCCAACCCCCACATAAGTAGAAAACCCACTGGCACCTGGGCATGAGTGAGAACAGAACCGGAGAAGTCCACTCCAGCCTATTGGGCAGGCTGGTAGTTCACACCTGAGTTAAGAAGCCTCTCTACTGGGTTGTTTGAATTGTAGCTTTGGTGTCATCTCTCCTTTTTCACTCATATGGAAAGGGAAGTGCCCAAAATATTCAGATTTGGCTTTGGAACACAGAGGCTCATCCATTTAGGAAACTGCCTTCACAACACTACCTACTATGACCACCTCCCAACTGGTCTCTGCCCCGTGTCGCCTCTCAACTCACTGTGTACTGGCTGGTTGGGAATAAGAGGTCCTGGGTCATTCTGGGCCAACTCTGCCTGATTATCCAGTTTCTAAAAAGTGTATGAATCAGATCACAAGGGTACACATGGGAACTGACTTCATCCTAAATATTGCCTGACTATCTTCAAAGGTCCAACACTAGAGTACCAGAACTTGGCCAGGGCAGCTGTCTTGCATTTAGCAGAGGCCAGTCAGATCTAGAGCACTGGCCTTGAGGCTGGCGAGGGTTTCATTTAATGACTTCTGATATTTCTGCTGAGCTGCAGAAGCTGTTGTTTACCTTTGGTGAATTTCATTGTTGCTTCAGAAAAATCCTCTTCTTTGTAATTGAATCCAGCAGCTGCTCCAAGTTTTTCTGCCATTTGAAGCTTGTCCTGGGAGCCACTTGTGACCAGAGGAATAGCTCCAGCTATCCGGGTGAGTTGGATGGCAGCTGTGCCCACCCCGCTTGCTCCTGCATGGATTAGCACGGAGTCTCCGGCCTGAACATTTCCTGTGACAGAAAGTACAGGGACCATTCTCTTTACTTTGCAACTGCTACCCATTGTCCACATAGACATCGTCTACCATGCTCACCTGGCCCAAAGACCACCAAATGCCAAATGCTTGCTTTCTTCGGAGAACATATTGATAGTTCTTTTTTCCTATTGCCTCTGGTCAAAGTGGAAATCACCTTTTTGCAAGTTATTAGCAGCCCCATCCGTAATTTGTTTTACCCAAAATAACATCAAAACGCACATCTCTGACCTATACCTGAATGAGTGAGAGTAACCACCATTCCCACTGTCACCTCCAGAGGCCGGTCCCTCTTCAGTCTGAAACTGGCCTCCAGCTGATCTCACTAACCCAGGCACTACCCACCAGCCACCGGGCTCCTCCTAAAATGGAGTTCTCATTATGTCACGTTGTCCCCAGAACGTAATGTGGCTCTCAATTGACTTGTATCACGTCCATACACCCTGCAATTCAAAGCCACCACAATCTAGTGCCAGCCTCGTTTTTCACAAGTGATAATTGTAATCCTTCATGTCTGAGCAGAGCAGCCAATCTCACCTTTCTTTCTAAGAAAGTAAAAGACACCCTGTCTTAGGTCACTGTGGCTGTCTTCTGTCCATCACAACTCTAGCCACCCTTCTCTTCTGGAAAGCCCTCCCTGGCCACCTTTGCCCACACCAACTTTTACCATCTCAAGCTTTGTAGTTATAGGCAGAGCCACCCTTCTGAACTCTACGGTTGTCTAATTCTTGTGCACGTTTTGTCTTCCTAGTTACACTGAGCTCCCTAAAGGAGTCCTCTCGGGCTCCCTCACATGACCTTTGGCTGGCCTCGATGGGACTGGGGAGGAGTAAGAGTCGACTGAATGGCTCCTTCTGCGGCACTAGGGCTTCCAGAGAGAAGCTCAGCATGACTTAGAGAAGCTAGGGTGACTGGTGGGCCAACGGTGTGACGATGCACACATCCAGTGCTATTCAGGCCTTCTTTCTGATAACTGTGATTTTCAGCCTCAACTCTCGAGCCACTGCTAACATGGTATGAGGACCTGACCCTACAGGTGATACAGTAGGGTGAGATGCTGGGCTTGGGTGTGGCTCAGTGGCCAGGACAGGACAAAGCTGCCCTGGAGGACTACTGGGTTTTGAGGTGGGCTCAGTCAGGAAGGAATTGAACACATTTGCATGGAGTAAGCATGGAGAGGGGATGGGAGTGGGGAGCTCCTCACCCACGAGATGTAACAGCTGGAAGGCGGTGAGCCAGGCCTCTGGGATGGCTGCAGCCTGGGGCAGAGTCAGTCCTGCTGGGATGGGCATGAGGAGCCCTTCAGGGACAGTGACATATTGAGCCTGACCCCCGCCAGACAGCAGAGCCATGGCTGGGTCCCCGATCTTCCAGTGCCCCTGGCAGCCAGGCCCCAGCTCTGCCACATGTCCAGATGCCTCGATTCCCAAAATGCTGCTGGCTCCTGGGGGTGGTGCATATTGACCTTGTCTCTGCAGAGAGAGGATCGAACTAAGTGGTGAGCATGATCAGAAATCGGTGTCATCATCCTTGCCCTCTTCCAATAGCCATCCCCTTTTATTTTCTGATAGAAAATTCAGGCTAAAGTTAGGGTTTTTTTGTTTTTGTTTTTAAATATATTGATTTTTTTTTTTACAGAGAGGGATAGAGAGTTAGAAACATCGATGAGAAAGAAACATCGATTCAGCTGCCTCCTGCACACTCCCCACTGGGTATGTGCCCGCAACCAAGGTACATGCCCTTGACGGGAATTGAACCTGGGACCCTTGAGTCTGCAGGCTGACGCTCTATCCACTGAGCCAAACCGGTTAGGGCGAGGTGTGTGTGTTTTTTTTAAATATATCTTTATTGATTTCATAGAGGAAGGGAGAGGGAAAGAGAGATAGAAACATCAATGATGAGAGAGAATCATTGATCGGCTGCCTCCTGCACATCCCCCACTGGGGATAAAGCCCACAACCCAGGCATGTGCCTTTGGCTGGAATCAAACCCAAGACCCTTCAGTCCGCAGGCTGATGCTCTATCCACTGAGCCAAACCAGCTAGGGCGAGGTGTTTGTTTTTTAATGTAGGAAAGAAGAGGAGAGATCATTTGTTTCATACAAATAAGAGACAGTAGGTCACATAATCAGTGGATGTCATATTAGTAAGATCCTTAGCTTTTTCTCTCACCTAAACCCTGTTTTACAAATGGAGAAACTGAGGCCTAGGCAGGGAAATGCCTTGTCTAAGTTTGCAAAGTAAGTTTAGTAGCAGGACTAGGAACAAAACCATGACACTTAAGTGACAGTTCTCGTATATCAAGTGCCAGGACTTACTGGGACCCTCAGAAGCCTCTGACCAGGGCTGTGGACCAGAGGGACTGAACAGGGAGTGTGCCATCCGAGGAGCTTTTTCTAAGTACACATGCCTGGGTGCCAGTCACATTTATTTAGGAAAAAAGCCCCAGGTGATTTTGGTGTACATTTCTCAAATACCCCTACCAATCCAGCTCTTCAAATAGCAGACAGACAGAAATTCTGGGTGCTGCTCCCTGCCCACTCCGGGGCCCTCAAAATGGAAAGAGAGCAGACTTTGGAGCCACAAAGACCTCAATTTTAATCACAGCTCCCGGGATTGTTAGTGTTGTGGTCTTGGATAATTAACCTCTCGGACCCTCCGTTTCTTTACCTGTAGAGTACAAATGGTAAACCGGGTTGCCTGTGGAGTAAATGAATAGACCATGGCCTACCATACACCGCTGCTCAACAAATTGTAAATCCCTTCTTCCTCTCTGGAAGCCTGAGCAGGCTACGGATTAACTCAGGGTGAATTCTGCTTTGCAAATACTGTATCCCTGCATTTTGTGTAAACAAAGGAGAGTATATGGTTCTAGGACTCAGCACCCCCAGCATAACCTCACCATGAGCATCGCTGGCAGTGCCCTAGGTTACTCCTTATCTGTCTGAATGTTTATTGAAGGCTCTGGAGTCCTGCCCTGGCCCCTGAGTACCTGGAGAATGTCAGCCCGGTTCAGGGCACTGGCTGCCACCTTCAGGAGGACTTCTCCCTCTCCTGGGCTTGGCTTGGCCACCTCCTTCAGGTAGAGGTTTTCTGGTCCTCCCGGCTGGTCAAAGTGCACGGCTAACATGTTTCCTGGGGACACAGAGCACAGGGAGGCAGGAAGCCTCATGAGGGCCTTCCAGGAGTTAGGGCAGAAACCTTATTTTCTTTAATCTGGACTCTTAGTTTTATTTTTAGCTTTGATTCAAACTGGCCTAACCTAGTGCCCTGACTCACCCACCAACCTCTCCTTTGCTGAATCTTTAAGCCACCAGGACAACGGCGTTCTGCTTAACAATTAGGCGTCTTAGGAGCAAGGTCCTGGGTCTGTGACTACTGAGGCAGAGGTAAACATAAAATCGTGGCCTCAGTTGTGTTCTAGCTTTGGACACAGGCAAGTGGAACAATCCCCCTGCACAATCACTTTCAATAATGAACAGAGCAACTCCAAGGCTGATATCGGGCCCAGCTGCAGTGATAAATACCCCCTACCCTAGCACTGACCAAGCAGTGGAGACCGGGACCCGAACTCCATTGGTCACCATGACTAAGGATTTCTGTTCTATACAGGGTGGGGCAAAAGTAGGCTTCGGGTGGGGCAAAGGTAGGCTTATAGTTCATATGGAAAGTAATACAATAATTAAATAATAACACAAGAACAAACTCTGTCTCACTTACTCACAACCTACTTTTGCCCCACCTCCTGGGAGCCATGGGGAGCCAGGTCTTTGAGCATGAGCTACGTGGGTCGCCGTGAATGGCACCATCTCCTTCACACATCCTTACTTTCTTGGCCACAAACTCCTGTTTGTGTCTTATTGGGCTTTGACGCGTGCAGGCAAATGGACCCCTTCAGTCTGATACCAGGAATGCAGCGTCCAAGCCCATGCAGGGTCCCTGTGGGCCGGCCCTGGGACAGGGTGGATGTAGTAGCCATGGCCTCACAGGTGCCTGCTGCGGAGCAGGAAAATACTCAAGAGCTCGGGGCAAATTCCACTCCCTGCGAGTTGGAATCCCCACCCAGCGTGTCACTGGTGTAAGTGTCCAGAGACCTTATTTTCTTTAATCTGGCCTTTTATTATTATTTTTTTTAATTTTTAGCTTTGACTCAAACTGGTCTCACCTAGTGCCTGACTCACCCATCAGGACCAGATTCAGTGCTCACATACAGAACAAACCCTTGCGAATTGGACAGGGCACCTTCAAGGAGGACACCAGGACCAGATGCAATGATCAGTTCCCCCAGCACGGACCCATCAGGAGAAACCAGGACCCAAACTCCATTCTCACCATGACTGATGGTTTTTCTCCTAATCATCCCCTGGAAACCTGCCGAGAGCCAGGTGTGAGCATGAACTACCTGTGGGTCTGGGCATGGTGCCATCTCCTTAATGAGTCTGTACTTTCCTGGCTGCACACTCCTGTTGTGTCTCACTGGACTTTACGCGCACAGGCAAACGGACCCCCTCGGTGGGATAACAGGAGCGCAGCGCCGACGCCCAAGCGGCAGGCCCCTCGTCCATCTCCGAGAGGTCTGCCCCCCTCCCTCCTCTTCCCCTCCTTCCTCTGAGGGCCCAGCTGATCCAGACGGGCCCCACACAGAGGACACCCCCTGGGACAGGGTGGATGAAGGAGGGATGGTCTAACGGGGTGGAAGATGCAGAGCATGAGGCAAATTCCACTCCCTCGGAGTTGGACAAACTCACCCCCTCCCCATCTCCATCCCGCCCGCCCGGCCGGTCACTGGCCTGGGGCCCGTGGGTTACCTACTCAGAACTCTCGGCGGCTCCAGGCAGCACTGCGTGGTCCTGTGATCTCTGTGGGTCCTTAGAGCCGAGCCCGGAGCCCTGGGACTGCTGGGCAGCAACCTGTCGACCTGTGGGCTGGATCTGGGCAGCTGGGCAGTGCGCAAGGGGTGGGGCAGACCAGGACCCACCCTCTCCTCTCTTCCGTTTCCTCCTTCCCTCTTTACAATGCAAAGCTGGTGACAGCAAGTAGGATTTCCTTTCCCTTTGAGTCTCTGGAAACTAGTCTTTCTCTGGGTTTGGCAGGAAATGCTGCTCCCAGCTTTCGCTGAAAGGAGAGAAAGCCTCGCTCTCTCTAGGGAACCAGACCCCCCGTCGATCCATTTCCCAGCCAGGCCAGGCTTTTAGCCCCTTTGCGCTGTGGGTCTGGCGTCCTGCCCTTCCTGTGGCCAGGCATCTCGAGTAGGATGGGTAGGCAGTGTGGTGCTGAGCGAGGAGTCCTGGGGTGGGGGGTTGGGGGGGGGGTGGGTGGGAAGGGAAGGTAAACGTGGTCCTGGGGTCCTGACCACTTCTGCTCTCCTACCTCTTTCCTGGGGACGAGGAAGTGCTCCCCCCCCCGCCCCCCCCCTCCCCGCCGTTGCTGCCTGATGAGATGATGTGGGCTGGTTAAAAGCTGTGCAAATAGACTACCTCGGCATTATCGACATTCTGGACTAGTTAATTCTTTGTTGTGAAACACTGCCCTGTGCATTGTGGGATGTTTAGCAGCATCCTTGGTCTCCATTCCCCCCCCCACCCCCGCCCACTACCCCCCCCCCCACTCCAGTCAAGAAATATGAAAAGCCTCCAAACATTGCCTGATATCTGGGGGTGGTGGTGGTGGTGGTGGTGGTGGTGGTGGTGGTAGGAGTGGGGGTGGCAAAATTGCTGCTGGTTAAGAACCACTGGTCATTGTGTGTGTGATGTGTATATACAATAGGACAATGGGAGTATTAAAAATGTGAGACTCTAAAAAAAAAAGAATATATAGTTTCTGTGATGCCACCTAATTTCTCAATTAACCCTTTAAGATTCAGCTCTCCGGAGCCTTCCCTCATTCTGTTAGGCAGGGGCCATTCATTTATTTGTTCATCAAACGTATTAATCGCCCATTCCACATTGGACACCATCTCAGGTACTAGAGAAAGGGGAGTGATTACAACCCAGTTCTTGCCTTCTAGGGGCTCACGGTCTAGGAAAACAAAGAACTATAATGGCAGTGACCATAAAGGTCTGCATAAAACACAGCACAGGGAGAGATGCCCAGCGTCTCACGTGGGTCTCCAATGGTGTTTAGGAATTTGCCAACTGGATGTGAAGAGGCAGGAAGAGAAAAGGACATTTCAGGAAGATGGGACAGCACGCGCAGAGGCACGGAGGCAGAGACTGTCTCCACCAGCGGTGCTTTCCTGATGGATTAGGATAGTGCCTCACACATCGTAGACCAGTGAGTATTTGTCAGAAGAATGAATGAACTACTGCTTTCCTTACTAGTAGAAGTAGAGGCTTCTACTATTTCAAAAGAGTGTTCATGCGATTCCAAAAATTTTTAGAAAGTTCAATTTACATTAAAAACCTAAACACAAACTCAATTTATACCGTTTATTAAGCTCCACTCTCATAGGTATAATTTCCCAGTTCTATATTAAATCTTTATTCAAAAATGTGTAGACACGGAAGGAGAATGCTGCAGATACCAGCGAGCTGCCTGCCTGGCTCACAGTAATTTCTTTTTCTGTAAAAGGTCTCTTTATATAGGGAGGCCCCCAGGAGATACACCTTTAAACCTGTTGCCTCCCTCCTCCCCCCATCCGAGCTGAATGATATAAGGCTAAACCATATGATCCATGATGGGTCAAATCAGGGTCTTAAAAGAAACCAAGAGGTAGACTGTGAGGCTTGGCCATGATACAAGCCAGGAAAGGAGGCAGTGGAATGGGAGAGAACAAACCTGACCCTCTCAGGAGAGACCAGGGAGAAGTTCCACCAGCGTTACCGTCCCTGGAATCCGCCTTCCCTGTGGCTCAGCTGGACCCCATCCTTCCAGAGGTTCTGGAAGTACCTCCAGCCTCCTCCCAATCAAGTCCGACTTTCCGTCCCAGCTGACTTGGTCTCTGTCACTTGCAGTCAGAAGACGCCACTCCCATAGGGAACAAAACCGGCGCTGGGAGGCACACTCACCCAGCTTCGCTGTGGCTTCCGCACAGATGGCACTAGACCGCTGTGGGCTGCGGGGACGCGCAGGAAGCACAGGGGCTCGGGAAGCGCGGGGGCCAGGCGGGCGCGGAAGCCCCGGGCTCTGGGGCAGGAGCCAGCGCTCGGCCCCGCGGGTGTGCGGGCAACCACCCGTCCACGGACGCGGGGGCAGGCGGGGCGGGAGGCCACGTGCCCGCTATTGGCGGCGACAGCTGCCGGTCCCCGAGAAGCTTTCCCACTCGGGTCGTCAACCGGGACCTGCCCCCCACCACCCGCGCGTCCGCCCGTCGGGCTCCCAGGTTTCTCCCCCTCCCGACGGGGCCGCGGCGCCGCAGCTGCACGGGGGTCGGGAGGCAGCGCCCGCGGCTCGGGAGCCGGCGGCCGGGTCCTCCGTGCGCTTCGGCGCCGCGCGGACTGGTCGTTGCCACGGCGACCCGAGACGCCGACGCGAAACGTCCTTCTCTTCGCGGGCTCACCCTCCAGGCGCCGGGGCCTCCGGGCCGTGGTGGGTCGGGCCGGACCCCGCGCGGGGCGGGGGCGCCGAAGGTCCTGCCGGGCTCGGGCGGGGGCGCCGAAGGTCCTGCGGAGCCAGGCGGGCGGCGGCCGCACGCACCTGCTGACGCCGGAGGGCAGGGTCGCAGCCCGGGTGCCGAGGGTTACCGCGCGCGCCCTAAGGCGGCGTCCCCAGAGACACGGCCCGGGGGACAAGCACGTGTTTGTCCGAAAGCCCCTCGCTTCTCCAGGCAGCCCGGCCGCTGTGCGCTCCAGTAGCCAGAAAGTTGCAACTCGGGGCCTTGGGTCAGAAAACTGCGGCGGCGGGACTCCTAGCAGCCAGGCCACGGTTACCACACTGTTGCTAAGGAGCTGTGTGGTCGGGGTGCGTGGGAAGCCTGGAGTTCAGGGGGACGCGGGTCCGGGCAGAGGGAACCGCCCTGGTTCTGGGGACGTGATCCGAAGCCATGGCGCAGGCCCTTGCCAGGGACAGTGCGATGGAGGGAGGGCTCCTGTCCCGAATCCGCTCCCGCCCGTCGGTGGTCACAAGCATTGAAGATTCATTCAACAGAAGAGGATGAGATGGGGACTTCTCCTTACGGAATAAGCTAACGTTTTAGTTTTTCCAGGGGCTCTGCTATTCGGGAACCGCCATGAATAGTGCAGACAGCGAAGATCTGTTCATTGACAAGCCTCCCAGACTCAAGAGCTCAAAAGAATGGTTGGAACCGCAGCCTCTTCCTTTCGTGGAGGTACAGGGTGCGGCGCCTGCAAGTTTGTACTTGGGTAGTTGCGTTGAGAACTGGCTTGTGTGAAATGTAGTATTTGTTCTATGTTTTCTGTTTTACTCTCTTCTGTTTACTACCGTTGTGTTTGCTCTTGGTTTTCCAGCTTCTTCAAGGTGGAATCATGGGTCATGGATTATATACGTTTTCTAATATAGCAAAGTTACAGAGTTTCTCTTGAAGCACACAATTTATACATATTGTGTGTTTTTTCAGATTGTTATTTTTTCTAAGCAGCTTTATAAAGGTATACGTGATATACATACAATCCACTGCATATTTTTTTAAAGTATACAGTCTTGATAAATTTTAACATGTATACCCACACGAAACCATCACCACAATCAAGGTAACGAACAGAGTCAATATTCCCGAAGTTTCTTCATTGTGTCCTTGCCAATCCCTCCCTCCCTGCCAGCCATAAAGACCATCTCGGATTTGCTTTCTGTCATTATAGTTAGGTTTTTTTTTGGCCCTAGAATGAATTGAAAGCAGAAAGATTCAAATACTCTTTAAATAGTACTTTATGATATTGTTTTAGGTATAAAAACTGGATTTACAGAGAATTTTCCAGAGATATGTCTGTCATGTAAAATATAAGTCACAATAGTATTAACACTTTGTTTTTTGAGATTTGACTTTCAAAATTTCATTGTCATTTTAGGCATTTGCCAGAGAAGATACTAATGCAGCTATTAAATCAATATTATATAGAGAAAATTATATAAATAAGGTAAGAATTAACTATAGAATGTTTCCATTAATTTCCTTTCTTGCCCGGCTGGCGTGGCTCAGTAGTTGAGCGTCTACCTATGAACCAGAAGGTCATGGTTCAATTCCGGGTCAGGGCACCTGCCTGAGTTGCAGGCTCCATCCCCAGTGTGGGGCGTACAGGGGGAAGCCCATCAATGATTCTTTCTCATCACTGACGTTTCTATCTCTTTCCCTCCCTCCCTTCCTCTCTGAAATCAATAAAAATATTTTTAATTTTTTCTCTCATTTTACATGTAGTTCGTCATCATTATGCAAGTTTTTTTTCTTTTTATTTATTTTTATTTATTTATTTATTTATTTTTTCAATTAAATCTTTATTGTTCAGATTATTACATTAGTTACTCTTTTTTCCCACCATAACTCCCCTCCACCCAGATCCCACCCACCCTCCGCCCTCACTCCCCACCCACTGTCCTCATCCATAGGTGCACGATTATTGTCCAATCTCTTCCCTCACCCCCACACCCCTTTCCCCCCCAAGAATAGTCAGTCCATTCCCTTTCTATGTCCCTGATTCTATTTCAATCACCAGTTCATACTGTTCATCAGATTATTTATTCACTTGATTTTTAGATTCACTTGTTGATAGATATGTATTTGTGGTTCATAATTTGTATCTTTACCTTTTTCTTCTTCCTCCTCTTTTCAAAGGATACCTTTTAGCATTTCATATAATACTGCTTTGGTGGTGATGAACTCCTTTAGCTTTTTCTTATCTGTGAAGCTCTTTATCTGGCCTTCACTTCTGAATGATAGCTTTGCTGGATAAAGTAGTCTTGGTTGTAGGTTATTATGCAAGTTTTTAAAAATAAAATTAAAAAACACTCATTAGCCCCTGGGATTAAACTTAAGGGGCCTCTGAGGTTGCTTTAATTGACTTCCTCTTTTCCGATACTTTGTGAGGATTCTTTCACAGGTACCCTCTCACTTGTCCCTTCATCTTAGCGGGGCTTTGATGGAGTCACTAGGTATTGGTAAGAGCTTTAAGAGCTGTTATTGGTACACAGCAGCCAAGCATTACTCATGTAAACCTAGGTAAGAACAAGGCTTGAACGATAGCAGGATGGGTTTAATGATAAGACAAGGCGAATGTCCATGTGAATGTCCACTAAACACCGGGATAGGTAACCCATTGTTGTTTTTAAGGATTTTCTTCAGAGTTGTTTAAAAAGGGGTGGCTGAAGTGTGCTATGACCTGAAGTTTGGAAGGGGTGATCCCTACAAAGTAGGAAGCTCTCAGGGCCTCCCCCCCCCCCACTTTAAATGTTATGTTGTTGATCCCCAAAATTACATGATTTCATTGGTTTGATGAAAAAAAGTTTTGTGAGAATGGTTGACTTTATAGCCTAAACCAGGCATTTTCTTCGCAGGCCATTTGGACTAGGCTGTGCTACACTCCTGTCTCTTTGCTTTATCTCTTTTTCCCCATGGAATGTTCTTCTTCCACTTTCTCTGTCATCTCTTCTCTTCCTAGATAACTCTTCATTCTTTAAGGCCCATCTGAAATGCCTCTCACTTTGGGAATATTTAAAAATCTTAAAAATATTTTTTTCCATTGTGGTAAAATATACATAGCATAAAATTTGCTATTTTTTAACCATTTTAAGTGTACAATTCAGTAAACTCACATTTACTTGGACAGCTATCACCACTATCTATTTCCAAAACTCTCGTCACCCTATCAGAAACTTGGTCCTCATTAAATAATAACTCTCCTTTCTTCCCTCCCCCAACCTCTGCTGACCTCTAATTCACTTTCTGTCTCTATCAGTTTGCCTCGTCTAGATATTTTACATAAGTGGAATCCTACATTATTGGTCCTTTTATGGCTTATTTCACTTAGCATATTGTTTTCAAGGCTCCTTTATGTGGTAGCAGGTCTCAGAACTCCCTCCCCTTTTGTAGCTGTGTATTATTCCATTGTATGTAGATGCCACGCTTTGTTGATACATTCATCTGTTGATGGGCACTTGCTTTGCTTCCATCCTACCTTTCCGCTATTGTGAATAATGCTGCAGTGAACACTGCTATACAAGTGTCTGTTTGGGTCCCTGTTTTTAACTACATATACAGGGTGTCCCAAAAAATGTATACACACGTTAACAGCTGATAGCTTAATTTTGAAAATGAAATGTATTTTAATACACACTACCTTTACAATTATTCAAAGCATGTCTAGATAGTTTTTCAGGGAAAAAAAAATATATCTTGCTATATTGTCTCTCCAAGTTGTTTTGTGGCTTTGTTTTGTAGTGTGTCTCTCCAGGGACAGCTGGCATGTTGTCTAACTTATCCACTATTCCTTTTCCCACTATAGTGTGGGTACACAGCAGAAGCCAAGTAAATGACTGAATTAATGAGTGACTTTGTGGGCTATTCTTAGGAATAGAAATGAAGTTTACATTTTAGAACAAGAAAGATTTCAGATAACATGTTTATCTCTTACACCCCTGTTTACTAGGAATTAGACAAGTATTTACAGCATCATGACTTCTTAAATACAAGAAGAAAAGAGATGTTATACAAAAGATGGGTTGACCATGTGGCAGGTCCTCTCCAGAAAAAAATCATGGAGAAAGTTTGTTCACATAAGAAGATTAAAAAAAGGAGACACCAGGAATTAGATACCTTCTTAAAATACGTAAATAAAAAGGTATTAAGAGATCATTTGACACTCCCCCCCCCCAGTTGGTTTAAAAACGATGGTTATCTTTATTTATAATCATTCAGCCTGCCCCTCCCCACTCTATATATGAGTAATATTTTATTACAGCACACACTACTCTTAAATCCAGGGCATGTGGAACAGATGGAGGAGGAGGGCTAGTTCTGGATTTAAATGTGTACATCAGAATCAGTTGTCTTTGTTGTACTCAGGTAATTGTTAATTTTATACACCAATTAAAAAATTTTGAACTCTAGGTTCAGAACATATATATTTATTTTTTTTCTGGAATTCTATTATTTACAAAGCTATACGATATTTATGGTCTCTTGGCATTTTTAAGAGATCTGAGATATTTGACTAGTAGGCATTAAAAAACAAATTCCCAAGTCTTTTAGTGTTCCAAAATTCGTTATTAAAATCTTACAAATTTTAAGTTAGTTCTGCCTATCACTATAGTGTTTATTACTTGGATACATTAAATGTAACTTAGAATCTGGTCTTCCCTTCCCTTTTGTACTTGTCACTGATGCCATTCAGAAGCATTCAGATGGGTTTGTGTTTTGACTCTTGAGAGTCCTGTTATGCCCAGAATGAACTGTGCACCTCTTCTTCTTATGTGTGTCTTATTTCCTTCCCGTAGGGAAGTGCATTCATAGAGCACTATGACCCCGAAGAGTACGACCCTTTCCACAGGCACAAAGAGGACCTGGGTTTCCTGAAGGTAGGATAGATTTCTTACTTTAACTTGGGTGTTATGTCTTTGGTATCAGCTTTTTTGATAAGCGAGTTGTCGTCTAGTAATTCCCTAAGAATGTGGTAACATCTTAAGAATAGTTTCCCATCTCCCTGTCTGAGAAAGGAGCAAGAAAGCCGAAGTCCAAATTCAAGCAAACTTCTATAAAATCTGAAAATACCGTATCATGATTGGGTAATCGGTAATGTTTAAAATTTTCATAGGCGTTTAAATTTGTTACAAAAGTAACACATTTTCATGATAAAATCAATTGCTAAATAATTTAAAAACCACTCAATTCCATTACCCAGAATGAAAACATTAACCATTTTCTGTATATCTTTTAAGACTTCTTTCTACATGTAGGTATAAACACACATTTTTATTTTACAAGAATAGGATTATACCATACATTAAGTTATATTACTTGTGTTTTTCCTTAATAGTTTATAATTTGCTTCTTTGTCAACATGTGTAAATATATAACTTTAATAATTGCTAATTGCCTGGTATTCTATTACTAGTAGCAGCTATCTTGCACTGAGGGATTTCCTAAATGTTAGGACTTTTTTTCTTTCATTTTATTTTATCTTCACTGCTACCATGTCAGGTAATTTACAGATGACACAAGTGAGTACAGATAGGTTAGGTTACTGGTCCAGGGTCACACAGCTGCAAATAGCATAGATGTGTTTCTAACCATATCTGGTACCTTGCTAAGCCATCATTTTTTTTTGACATATTTCATTTTAAATATCTAGATTGTTTTCGACCTATTGCTGTTATATATGACATTGTGATGAACATCCCTATTTCTTAATTTTTTTCAGTAAGTTGCTAGAAGCAGAATTGCTGAGTTAAAGGTTAAGCCTGATTTTGATTCATATTATCAAATTGTTCTTCAGAATGTATAAATTTGCAACCTCACCAGAGAATCCATTTTTGCCTACTTTTGCTAATAATGGATATTGTTAAACCAAATTTAAAAACCTACCTTAAGTCATAGACATTTTAAACTGCTGGCATTTGCATGCAAAGCAGGTCATTTTTTTTCTCCTCCCAAGTTGGAGTATGTGTCTGTGTGTATATAATTTCCCCATTATTATAGGGGAAAGTTAAACTGAGAGTTTAGAATAAGAACCTTAGATATACTAACTAGTAACACAGCTAGTATGGGGGAGTATTGAGATTTGAAACCAGATCTTTTTGATACCAAATCTCCATTCTGTTCTTTTACCACTAGAGGCCCGGTGCATGAAACTCGTGCACGGGTAGGGTCCCTAGGCCTGGCCGGTGATCAGGGCCGATTGGGGCCTCTGGCTGCCAGCTGGGGCCTTCCTTCCCTCATTCTGCGCCGCCCTCTGGTGGTCAGTGCACATCATAGTGAGCGATTGAACTCCCAGTCTCTCCGTCCAACTCCTGAGGGGACACTTTGCACATTAGCCTTTTATATATATAGACGCTGCCTTTCTAAATGCAGCTGGCAGGTGACCTCTTCAGGTAAGCTGAGCACTTTGAGGTTAAAGCACCAGTTCTCAAAGTGAGTACATAGACCTCGAGAGCCTGAAACCTCTTTTGGGGTCTGTTAGGCCATATATTTTCATAATAGAGCCAAATGTTTTTGCCTTTTTCATTGTGTTGACATTTGCTCTGATGGTACAAGAGCAATGGTGCATAAAACTGCTGGTGCCTTCCTTAGAATAGCTTAAGTCAGTGTTCCCAAATTATATGGGAAGTCATTCTATTCTTCATTGCCACGCACCCACAGCAAAAAAAAAAAAATCAGTTTCACTTAAGAATATCTTTGATCAAACAGCCAAAATTATTAACTTTATCAAATCTTGATCCTTGAGTACATCTTTTGAATAGCATGCAATGGGATGGGAAGTATGCAAGGAGCACTACTGCTGCAAACTGAACGCAGTAGGACTGTTCAAATTGTGAGCTGAACTGGTTGGTCTTTTTCATGGAACACTGTTTTTAGTTGAAAGAACAACTTACAAAACTATGGTTATTAAATCTCTGGTATTTGGCAGACATTTTCTGGAAAATTAGCAAAGTGAGTCTGTCACTTCAAAAACAACAGACAGTATTTGTTGCCAGTGATATAATGTGAGCTTTTAATGTGAATTTTGGAACAATCATATTGAATATGACAGTGTTCCAATACTCAAAGGCTTTACTGATGAGTTTGGTAATAATATTAGTAAATGGGGTTACTGTATAATGAAATGTATTAACATTTGGAAGATCTCACATAACTCACAGATCTGATTATTATCAAACCATCAGTTCATGACATGGATAAATGATCCAAAGTTCAAGACAGACCAATGGACTTTAATGTAGCAGAGTTTGAATAATTCATTGATATGGTTTCAGATTCTACAGTATAACTAATCTCTAAGAAACTACCACTTGTTGAGTTTGGGTATATTATCTAGAATAGCCACAATGATCTAGAGAGGCTATTAAAATGAACTAACCAGGTTGGAAGGCCTCACTAAGAGATGTATCGGAATGCCTCCTTCTCTCTTTGTAATGTGTTAAACGTACATAATGGTTAGATTGCCATTGTTTGTAGATACTGTATTCTTTTATTATTATTCTTTTATTTTTTATTTGTATTGATTTCAGAGAGGGAGAGGGGAGAAAGAGATAGAAACATCAATGATAAGAGAGAATCATTGGTCAGCTGCTCCTGCACGCCCCCTATTGGGGATTGAGCAGGCAACTGGGCATGTGCCCTTGACTGGAATCGAACCCGGGATCCTTCATTCCTCAGGCTGACACTCTATCCACTGAGCCAAACCAGCTAGGGCTGTAGATATTGTATTCTTGATTCTTCTGGCATAAGGGTCATAAATGGATGTTTAGGATAGACTGAAAAAGACCTGAAACCGAGTCCTCAAAGAAATGTGTTTTTTTGTAGGTTATCATCCCACCATTTCGTGACCCTTTGAAAAAGGCACAATATGACAAAGATGATGAAAAAAGAACTCTTCTTCAGTGTGAGACTGGTACGTAGTTTCCAACTGTTACGTGATTTCATAAGTCAAGAGCAATGACAGTTGCATTTAACTGTGCTAATTTATACTGCTAAACTTCTTGCAGGCAAAATACATACAATGAAAGAATTTAAAGAGGTTGAGAAGGCCAAACTGTATTGCAGATTTCCACAACTTTCTAATTCAAGGTGCTTTGTGACTCCAAATGATTGGCTTAAACTGTCTGCAAACTACATAGAAAGTGACTTTTGTAAAAGGAGCAGGTAATGGCTAATATTGTAGAAATTATGGAACCCACTGTGATTAGAAAACTTTTTCTTGAGATAGTGATATAAATTTTGTCATTGTTATTATTTTTAAATTTTTGGTTTTTAATGAGAAATCTACTGTAATTCTTGTCTTGGCTTCTCTGCATGTGATGTTTCTTTTGTCTTGGGCACTTCCAAGATTTTCTCTTTGTCTTTGGTTTTCATTAGCTAAACTATGATGTGTCTAGGTGTTTTGTCCCCTTTTATTTCTGTTAATCCTATGTAGGGCTCTCTGAGGTTCTTATATCAGTGATTTGATGTCTTTCATTATTTTGGGGGAAATTCTAGACCATTATCACTTCAAATATTTCTTATATCCTATTCTTTCTTTTTTTGCTTCTGAGATTCCAATTATACATATATTAGAGCATTTGATATTGTCCCATAGCTACATAGCTCTTATATACTGTTCTTTTTTTTTCTACTTGTATTTTAATTAGACAATTTCTACTGACCTATCTTTTCTTTTCTTTTTTTTTAAAATATGGAACGCTTCACGGATTTGCGTGTCATCCCTGTGCAGGGGCCATGCTAATCTTCTCTGTATCGCTCCAATTTTAGTATATGTGCTGCCGAAGCGAGCACTCTACTGACCTATCTTTAAGTTCACTGAGTCTTTCCTCAGCTGTGCCCCATATACTGAAGAGCCTATCAGAGGGATTAGTCCCTACTGATGTGATGATTTTTATTTCTGTATTTCCATTTTATTTTATTATTTTTTTATTTTTTTAAAATATATTTTATTGATTATATTTTATTTATTTATTTTTTAAAATATATTTTATTGATTTTTCACAGAGAGGAAGGGAGAGAGATAGAGAGTTAGAAACATTGATGAGAGAGAAACACCGATCAGCTGCCTCCTGCACATCTCCCACTGGGGATATGCCCGCAACCCAGGCACATGCCCTTGACCGGAATCGAACCTGGGACCCTTCAGTCCGCAGGCCGATGCTCTATCCACTGAGCCAAACCGGTTTCAGCGAAGTGATGGTATTTTAGACCAGCGGTTGCCAACCTTTCGGACCTCACGGACCACCAGTTGGTGACCGCTGTTTTAGACAATATACACAGCGGCAAAGGTTAACAGTAATTTCTGAAATAGTATAACCGGTATTGTTTTTGCAAACATCCTCACACATGTTGTCTTGTTAAAGGTTAAAGGTGAAGAGTAATTTCAACGCTAGTAGTTTTGATTTGAAACACGTGACCAAAGTGCCTCATCTTCCGGGATCCCAGGAAGGAGAAAAAGCAGTTCTTTGCAAGTAAGCCCGTTCTTCCACAGCTCGGCCCCTCCTTTACTTAAGATGCTTGGCTGTGTTTCCCCCCTTTGCCATCCTTTCGCGCTGCTGGAGCCAGTGCCGAGGCAGGTGCCAGGCTCCTGTGGCCCGACCCCAGGCACCTCCCACCCCGGTGCCTGGGTGCGGTGGCAGCTTTCTGCAGCTTGTCCTGGTTTTAAGGAAAAGATAGCTAACACATTCAGAAATGACAAGCACAGACAGAAAAAAAATGGTTAACGACTCGTGTAAGTTAAAAGTGACTTGAATTGAATCGGAACAGTAAAGTGTCACTTTGGACTAGTTTTGAGGGGTAGTAGCTGTTACAGTTGGGTACCCAGAGTGAGGAGGAGTTATAAGCAGAGAAGTGGTATGTACTACTGTGCGTGTAACCTGGGGAGTCAGCTCCAGAAACTGGTTATGGAGTTAAAAGAAAGAGATTTCTCTACATGGTTACAGAACCTGTTAACTACCTGATTAAGTTATGGGATCCCCAGACGTTGCTGGAGGGAATGTAAAACAATGCAGGCACTTTGGAAAACAGTTTGGCAATTTCTCAAAAGGTGAAACATGAAATTATCATGCAACCCAGCAATTCCCCTCCTAGGTTTCTACCCAGGAGAAATGGAAACATTATTCACATAAAGACTTGTCCGGCGTGTGTGTTCTTGCCACGATATCTCCAAACTGCAAACAGCCCAAGTGTTGCTCATTCACTGGTGAATGGACAAAATGTGGTGCATTTATACAGGGCATGTTACTTGGCAATTAAAAGGAAAAGGAGTTCTAATAAAGCATGGATGAAATTCAAAACCATTATACTCAGTGAAGGGAGACCATCACAGAAGACTACCTATTGTTTGAGTCTCTTTATATGACATATGTTGGACGAGGTAAATCTATAGAGACAGGAAATAGATTATTGGTTGCCCAGGGCTGGGGCTGGGAATGGAGAGTGATTGTAAAGGACCGTGAGGTCTTGGACTGATGGAAATGTTCTAAAATAGCTCTGCAAATACACTAAACACCATTGGTGTGTACAATTCAAATGGGGTATAAATTACACGTCAGTAAAGCTGTTCATGAAAAAGGAGACCCTAGCAAGCAGGAGGGAAGTGAGCTCATATGCACCTGTTTAGGAGGCTGGCCTATGATTTTCTATTCCTGCAAGGCCTGAGGGAAGCTGTAGCAGGTCCCCTTTCCCTTTCCCAAGGAGGCTCAGAGCTCGATGAATAAATGAGTGTGGCAGGAGCCGAGGGCTCTCAGAGATGCTTGATGCTGGCATGTCCAGCAAAGAGGCCAAAATTTTAAATTTAAATCAAAATTACTTAGTGATTTAAAGTAGAAGCAGATGACTGTTGGGGGTGGGGCAGCCATGAGGTTTGCTGCCTGTGGATGGGAACTGACATTGAGGGGTAATGTCAGTATTGAACTAAGCCCCACTCACACGTAGCTGCAGCCTTCAGAGACCAAATGACCCAGAATCACTCTTGTATATTAGGGTCCAAAAGAGTAAGTTCCTCCCCTATCCCTAACCGCCATGGTCTTATACAGACCTATTTGGGCCAGGTTTTAGGGTAATGAACATCTTCATCCTATTTCATTTCTATATTTATACTAATAAAAGGGTAATATGCTAATTAGACCGGACATCTTCTGGACGTCCTTCTGGACAAAGCCATGGTGGCGGGGGCCGAAGCAGAGGTGGTTAAGGGTGATCAGGCCAGCAGGGAAGAGCAGTTAGGAGCAATAAGGCTGGCAGGGGAGCAGTTAGGGGGCGATCAGGCCATCAGGCAGAGGCAATTAGGGGGCAATCAGGCTGGCAGGCAGAGGTGGTTTGGGGCGATTAGGTAGGTGAGCAGTTAGGAGCCAGAGGTCCCAGATTGAGACCTAATCAGGCCTAAACCAGCAGTCAGACATCCCCCAAGGGGTCCTGGATTGGAGAGAGTGCAGGCCTAGCTGAGGGACTCCCCTTCCTTCCCCCCCTTCCATGCACGAATTTTGTGCACTGGGCCTCTAGTATGCTATAAAAGGAGGAGGGAGTTTGTCTTCAAATACCTCTTCTAGCAGAGTGAGCCCCAGACATGAAGGAAAAAATGGCATTGTTGAAGCGTGCAGGGCTTATATTTTAGTCTAGAGGTGTAAGTCTGCGAACTCCCCCCAGAAGAGGAGGTTTAGATTCTCTTCCACAAATAAGGGAGGCATCCCAGACTTGGATCCGGGTGGAGAAGGTGTTTGTCCTCAGAAGAGTTAAACCTGCCCAGGGAAGGCCCGGGGTCGGCCCTGTGAGAGGCCACTTCCCCTGAAGGACTCTGGCTCAGCTGGTGAAACAGCAGAGAGATTTCAGGTGCAAATAAGACTGGAGCAAGGCAATGCTACATATTTGGATTTCTTTTTCATAAAAGTATGCAAGTTCATATAGAATGCATCTGCAAACTGGAAAAAAAATCAAATGCTACACTTGAGCTGATCGTGGTGGGGACCCTTTCCTTTCCGGCTCCTCCCTACAGAAACGGAGGGTTATGCTCTCTGGAAAAAGGACCGCTACATTCTCAGCAGGGAAAGCGTCCAAGTCCCGAGGAGGCCAAGGCTGAAAGGCCCTCCTTGAGCCTCAGCCTGAAGGCAGAGCGGAGGGCAGACCAGGATGCGGTGAGAGCTGGGGAAGTCCCGGGGGCATGACACCAGGCAGCAGCTGGGCGATTCTCCCTGCGGCAGGATTTCAGGGAGAGAGGAGGCAGCGGACTCCCCCAAACCCTCAGACAAAGGAAGGCCAGGGAGAGAACAGGAGAGGCCGAGGCAGGCGTCCCTGACCCAGAGGGAATGGAGTTGCGCTGGGAGCTACACCTGGGGGTGCCCTCTGGTGGGTGGACTGGAGGGTTTTCCCAGCTCCCTCCTCAGTGCCCTCCTCTCTCTCCACCACCTCTACCATCTCTGCCATCTCCCACTTGTCACACCCAGGCGAGGCCCAGTGTTTTGTTCCTCATAATTCAGCCAGGATAGAAAGTTTTCAGAAGGACCATATATTAAACTAAAGTAGTAAGCTTTACCGAGTAAAAGCCCGAAAGTGTAAAATGTATAGAAATATAGGTGTTTATAGAGAGCAGATTTCTCATCGTAAGGCACTCTTTAAACTTGGTGCAGGACCATGGGGGGGGGGGGGGCGGGCGGGGATCCACAAATATCACACACAATAGGATGGGCTGTGGCCCCAAATCTCTGCCTGGTTCTGAGTCCAGGTGGAGTGAGGGGAGGCTCAGGACAAACATCTCGGGGCCGTCTCTGATCCCTGCCTTCACTCACTGGCCGTGTCTGGGAGGTAACGGCTGTGGCAGTGCTGGCCTCTCAGGAGGTTCAGGTGGGAGCCCTGCCTGCTGGACGGGCCGCTCAGCTGGGTCGGGAGGACTGCCCTTCAGGTGGACCAGCTCAGCGTAGCCCAGGAGCTTTCTGCTCTGCAAGCCCCTCACCTCTTCCACACCTAACGCTTCTGTGAACCTTCACAAGGTTTCGGCAGCCAAGGAGCACACACCCTGACCCCGGACTGGCCGAGAGGACACAGGAAGGTTGCTCTGGAGGAAGCCACCTGGCAGCAGGCAGCAGGGTGAGGACCACGGGAGGCGCTCAGGGCCGTCCTGGGTCTGAGAAAAGCATCTGCAATAAACCTCACTTGACGTTTGAGCTCAGTGTCCGGGTGAGAACTGAGAAACCACCTCCATGTATGGACCGCTATTGGAAATGTTTCCCCAGAGGCTAAGAGGCAATGCTGAAAGGTGCGATAGGAATCAGCAGCTCCCTTCCCGAGGGCCATCTCGGAGCTCGGTCTCCCCCGAGGAAGGGGCGCTGCCTTTGGTCGGCCTCCTTAGGACCCCCCCCTCCCCCCCCGCAGTCCTTGGGAAATGTGAACATTCACTGAGATTCCCCGGTGCAGGTTCTGCTCTGCGCAGCCCCTGGCTCCTGTGGAGTTTGACTCCAGGCCCAGGAAGACACGGAGGACCTGAGGCTGAGGGCGCGAGGGCGCGGCTCTGCGTTCCTTAGGCAGAGGCGACATTAAAAGCCGCTCCTCCCCTCCAGTCTAGCATCAGAGACACTGAGCCCCGGAAACAGTGGGTCGCAGGGCAGGTCAGTGGCGAGTCCAGCCGAGGCCCGCGCCTCCTGAGCGCTCTCCCACCGTGGGTCCTTGGTTTCTCCCACTGTCGCCGGAAGGAAACTTGGTTCCATTATAAGCAGCCATTCACGTAGGAAGTCAATTGGTCAAGCTCCGAGAGAAGTGACATTCATAAACGTATAGTTTTATTCTCTTTCTGTACATATTGGCAATGATAAAGCTTAAAGATGCAAGTCCTATGAAATATGCAAAAACAAGGAATTTACATAAATAATTTATACTTCAGAAAATTAAAGTTGAAAAATATTTTCCACATCATTAGCGTTCACAGTATTTAAAGTAAATCAAGCTTTCCCCCTTAGATTTCCAACTATATTGTCTCAGCAGAGAAGGATAAATCTGACCAGGAGCTCAAGGATCAAGCCTGGCTTTGTTCAGTGCATGAGTGGACGCTATGTCAGCATCAGGCTGGCCCCGCGCTGTGGCCGCAGCCTTCCTCCCAGTCCTCGGCCTCCTGAGTGGCTGTGACCAGCAGAGGTCACAGGGCGTGGAATGGTTACAGCGTCACCAAAACCGCCCACAGTGAACACATTCAACCAAGTGGTAACGTCTGGTGGTCCGATGCCTCAGCTCCACATAATACTTGTTATAGCCCTGAAAATGGAAGCCGTGGCATCCAAACACAGCCCAACATGTTAACACTCATACAAGGCACCGTGCTGCGGGGTTCGGTTTACTCATAGGGAAGGTGTTTGCATAGATGGCTAGCGATTTAGTGTGTGATAAACTACAGAGGCCCCGGCGCACGTGCGGCCTTGCGATGGATGAAGCTGAGTGACCTCCGTCCTCCACGGGGCAGCACCACCGTCTTCCCAGCCCCAGCCCAGGGCAGACGCCCTCCCGAGGCCCCTACAGGAGAGTTTTTTGCTCAAAAAGCTGCAGGTCAAAGCGGACCCAGACCTCCCCGGTGGGGACCTCGTGAAGCAGGAGTCGCCGGGTGGTAGGGCCTTTGCTTTCCTGTTCTGTTCGAATTTTCGCCACTGGGATTTCAGTCCGACCCAGGAAATCTGGTGAATAAACGCGAGAGTCAGAAGCCTTCTTGATAAAGCTGGTGAAGAAACTACCCCAGGAGTTGTGTCTGAAACAGGATTCACACAACTTTCAAATCCAACACAAGCCACTCCCTCTCGTCACGGGCTGTGTGGACTGAGTGGAGGCGCGGGGAGGACGGACGCGGGGAGGGAAGCCGCCTGCCTGGAGCCCTTGTCTGGTCGGGAACCTCTCACCCTCCAGCAGGTGCGCGTGGCACAGTTTCTGTGACCCACGTGGGGAGTGATGGGGTCAATACTGAACACCCCCAGGCTGCCCTTCCCCAGGAGGTGCCCGCACAGCTGCCAGGCGAGGGAGCCGTGCGGACGGAGGGTCTGTGGGAGGCAATGCCGGGCGCCCGGCTCCGACCCGAGGGCCCGAGGTCTGGACGCGTCATACTTTACCGTCTGGAGAGAACTGGTCCCTGTCGAACATGGTGAGACACAGCACGTCTTGGTGCAGGTCCTTAATGAAGAACTGGCAGTTGAAGTTCCACTTGGGGTTCAGTGTGTCCTGGAGGGTCCTGGTGGTGTAGCTCTGGGAGCCCATGCTGATTTCACAGTACGGGTTGCTCTTTCCTGAACCAAAACAAAGAAGGACACAGGTGGCACCTGTCGGGTGGCACAGACCGGGCAGTCGGGTGGCACAGACCGGGCAGCAGGGGGCGCTGCCGGAGGGCCCGTGTCTGCCTGTGGTCTCCCTGTCCCCGGAGCTGACAGGGCCATGACCCGGGAGTGACCGTGTGGGCTCCGGTGCCCCAGCTGCTCCCCACGAGCCCAGGCAAGTGTCAGTGCAACTTGCTTCGTGCTTTCTCCACCCAGAAGCACTGAGGGGAGGCATGCGCTTAGTGGGAAACAGTGGTAATGATACTGGCCCAAAACCACGTTAGTGGCTTGGACACATGACTTTAAAAGCATCCATTATCCGACGCTCAGAAGAGGCCTCAGCAGAGAGCGGGGCCGTCACCACATCTGTTGAATGAAAGAAGCATTTACCATTTGGTTTGCAGGCTTTTAATTCTGTAGCTTCAATGACATGCACCATCAGACGCCCGATGCCTGAAGTCTTTTGAGAGCGAGCTATAAAACAGGAAGACGAGTCACGTTAACTTCTTCTCTGAGAAAACAGCAAGTGCAGTGGTGACGCTGAGCTGTTCATACTCAGAGTCGGTCTTTCGGACCCACCTTCACATGGCCCAGCCTCACCTGCCACTGCCCCGGGCCCAGCAGACCAGCGTCTGGCTGCTGGTGCCTTTGCCCGGCCGTGTGGCCTGTTATCTAGGCCCATTGGCACCCGACTCATCCTTCAAGATGCAGGTCCAATCTCACGCCTCACCACCCGACCCCTTCCCTCCTCTGAGCTTCCATTATCCCTGGCTTCTGAGCATCCCCCAGCGGCCGGGCCTGTAGTTCTATGTTTATGTCCGTCTCTCCCGCTAGGAGGAGCCATTGCAGAGCACAGACTATTTACTCACCTTGTATCAACCCCTCAACGAACCAACAGACAGTAATATTAATAAAATTATGGCACATTATATTCGCTCAGCACGTGGATACCTACTAACATTTATTGGATACTTACTCTGTGCTAGGCATGTGCCAGACCTTTGTGTAAGTTACTGAAACTGCACGGTTGCCCCATGTTAAGGCAGCTCTTTGTAACGGTCATCTCCATATGTGAGAAAACGGGGCGTGGGAAGGACTGGAGCCTCTCACGGCCCACAGCTTCTAAACAGCAGGCCGAAACTTAAACATCAGGTACCAAAGTCTATTTCCTTAAGTACTGACCGCACTTCCAATGATTCGTAAACACTTCAGCTTACAAAGCAGTTTCGCTGAAGACTTCATTCTATTTAAGGAGGTACTAAAAATGCTTTTCATATGGAGAGAAATGAGTCCGTGAACTCAAGACTACCTTAGTAAATATGAAGCTAGTTAAGCAGGTTTTGTTCTCAGGGTGGTAAAAAGACGAACAAAAAGTCTGCTTGGCAAACTTTTGATGTTTACCAGGGCAAGGAGAACCTGCTCTATGAGCAGGTGCCTGCCTCTCCTCGGTGCCCACTCCAGGTGGGCAGGGCTGGGCCTGTTCAACGTTGTAGGCCTGGTCAAGACTCGCATGGGGCCTGGCACAGAGTAAGTAATCAATAAGTGTCTGAAGAATTAAACATGTGGAAAATGCATATGGACAGGTATTGATGTTAAGCAAAACTAACATGGACAAACTTTGATTTACATCCCTGACCAATTAAGATATTGATCTTTGTATGCTTTATAAATGATTCAATCTTTGATTTCCCAATAGCAAGCCTTTAAAATACCATTAAAACAAGACACAATTAGTAAAAGCCAAGTTACACATACCTTTCAGGAGTATGTAACAAAATAAGGAAAACCTGAATAAAAAAACATAAAGAACTGCAACTATAGCGGCCAGGGACACACATGGGGGGACTGCGTGGAGGAGGAGGCGGACAGGGTTTCAAAGGTGAGTTGTTCAATTAGGCAACGGTACGGGCCCTGAGTTTAGGGTAAGAACTTTGACCTTAACTTGGGCAGCAACAGGGAAGATGTTTAAGGAGGGAGAGAGATACTGAGAGCAGATACTCCAGAAATGAAGGGGCGTGATGGGGCCACGGGGGACTCGTGCTACAGCCTGGGAGGGACACTGTAGGGGCTGTGTCACGGGGAAAGGAAAGGACCAGGTAAATGGGAAAGAGAACAGTGGGGAACCTATGGGACTCAGCTGCTGCCCAGAGGAGAGGTGTGTGTATTGGGAGCAGCAGGTGAGGGGCTCCGGGAGGCCCAGGAGGTTTGGAACAGCCTGGGGGGGTGGGAAGAGCAGCTGATCTGGAGCAAGTCTGGCCTTTCACTCCCCATCTACCCCTCACTGTCACAGCTGCGTCCTGAAGGTAAGGACCCCCCACTCCCCCCCGCCCACTCCCCAGGGCCCCTTGGTGGCTGGTTCCAGTCAGGGCCCGTCCGACTACCTTGATAGGCCCTCTCTCGCTTCTTCTTCTCCGTGTCGATGTACTGCTCAGAAGCGGCCTTGATCTTCTGCACCCAGGCAGTCCTGGGGGAAGCAGAGCACAACCTTTGGGCAGCTTTCCCCGCACCTCCCATGTCAACCAGCAGCCAAAGCCCGGCACCCCTCTCCTCTCTTTGGCTAACCTCGGCTTAAACAAGTTCCCAATCACAGGCTTAATATTCGCTCAGCTCAGAGATTCGTTTGCTAACTGAGGTCGAGCTGATCATTTCTAGACAGTCCTGACCACTTACAAAAGGGCAGGCACCGCTCCGAGTGCCCGGACGCGGCGGGCCCCACGAGAGGGAAGATGCGGCTGCATCAATGGCGTTCAGCAGTGACAGGTCCCCGCACACTGGGCTGTGCACCCGTTGCCATCAGAGGCGCTGTCTGAGCGCCACCCTAGAGGCCGCCTGGCTGGCCAGGCCGCGGGGGGAGGACCGCGGTCCACACTGGGGCAGGGGAGGCAGCCGGCCCGGCTGGTCCTGTGGGTGCCGCGATGGGCCTGCGTCCGTCCGAGAGGCGCGAGCAGGCCTCTGGAGACCAGAGGGGCACTGGCTGCTGCCTGAGGGGTCTCAGCAGGGAGTGCGGGCGGGTCTGCCCTGGGGGAAGATGCTGTGTGAGGACGTGGCTGGGATCAGCCTCCCAGCGGGCCGGGCAGGGCACTGGTCA